TCGAAGGGCCTCCCGTGTAGGTGGAATCCAGAAGCCCCAGGCCGCCGCTTAAGGAGAGCACCCACAACACTAAGCGTCACTCAGAGCGATCCGCACTAGGATCCCGCGCTATCGTGCCGCGCAGAGCATCGCGGGAGTCGCGCCGTCTGACGTCACTAGGGGGCGCCTGCGCGCGGGGTCGGGGTCATTTACTGAGTCCTGGCCACAGCTCTGGCCCTGGCAGCCTCCGACGTTAACGTGGGCCTGGAGAGTTCATCCTGCCCAGGCTGGGTCATAGGCACTGGAGAGGTTGAGAGGCTACCAGCACCGCAGATTTTCAAGCCATTCGTCAAGCCCTGAGATTTTAACTAGTTAATTTCTCTCTGCAATTAGATTGTGAACTGCCGGAGGGTACCTAGGATGAAACCTTGTTAGGCTTCACGTGAAAATCTCTTATGTACATGAGCAAGGCGATTCGTTTCAAAGCATATATTTCTTCCTATCTCTTGAAGGCACGGGAAAAAATCGCTAACACAGGTTTCAGAGGCTGAGGGTAGAGTTCTTTCCCTTCAATGGTTAAATTTTTAAAATTAAAGACAAAATTTAATTTCAGAAAGGCATATGTAGCTGCTCTAGGACCTTTTAGGAAACAGTTTTTTTTAATGAACTTAATATTTATTATTATTATTTTAGTTTTCAGTGGACACAACATCTTTGTTTGTATGTGATGCTAAGGATGGAACCAGGGCCGCACGCATGCCAGGAGAGCGCGCTACCGCTTGAGCCACATCCCCAGCCCCAGGAAACAGTTTTTAAACTGTCCTGATACTTGGTTTTACAAATAAGAAGTAACTTAAAGGCACCCACATCCATGAATCATAAAATGCCACAAACTGGCCAGGCATGGAGGCTGAGGCAGGAGGACTGCAAATTCAAAGCCAGCCTCAATAACCTAGCAAGTCCCTTTCTTAAAATTAAAAAAAAAAAAAAAAAAAAAGAGGCTGGGAATGTGGCTCAGTGGTTAAGTGCCCCTGGGTTCAATCCCCATTACAAAAAAACAACCACAATTTTTCCCCCTTGAGAGGATAGAGTTTCCTTCACTTTCATTTACCTCCCGCTTTCTCATGATCTTTTGTCCTCTTCATTTTTAAAAAATATTTTTTAGTTTTTGATGGACCTTTATTTGCTTATTTATATGTGGTGCTGGGAATCGAACCCAGTGCCTCACACATTGGAGGCAAGCGCTGTACCTCTGAGCTACAACTCCAACCCCTGTCCTCTTCATTTTGACACTTATGTTTCTCTATCAGAGACATCTGAATTCAACAAAATCTCCAGTTATTTTTATTCTGCTATCTACCAGGACTGATACCATCAGTTTTATTGCTTCTGTTTTTTTATGTTTATTTATTGGTACAGATTGAACCCAAGGGCACTTTACCACTGAGTTACAACCCCAGTACTTTTTACTTTGAGACAGGGTCTTGCTAAATTGCTAAAGCTGGCCTCAAATTTATGATCATCCTGCTTCAGACATGCAAGTCATTGGGATACAGGCATGTACCACCATACCTGTCTGATTTTCAAGTTAGTTACTTTTCCTCTCAAATGGTTTTAGTGCTAGGAAAAGACTGTGCCCCAAGTTAACAATCACTGAAATAGAGGGGCAATCTTTTTTTTTCTCTTTCTTTTGCAAGACTGGGAATGGAACCCAGGCCCCTCTACACTGAGCTACATTAGTTTTTATTTTGAGACAGGGTCTCACTAAATTGTTGAAGTTGGCCCTGAACTCGAAATTCTGCCTCAGACTCCCAAGTAGCTAGGATTACAGGTGTGCTAGAGGGACATTCTTATAAATCACATTTGAATTTAAAAACACTCATGCTTATGATTTTAACTAGTTGATTAAACTTAATTCACTAACAGAGGACCAATCTGACATTGTACACAATACTACCTATGAAATATTCTTGCCAAAAATGTTAAATTTAGGGCTGGGGATGTGGCTCAAGTGGTAGTGCGCTCGCCTGGCATGCGTGCGGCCCGGGTTCGATCCTCAGCACCACATACAAAGATGTTGTGTCCGCCGAAAACTAAAAAATAAATATTAAAAAAAAAAAAAATTCTCTCTCTCTCTCCCTCCCTCTCTCACTCTATCTTTAAAAAAAAAAAATATGTTAAATTTAAAGTTAGTCAAGCATTTAGACTGAACTTTCAATTTAAAGAAAATAAAGGAACAACAGACATCATGATGAAACAACCAGATAAATCCAGAATGTGGGCTTTTTGGCACGCCACCTAATTTGATCTCTTCAAAATCTCAATGGTTGGCTACAGGTGTAGCTCAGTAAATAGTAGAGTGCTTACCTAGCCTGCTTGAGGACCTGGGTTTGATTCCCAGCATAGCAAAAATAAAAACAACAAATGTTAATTTAAAAGAGAAAGAAACAAAGAAAGAAGGAGACTTTTCCTAATTTCATGAGACAAATAGGGGTTGGATGTGGTGGTGCATGTCTATAACCCCAGCAACTCAGGAGGCTGAGATAAAAGGATCACATGTTGCAGGCCAGTCTCAGCAACTTAGAGAGACCCTGTCTCAAAAAATAAAAAGGGCTGGGGATGTAGTTCAGTGGAGAACCACCATTGGCTTTAATCCCCAGTACCAGAAGAAAACAAAACAAAAACACCCAGACAAATAAGGGCTAGATATGCAGCTCAGTTGGTAAAGAGCTTGTTCCCTTACATGCTAGTATTTCACCCATGAATACTTTATTACATAACTATAATATCATTATCACTTTTTAAATATTTATTTTTAGTTGTAGTTGGATACAATATCTTTAATTAATTTATTTATTTTTATGTGGTGCTGAGGATCGAACCCAAGGCCTTGCCCATGCTAGGCGAGCACTCTACCACTGAGTCACAACCCCAGCCCCAAAGCATTATCATTTTTACTATCACTTAATATTAAATGCATATTCCCCAATTATCCCCAAAATGATTTGTTTTTAAATATTTTCAGTTGTAGATGGACACAATACCTTTTCTTTTCTTTTTTTTTTTAGAGAGAGAGAGAGAGAGAGAGGGAGAGAGAGAATTTTTAATTTATTTTTTAGTTTTTCGGCGGACACAACATCTTTGTTTGTATGTGGTGCTGAGGATCGAACCCAGGCCGCACGCATGCCAGGCGAGCGCGCTACCACTTGAGCCACGTTCCCAGTCCACAATACCTTTTCTTTAAAAATATATTTTTTAGTTGTTGATGGACCTTTATTTTATTCATTTATTTATAGGTGGTGCTAAGAATTGAACCCAGTGCCTCACACATGTGAGATAAGAACTCTACCACTGAGCCACAACCCCAGCCTTATAATACCGTTATTTGTTTAGAGGATCAAATCCAGTTCCTCACACATGTAAGGCAAGTGCTCTACCACTGAGTTACAACCCCAGCCCCCAAAATGTGTTTTATGTTTTTCATTTAATTAAGGGTTATATTATTTTTTTGGTACTAGGACTCAAACCCAGGGCCTTGTGAATTTTAAGTAAGCATTCTAACCTTGAGCTATGCCCCCACCTTACCCCAAAGTTTTAAATTTCTAAAAATGTCAATTCCTTGACAAATTAGTTTTGTGGCTTGAATGATCAGTTCCATGTGAACATTCATATTTTGGGACTGAACATCTTCTAAAACTGCTCACCCTTCAGGATCTCCTCTTCTATGGCAATCAGGGCACAAATCTTGCCAATCTGACATTCAACACAAGACTTAAATCTGTTTTTGTTTCTGTTTTTTTGTTTTGGTGCTGGGGAATGAACATAGGGGTACTTTAACACTGAGTTACATTCCCAGTCCTGTTTAGTTTTTATTTTGAGACAGGCTCTTGCTAAATTGCTCAAGGTATCCTACAACTTGTGATCCTCCTTTCTCAGCCTTCTGAGTTGCTGGGAGCATAAGAGCGCGCCACCACATCCAGCCCTAATCTGTTCTGTCTAACAAAAGCAGTTTAGTCCACATCTTTATTATTTCCTCTTGGAGTTTATCACATTATCCTCTAAATGGCCCTCTTTCTGTTTTCTTTTTTTTTTTTAAAGAGAGAGAGAGAATTTTTTAATATTTATTTTTTAGTTTTCGGTGGACACAACATCTTTGTATGTGGTGCTGAGGATCGAACCCGGGCTGCACGCATGCCAGGCAAGCGCGCTACCTACCGCTTGAGCCACATCCCCAGCCCCCTCTTTCTGTTTTCCCATCTAATGGAACACACCAGCTAAGCTATTCCCATTGTGCCACATCTCTTAAACACTTTCAGTGGCTCTGCAATCTTCTGTCGGCTTCAGTATTCCCTAAAGTGGTTCCCAGTATATCCCAGTACACTGCTGTGCATTTCCATACATCAACTGACCATTCAGGCAGAAGCAGCCTCTCTTATTGTTCCAGGACACACTATATAGCTTCTTTGGGAAAAGAGTGTCACATTTTGCCCTGCATTGAGTGCTTCAAGATTTCAGAGGAGGCTGAAATTATAAAGGCGCCTACTTATAATCCCAGCATATTAGGAGGTTGAGGGAGGAGGATCCAAGTTCAAAGCCGCCTCAACAACATGGTGAGACCCTCAAGACAGATAAATAAAATGAGTTGGGGATATGGCCCAGTGGTTAAGCAGCCCTGGGTTCAATCCGTAGTTTAAAAAAAAAAAAAAGAGATAGAGTTCAAGGTTCAGAGAAGGGAGGAAATGAACAGGTGGAGACTACAGCCTCTAAGTGGTCTGTCTTGTGGACAGCTGGCAGACTAAGGGTTAATGAAACATCTAAGGAAGATGTTTTTTATTTTATCTTTTTCCTTAGGTATAGTGGGGCAAACAGACTATGGGTTAAGTCTGTTTTGTATTCCTGTGAATTAGTTCAGAAAGCCGTACAGTATATCAATAAGCTTGAGAGTTTTGTAAGTCTTTGACAAAGGAGGCTCAAACCTTGAACTGGAGTCGGAGGGGAAAAAAGACTTCAATGACAGACTGTTTGTTTTATAAATCATGAAAGTACAGATTCAATCATAGATTTAATTTTAAAAACAGAAACATTTCTTCCAAAAGGATTTTGTAAGTCAGAAATCTTACCTATCTGAATACTATAGAAGATGCACAGACCTACAACTTGTGAAGAGTGTACAGACACTTTGGTAAGGAGTTGAGGAATTAAAAAATGGAAAGAATCAGGAGGCAGAAAATGCTTCAAGAGGCATGGTCCTCAGAAATTGTTCGGGAATACCATTTCACTCGTATCGATGTCATGTTCCTGGATGAGAAAATAAAATACATAATTTTAATTTTTCAGTACAGAGCCTGAAATATGAACTGTTTTTTTAACTTTTTATGAAGAGATTGTGACTATTAATTAGGACACTGCTCACCACCTGTAGTAATTAATGATAGCAAGTACAGTTGCAAAGACTGCACCAGACTCCTTACCTTGGCCTCAGTGCCTGTCCTCCATGCTACCAAGATGAGTACTTTTGGAAATCTAACCACCTTCCTGCTCCCACCAATGCACACGTCACTGCTGAGCAGCATCTCAGTTACCTCTTTTCTGGGTTCCCTTCATGGCACCCAGAGCACTGTAACTGCTCTGAGAAACAAGGACTGCATTCATTTTGCTTACTGCTATGACCCCAAATTCTTGCTCTATGCCAGGCACATCTTAGATGTACAGTGAACACTGTCAAATGAGTACCTAGCAGAGCCAGCCCCCTTCTAGAACAGAATCAGAACATAACTGGTCGTTGTCTTTTTTTTTTTTTTTTGGTACTGGGAATTGAATCCAACGGTGCTCAATCACTAGCCATATCCCCAGTCCTTTTTATTTTTTATTTTGAGACAAGGTCTCACTAAGTTCCTTAGGGCCTCTCTAAGTTGCTGCGGCTGGCTTTGAATTTGCGATCCTCCTGCCTCAGCTTCCAGAGCTGCTGAGATTACAGTCATGTGCCATTGCACCTGGCCTAAATGATCTTTCAACTCCGCATTTAAAATCCTAAGCTTTTATTTTGCCTGCTTACATTAAAATATAAATCATACTCTTTTTTTTTCTACATAAGTAAGTAACATATTCATTATAGAAATTTTAATAGTCAAGGAAAATTAAAATCCTTCAAATCCTACAAACCTGTACAGATACCTTTACATTCCTGTATGTATCAGGCAAGTGATCTACCAGTGAGCTACACCCCGAGCCCTTTGAATGTTATTTTTGGGACAGGGTCTCCCTAAGTTATAGAGGCTGGTCTTCAACTTGTGATCATCCTGCCTCAGCCTCCTAAACTGCTGGAATTACAGGTGTGTGCCACAATACCTGGCTGAGAGAGAGGATTTCTAACACAAGGTGCTGCCTTCATGTGCTGCTGTTCTGTCCTTTGCTCAGTTTCCTCTGGCCACACTGGCATCAGTGCCATTCCTGAAGCAAGCCAAGTGCAACTCAGCCTGAGGGACTGTGCACAAGTCTTCCCTCTTCCTAGAGCACTCCTCCTCCAGCTATCTGCCTGGCTAAATTCCCCAAAACCTTTAATCTATGACTATACCCTAGGATACTTAATCAGTTCCTTTCTGATAAAGATTATTCTCAATTATCACATTAACTGTGCAGTGAGGCTAACCTTGACCACTCTATTCATACCTGTCACCACCACCATATTTGGCACACTTGATCCCTCCTTGCCCTACTCACTTTGTTTATACCAGAACACTTACCATCCAGCACACTAAGGGACTTGCTTGTATATTCTGTTTATTGTTTATTGCCAGGACACTCCTGCTAGAATATGAGTTCCATAAATACAGGGATCACTGTATGCTGTACACCCAATAGATACTTAATAAATACCAATGAATATCATAAAACACTGTCTATGGATCACACTGTCACTTGATGGGCTGCCACTTCAGTAGACCTCCAGGGCTCTATACCTGGTTCAGTTTCTTGAATTCAACCACTTGGAAAAAAATGTGCTCAAGGATATGTTTGGCATCCTGCTGATCCTTTGGTAGTTTACTGGTTACTCCAAGAATGTCACCACACTTTCTGACGTAGAATTCCAGGTCTTCTTCAGTACCTACACACAGTTGGAGTAGTTAGATTCACCCTTAATTTCTGCCCTTTCCTAAGTACAGACTTAATGTATTTTAGATCTTCCCTATCAAGATCCTACATATCTTGGGCTGGGGTTGTAGCTCAGCGGTAGAGTGCTCGCCTAGCACGTGCAAGGCCCTGGGTTCGATCCTCAGCACCACATAAAAATAAATAAAAGTATTGTGTCCAACTACAACAAAAAATAAATTAAAAAAAAAAAAAAAGATCCTACATATCTTAACTCACTGGTTCCTAGGGTGATGCAGACTTAAACAGTGACAAACTTGAGATCTCAGATGTGCTACTTTTATAATTAAGACAAAAGTGACATACTATCAGACTAAGGCTGGATTGGTTTTGGCTTTCTTTTCTTTCCTTTTTTTTTTTTTTTTTTTTACTAGCGATTAAACCGAGGGTCCCTTTACCACTGAGCCACTGAGCCACACCCCCAGCCCTTTTTATTTTTCATTTGGAGACAGGGTCTTGCTAAGTTGTTTAGGGCCTCATTAAGTTGCTGTGGCTCATCTCAAACTTGTTATCCTCCCGCCTCAGCCTCCCATATTGCTGGGATTACAGGTATGTGCCATTGCATCTGGATTGGTTCTGGCTTTCTTAGTCCCCAGCATTCTGACATTATAAGTTCTGGACCACCCAGTAGGAACTCAAGCTACCATTCTGGGACTGCAACAAGAACCACTATGAAAAAGGCAGGTGGGTATTTTAAATAGCATTTATTATAAGATTACTTTAGAAAAGAAAAAATCACCCATAACCCATCATTAACATTTATCTGTGAAGCTATTCCCAGCTCCAGTAATTACTGCCCATCATTCATTATACTAATTCTTCTCCCTCTGATTCACATTTAAAAAAAAAAATATTTTTTTTTATTAGATTTTGATGGACCTTTATTTACTTATGTATATGTGGTGCTGAGAATCAAACCCAGTGCCTAATGCAACACTAGGCCCTTTACCACTGAGCCACAACCCCAGCCCTGATTCACATTTTTTAAAGTTATGATAGAAATATAAGTTTTGAAAACATAAAGAGGTTGGGAATATAGCACAGTGGACAGCACTTGAATAGTACAAAAGGCCCCGGGTTCAATCCTTAGCACCATAAAAAAAAATAATTAAAATGTATAGCTATCAGGACCTCTCATCCTAGACTCTTGCCCCACCAAGGCAAGACTACCTAATTATTGCTATATATGCCTCTGTGTGTAAATACAAGTTTTCACAAAAGTGGAATCAAACTATAATAGTTCTATAAATTATCACCATAGTTTGTGTGGGTTTTGTGGTTCTGGGGATTAAACCCAGGGCCTTGTGCATACTAGGCAAGTGCTCTGCCACCAAGCTACAGCCCAGCCCTTCTTCTTGCTGCCATCATTTAATAATATGCCACAGAAATTCCATGTCAAAGCTTATGTTCTACATCTTACTTAAAAAAAAAAAAAAAAAATATATATATATATATATATATATATATATATATATTAGTTATAGGTAGACACAATATCTTTATTTTTTTATTTTTATGTGGTGCTGAGGATCAAACCCAGTGCCTCACGAATATGAGGCAAACGCTCTCCCTCTGAGCCAGAATCCCAACCCCCTACATCTTACTTTTAAAAGACATAATATTCCACTTGATTTCATACTCTTATTTATTGAAGGATGAACCATTAGACTGCTTCCAATTTTTTTGTATGGTACAATTAATATCTACATAGCAGTATCATTTTTATTCTACATTTCTATAAGAATTTTCATAGAATAAATTGCAAAAAAGAAATGCTGGGATGTTGGTTAAAAGCATCTGATTCTTCACAGATTATTATTCCTTCTACACTAACCATTATGTCTTTTTTTTTTTTTTTTTTTGGTGTTGCAGGAGATGAAATCCAGCACCTTGTGCATTTTAGGTAAGCTCTCTAACACTGAGCTGCACCCCAGCCCTTTCTTGCTAAGTTTTCACTGCCAATATCTACCACAATGCCTCTCACAGAATAGAGATGTAGTAAAGGTGCTCTATTTTTCAGTGAACTATTTCCATTTTTTCACATAACTTTCTGGTATTCAGACACATACAGATTTCACACAGTTGGGATCCTACTGTGTGTGCAGTTTATATCTTGCTTCATTAGGATTGCCTCTTAAATTCTGCCATCACTCCCTGGCCTATAAACTTCTTTCATAATGACCACTGATTGTCCAACTGATTGAATGGGACACAATTTACTACCATTCCCCTGCAAGTAGACAGTAAGGCTATTCCCAATTTTAATACATTTTTAAAATAAATCATGTAGAAATCATCTGTAATCCTTCATCCATCTCCTTAAATTATACTCCCAGGAGAGAGGCAAGTGCTGCACTGTGGATTATGCTCCTGGACATATATGTACAGGCCTATTTGCTGTGCTGAAGGCTGGGCATGTCAGCAATACCACTCATCATGGAGCTGCGTGGCCTAGAGCCTCATTTCATCTGACTCCCAATTTGAAGGCTCTTTAAGGCATATTCTTTTGGTCATAACTCATTTTTCTTCATGACTCTTCATATGACCAATGGCCTAGATTTACTAGATAGTAGCCAGCTCAGGATTCAGCCTATGGTTATCAACAAGTCAGAACTAAAGGCCTACAAGGATGAGAGTCACGACTTTTGGCTTCCTTCTTAGCACTGTGTTCTAAATCACTGAGCTAACTGGCCTCAAGAAAAACAACTAGTATCATTTGTATGAGATGAAAAAATTTTAACTTCTTACATCTGTACATATTTGTTCTCCCTCAGCAAATCTCAAAAGTTCAGTTAAGTAAAAGTCATAAAGAATACAAAATTGAGGGCTGGGGATGTGGCTCAAGCGGTAACGCGCTTGCCTGGCATGTGCGCGGCGCTGGGTTCAATCCTCAGCACCACATAAAAGATGTTGTGTCCACTGAAAACTGAAAAATAAATATTAAAAAAAAATACAAAATTGAAAAATTGGCCAAACTTACACTTATTGGTGATCTGAGCAAGCCGTGCTTTCTCAGATGAGAACGTTTCATCTAAGTCAAACAGTTCCAGAGGAGGAGGTGGTAACTCCCTGAAGCTAGGAGGGAAAACCTAAAAGGAAACAGTCTGTCCTGAAAGAGTTATCAAAAACCATAACTAATAATAATGAGATGCACCGGAAATTAGAGGTCAACTCAGCCCTTCCCTGGGGATGAACCACCCAAATTCCCATCACCTCCTCCTGCCCTCACCCAACAGACCCATGCCAAGCCAGACTTGAGAATTCTGAAAGCAACCAAACAGAACCAGCTCTAACAACACTATTAAACTGATCAAGCTGACATATGAATGCCAACTAACTTGGCACGTCGATGCAAAGGTTGGGGCTTAAGTTTGGGCTAAACATTTGATTTTTCAACTCATTTCTCATTTGATCATGAGATTTTTAGGAACAGAAATTATTTGGGGAGGCAGATTAGTATAGCAAATGCTGAACTAGGTCAGAATTCATAGTTATGAACCAGTAATCTGCTGGTATACTTTTAACTATGAATTCTCAAAACAAAATATCTGATTTGTAGCACTTGCTATTTTCTATGATATAAATACTCTATCACGGCCAATTTCAAGCTAGCAAACTGAAGCCAACTGGCTCATAACATTCCAGAATGTACAGGACAAACTAAGCAGGTTGAGTTAATACTGGACTAAAAAGCTGAAGAAAAGCCTGTCTATACTTGACTATCCCCAGGCCACGCCATGCCATGCCATTCCTATTCCATTCCTGTTCCTGTTCTTGTTTCTATTCTATTCTATCCTATTCTACCAAAGATTGAATCCAGGGGTGCTTAACCACTGAGCCACATCCCCAACACGTGTTTTAATTTTCAGGTAGGATCTTGCTAAATTGCCCAGGCCTCACTAAGTTGCTAAGGCTGGCCTTGAACTTACAATCCTCCTGTCTCAGTCTCCCAAAGTTGCTGGTATTATCTGTGTGCACCACCATATGCAGCTACCCTGGGCATTTAGAACTGCTATCAATCTGAGTATCCAATGTCTGGAAAGATAGCACAAGTGTTTTTTTCCTTCTTACTAGGCAGTCTCACAGTATGCCCTACAACTCTATAAGATAGCCAAAAATGTCCACTTTCTTGATCCCTCAGGAAGCTTCCCATGTTCATCCCTACAGAATACTAACAGGTTGCCTACCTATGCATTTCAGAGGCAGATCACTCTGACTCAGTGAGGCATGCCACAAACAGCACACAGAGGGGTCCAAAATCAAAGTAAAAAGTGGGGCTCTGCAGGGGTGGCCCACAAGTACACCTACTCACCGCAGGCTGAAGGGCTGGCAGTGGCGTCTCAAACTGAGGTTGAATGAGTTGAAGTGGTTCATGTTTTACATTTAGCTGCTCATGAGCCCTGTGTTAATAAAACAAAAGCTAGGATCAAGGTGACACACTGTAGCAAGGCACATCTAGCTCAACACACTGTGCTGTTCTCCTCAAAGATGGTGGGTGATTCAGGACTATTTTTAAAAAACAAAATATATTGTTATATGTAATGTAATGATTCTTTTAGGAATCTTCTCTACTGCATCATACAGTATTATTTATTGAGAACTGAAAGGAAAACTTTCTTTCATATTTCTCATCAGGCAGAAAAAAAATTTCCTAAATAAATAGGCTTTTGGTTTTTACAGGATGCACAATGATCATTATAACTCTGTTTCCTTGTTTACTTTTACCATCAAGACAGGAGTCCAATCTAGTTTGCTTCTGGCTAATCAACAGATTTGCATGCTCTGCCCTTCCTTGTGCTCCTTCACTCCACAGACTCTAACTGAATATCTACTGGTCCCAGGCAATTTACACACACAAGTACAACAGCAGTGAAAAGAAGAGAGCAAGGAGGCCTTTGGGAACTTACATTCTTGGGGAGGAGAGATAGTAAACAAAACAACAACAACCCAAAAAACCGGCAATATGCCAGTTATCTATAAGTATTAAGAAAAAAAACGCAAATCCAGAGACAAAGGCTGCAAGTGACTTGTCAGAGGAGCCCTAAGTGAGAGAGGGAGGAAGTCACACAGTTTTCTTCAAGAGTGTCCTTGGCAGAGGCAAGAGGAAGGAAAAAGGTAGGAGGGGGCTAGGCCTTGTCACATAGCACAGGGACCAGAGGGGCTATGGTACATAGAGCAGTGGGAATCATACCCTGTGGTGTTGGGCTACTGTGGCTTTCCCTTTGCTTCTATTCTAACACTTATTCTGTCTTTTTGGATTTTACCTAATTTTGAAAGCTAGCTAAACTCCCCCGCAGAAGAGGCTAATTAAAATATACTCACCCAATTTAAATTTTATACATATTTGTGATCTTTCAAAATTAAGCTACAAAAGTAAACACCAATGAGTGGACAAGGCTGTATGTATGAGTGATGTCAGAAAGCAGTGATGTCAGAAAGTTCTCCCCTTGTGCTTGGGGAGAACCCTTCCTAGCAATGAGCAGCAGATCCCCACAGAGGGAAGAGAAATAATTTATTGAGTACCAACTACCTGCCACATATTGTGCCTGACCCTGTGCTAGGTACTTAAACTTCATTTCATCATCAAAGCAACCCTGGAATATGGGCATAATCTCTTAAGGAAGAAGAAACAGATATAAAGACTTTAAGTAGCTTCCAAATTCATATGGTTCAAAGGACAGAGCAAGATCAGAACACAGAAGCTCACCAGTCCCTGCCAAAAGTATCCTTCCAACTCTGTCTACCCAGAAAGCAAAAGTCATCAGGGGCAGTTTTTGGCTAAAGTTCCTATCATCTATACTTAAAGAATCCTGCCTGCTGAGTCCTGGTCTTTGGCCATCCTGCCATGATTTGATTTCTGTCCCTGGAAAGCTGACTGCGGAGGAGCAAATATTCTGTTTTGTTAGGTCTTCCCTTTATCCACTCATTTTGCCACGTGCCCAAATCTTCCTCCTGCCAGCAATCAGCATGTGCTTGATGGGATGGAATTGGGGGTAAAGAGACTGATCCTCAAACTAAGCAAAATCTAATTCGGAAGGCCGATCTGTATGGGAGAAGGGGAAGAATAAATGACAAAACTAAATACATATATGTAAATTGGGACTGAACTATGTATCTCCATTTATTTCCAGAACACTCTGGCCTGACCTCTGACACTACACTTTCATCACCATGTTTCAATCCCCAACCCAACAGATCATGAACTCTCAGAACAGGTCATTACACCTTCAACCTCTACCTCATATCCCTTAGGCCTCAATAAATATGGAATTAAACAGGTACAGTGGTGCACACCTGTAATCCCAGTGGCTCGGGAGGCTGAAGCAGGAGGATCCCAAATTCAAAGCCAGCCTCAGCAATTTAGCAAGGTCCTAAGCAACTGAGTGAGACTCTGTCTCTAAACAGAATACAAAAGGGCTGGGGATATGGCTCAGTGGTTAATGAGCAGCAGATCCCCACAGAGGGAAGAGAAATAATTTATTGAGTACCAACTACCTGCCACATATTGTGCCTGACCCTGTGCTAGGTACTTAAACTCACTTCATTTCATCACCAAAGCAACCCTGGAATATGGGCATAATCTCTTAAGGAAGAGGAAACAGATATAAAGATTTTAAGTAGCTTCCAAATTCATATGGTTCAAAGGACTTAATCTCTAGTACAAAAAAAAAAAAAAAAAAAGATAATACATTTAAGAGTTGTCCAAAGCCAGTTGTCCAAAAGCAGCCCACACCTATAATCCTACTGGCTTAGGAGGCTGAGACAGGAGGATTTTGATTCCAAAGCCAGCCTTGGTATCTTTTTTTTTGGTGGGGAGAGGGGCTGGAATTACAGGAATGCACCACCATGCCTGAATCAAGTGTGTTCTTTTGATGAAATACAGATGTGCCCCCAAATCCCCAAATTTAAATCTCTAGCCCAAATTTCTCTGCTGATCATAAGATAACATGTACATCTGCCACTCAACATGCATCTGGACATTTCACAGACATCTTAACTCAATATGTCTCAAACTGAACTTCAGTTCTTCCTGTCCAATCTACTCAGTCTTCCCCAACTGTTATTGCAACTTTATCCTTTTAATTGCTAAGACCAAACCTTGAAGTCATCCTTGACCCCTTTTCTTCTCACCCTCCACATTCCACCCATTAAGTATCTCTTGCTGCCTATACCTTCAAAATATATCCAGAATCTGACCACTCCTCACCACCTCCACAGCTAACACCGGCTGGAGTATCATCTTGTGCCTGGATTACTGGAATCATCTGCCTTTATTCTCTGCTTCCACCCTTGCTCCCCTCATTTTATGACAGAACAGATGTACTTTTTTCCCTTTCTCTTTTTGTAGTGCTGGGGATGGAACCCAAGGCCTTGCACATTCTAGATATGCTCTACCACTGAGTCACACCCCCCAGTCCTTGATCCTTCACTTTAAAGAAATTAGTCATCATGTCATACCTCTCCTCAAAACTTTTCACTCAGTCAAGGCTGAGCTTAGGTCCTCACAAAGGCCTATAAGGAGCTGGGCAAAGTAGTACACACCTGTAATCCCAGGTACTGGGGCTTAGGCAGGAGGATCAAAAGTTCAAGGTCAGCCTCAGCAATTTAGTGACGCCCTAAGTAACTTAGTAAGACCCTGTCTCAAATAAAGAAATTAAAAGGGCTGGGGATGTGGTTCAGTGGTAAAGCACCCTGGGTTCAATCCTCAGTACCAAAAAAAAAAAAAAAAGTCTACAAGGCCCCACCAAGTCTCCTACCATTCCTGTTCCTGCTCCAGCCCCAATAGTCTTTTGGCTCTTCCTTGAATAATCAAGCACTTTCCCATCTTGTTCTCTTTATACTGGTCACTCTGAGAACACTCTGCCCAGTGTTCTTCCCTCAGATACCCACATGGCTCACTTGCTCACCTCCTTCAAATTTTTGCTCAAGCATCACTACCTCAAGATGATGCCATTCTGAGCTGGGCATGGTGGTACATGCCTGTAATCCTAGTGATGCAGGAGGCTGAAGCAGAATGACTGGGAGCTCAAAGCCAGCCTCAGCAACTCAGTGAGGCCCTAAGCAACTCAGCCAGATCCTGTCTCAAAATAAAAAATAAAGGCTGTGGCTCGGTAATGAAGTGCCTCCGGCTTCAGTCCCCAGTAAAAAAAAAAAAAAAACACTCCGACCATCCTATTAAAAATGCAACTGCCCCAGTACTCCAATCCCCAGTAGTCCACTTGAAGTTTGTACCATCTTCTACCATATTCTTTAATCTACATTTGCACATATATAAATGTCTTAATGCCTATCTGGACATTGCTCATACATTGCTCACTCTCAATGTCCCTAGCTCATCTCCTGAAATCCTTCTACGAATACACACAGTGCTGAGTAGATACAAGGCCTTGAAGAAATGTTTGTTGAAGAATCAACATGTAGCTAAAAATGCAATTTTTTCATAAGGTCCTCAGTCAGAATCAAATTCCCTATATTCATTATGCCCATCTCTAGTTTATACTTCACATTTAGGGTTTATATAATAAGCTTAATTGGAGCTTGTCTGTCTCCTCCATAAACAGGAAATTTCAGGGATAGTTTCTAGTACAGTAGGCACTCAGTATTTGTTAACTTGAACATAAGGACAGGCGTATGAAGACAAGTATCTGTACTTGTACACTCCACCTTTGTATTTAGATATTTTTATTTAGATATAGATCCTGAGCCAGGCAAAATTTGCTCAAAAATGTTATTCTCTGACCATCAGGGATGGAAAACAATAAAGCAGGCAATAAAACAGGAGAAAGCACTGGCCTGAAAGTCATTCAGGACAGACTTTAAATCCCTGCTCACCTTCGGAAAACTCTGTCCCTTCCTTCTTAAGAGGGAATACTGTCTCTTCCTTCTTTAAATGTCAGTTCCTCATGTGGAAACATGGCTAATAACTCTCAGGACCGTGGAAAAGTTTTCAATGGCATTAACAGTATAAGTACCTCAGTTTACTGAGGGGATTCCTGGGTCTTAAAGTTCTCTGTGTTAAACCTAGAAAAGTCCTGGGCAAAATGGAAAAGGTCAGTCATTCTAAGTGCTTGGTACATAGCTTGGAATACACAGTGGCTAATAACTGCTGGCAGTTGCTCTGCATCCCCAACCCCAATTTCTCTGTTGGCCTCATCATAGATCTGAGAACATGTTTTTGTCTGCCACCTTTGCTGTGACCCTAATTCCTGTCCCCAAGCTCATGTTTTCAAACAAACATAAATGAACTAAAGTGTAGCTCAAAGAGCCCCAGGTACTGACTTGATAACCTTGGGGAGGGAGGTGGTATCCAGCTGGTAAATGGACAGATCGAAGAGGGTGGTAAAGTCACGTGGGTTCTCATCTCCCTCCTGGAGACACACTCGGAGACGCTCTGACAGGGTGGCTGTGTCAGGTAGCATCATGTAGTCGGAGATCTGAAAGCCATAAGAGGGTTCCTTTCAGCAAAGCAGGAACAAGAGTTCATTTTGTTGAGTCTCCACTGTCTGAGGTCTCAAATCTGCAGTACTTAAACTTTCTTGCCAAGAGATTTCACTATTCATGATCATAGACAACTAAATCTTAAGCCATTTTAAGTGGAAAGAGGAACAAAACTCTCTTGGCTAAAGCCCAAGGCTGGTGAAGTCCAACTCTCCAAATACTCAAGCAGATACTAACATAGCTGAACATAGCTGCAGAAACATACAATCATGCTGTCATTCTTCTTTTAATTTCACGATGTCTCATCTTGACTACCAGGCACTCAATTCTATCTCCCTAGTCCACTTCCATTCCCACATCCAAGGCAATACTTCCCTTTGTCAAATCAACAATCCAAAATAATTTTGATCTATTCAATTTTAGTGAGTGACTTTATTTTCTATTTTAGTGAGAAAATAGAAGCAATTATAAAGGAAAGTCCATCAACTCCCACTACAATATGCACCCTACACTAACATCTGGGCCATACTGTTTTCTGTCCTGTCAAGTACAGAAATGCCAGTGATGCCAGCACAGACATCCCTTTCCTTTGTACACTAGATCCTAGCCCTTCTCTTTTAGCCTAAGACATCCTCCAACATTGCTGAGAGTCCTCAATGATAACATATGCTCAGTGCTGATAATAGTAAAGGATCAGGGAAACCTAAATATCAATAGGAGGTTGTTCAATATAGTATAGTACATTCAAACAATGTGAAATATACTCTTAAAAATGAACAGAAAAAGAGAAGAAAGCTCTTTAAAGAACATGGAAAAGTTCTCAGGTCATATTGATAATATCAAAAGGTAAGGTGCTAGGATAGTATGCATACACAGCAAATGTGGTACTATTTGCAAAAAGAAGAGGAAAGAAAGTACACACACACTCACATACTTGGTTTTATAACATATCTCTGGAAGAACATGTAGGACACTACTACTATTGTGGTCATTGGAAGGGGAACAGAGTGGCCAGGCTGAAAGATAGAAGGAAGACTATTTGTTGTGTATGCTTTTGAATTCTGAACTATGTGAATATATTACCTATTCAAAAAATAAATTCAAATTTAACTAAATGAATGCTGTCAACAAGAAATTTGCTTTTTATTGCCTTTTGAAATGTAATGAGCAAACAAGGCCAACTTGGTAATAGTTTAAAAATGGGTCCTCTGAAGTTATCTGCAATGTACAGTTTCCTATATTCTCTAGCTCCACCACTGCAGGAGATAGGCCTGAACATTACATAAATAATAAATTGGCTCATTCTTTTCTGTAGCCTAAGGGTCAAAACTCTCCAATCTTCAATCTCTTTTTTTAAACAATAAATGAGAGAAGAGCATAAACAAATAAATATCCTTCCCGACAACAGGAAGACAAGTGCAATAACAAGGGTACCAATATGCCCAGACACACTAGAATGCAACAGAGTCCAGGCCTGGGCCAGTCAACCCAAAGATCCTGAAGCTGATTCTCTTAATTCTCTGCATAGGGCCTTTCCACAAAACCCTAATTCAGAAAATCATTAAGGCCTTAGGTGTACAGAAAGAAAGAAATGTAAGAGTGCTTCTGGGACCACTGGCTTTCCTGACTTCCTGGCAGATTCTGAGGTTAAAACTTGTTAGGTCAACTCCTCCAGCTTCTTATTGATCTTCTGTTTCACCAAATACTACTTGACAATGAGATAATATCTGAGTTTAAAATCCATTGCAATATAATAAGGTTTGATCTAAAATCGTAGGAAGTTCAGATTTTCACAACTTCTCTCTTTACAATGTTACTGGATGTAGCATTTACCTTTCTAAAGTCATACAATACAAAGCACAATTGTCACCAGGTCTCACATCTGGAAGATACAGGCATGATTTGAGAGAAATCCCTTAACACTACAATCTTCCCCTGGTTTCATATGAATGCCTTTCTGAATTAGTCTTGGGTCAGGTGTGATGGACAGTGAAGAACAGGGCAGCAGGAAAGGAAAGGCTCCAAAACCAGCCTGACCTGGAATTGACCTAATTGCAGACCTTAAAGGATTTCCCAATTAGTTTTCTTGGCTAAAAACCAGGAATGACAGAAACTTAGCAGGAGCAAGGTGTCACACAGAAAAGGAACAGATGCAGCCTCTCTTAGCACAGCTCCATTGACCCAACTATCTCACTAGGATTGGCAGCTATAAAAGATACTGCCCACTCTGGCCTAGGTACTGTGAGAGCTGAAAAGTGAATTCCATGCTGTACCCCAGTCATTTAACTTTGGGGACATATATAATTTTTCAAGAGAAATTCAAGTAAAATATCCATATACTTAATGTACCCAAATAAGGGAATATCTCAGCAGCTCTCGTGTTTCCTAAGGCAAACAGCTTCTAAAAAGCCACAGCTGAGGGAAGAAGCAGTCAGTGGACGGCCATCTCTGACAGAATACCTTCTTGCCACAACTGTTACCCACAGCTGAAAAATCATCTTCTTTTCATTTCAGAGTTTAAGAAACAGAAAATCAATTAAATAGGAACAGGCTTTGAATCAGGAAGACCTGGGTTTGTGTCCTACCTCTGCATTTGCCTACTGTTAGAGCACATTGCAAACTTGTAGAATTTCAGTTTCCTCATCCATAAAATGGGAATGCGACCATCCATCTCCCAGGATTATCGTGAGAATTAATACAATGATCTATGTGTAAGTGTATGACATACAGGGGCTGGGAATATAGTAAATGTGAAAATTTTTAAAAGCTGAGCTGGGAGTGTAGCTCAGTGGTAGAGCATGGACTAGCATGTGTGAGGTCCTGGGTTTGATCCCCAGTCCCTCAAAAATAAATAAATAAATAAATAAATAAATAGGTTAATAGATAAATAAATAAATAGGTCGATAGATAGATAGATAGATAGCTTACATAGCATGGTTTTAGTATAGTAAGTGAATTCAGTTTAGTAAATAAATTCCCATCCATTAAAACAGTCCTCAAAATCATCCTGTGAGATACACAGCACAGGTATCAGAATTCCTGCTTTACAGATGAGATTCCAGAATTAAAAGATGTCAAAAAGAATCTGCTACAGTCCCAAGATCAGTGGTGGAGCCAGACCTGGAATTCAGGTTACTGGTTTCCATTCTAATGATCATATTACCTTGTCTCAATTACCATACTGCCTTTTAGAATTATTTTAAAAGACAACAAAATTACAGTTTAAAACTTAAATTCTAATAATATGAATTTTTTCATGAAAAAAAATTATATTTTTTTGTATTTTTAAGAGAAATCCTTTTTGACAGATATTTATTTATTTTTAATATCTGACATGAACAATTTAGAAGAAAAAAAATTGTTTTGGTCAGCTGACTCTACTGTTATGGGTCCATGGGGAGGTAGACATCATGGTAGAAGGGTATGGCAGAGGAAAGCTACTCAGCTCATGATAGTTGGGAAGCAGAGGTAGATAACTCATTTTATTTTTTAAAATTTATTTTATTTTTCCTGTGTTGGGGATTAAGCCCAGGGCCTCAAACATGCTAGGCAAATGCTCAACCACTGAGCTCCACTCCCAATCCCATAGCTGTCTTTAATATATGAATTATATATGCATCTAGGTTGCAAAGAAAGTGGAAGATGCATGGAAGTTTATATTTTTTTAAATTTTTTTCACAGTTATTACATATGCATTTAGATTGCAAATAAAATGGGAGATGTGTAGAAGTTTTTATTTTTTTAAATTTTTTCACAATTATACTTTAGAGAAATTCTGTTTTGTTTTTAATATATACATATATATTTTAATTATAGATGGACCTTTATTTATTTACTTACTTATTTGTTTATTTATTTATATGCAGTGCTGAGAATTGAACCCAGTGCCGTACACATGCCAGGCAAGCATTCTGCCACTGAACCACAACCCCAGCCTAATAACTCATTTTAAAAGATTGAGCCAGAAAGCATATTTTAAATTTTAGTTCTTATATGTATATATGGGCTACCACCCTAATTAATAATATGATTAATTATATAATTTAGCTGGGAGGTCGTGGCACATACCTGTTATCCCAGTGACTCCAGAGGCTGAGGTAGGAGGTCTTCCTCTACCCCCCAAAATCACTTTTTTCCCTCTTATATACAAGACAGACATATGTTCCTTTGGAACTATTAGAAGTGGTAGTGAAAAGCGGATCCATTTTTTAATTTATAAATTTCTTCTTCTTCTTCTTCTTCTTTTTTTTTTTTTGACATCAGGGATTAAACCTAGGGGCACATAACTACTGAGCCACATCCCCAGCCTGTTTTTTTAAATTTTGAGACAGGGTCTTGCTAAGTTGCTCAGGGCCCAAGTTGCTGAGGCTGGCTTTGAACTTGCAATCTTCCATCTCAGCCTCCCAAGGCACTGGGATTATAGTCATGTACCATTATGCCAGGCTCATTTTTAAGTTTCTAATGATTCACAACTTCCTACCTCTGGGTCCTCAGCATCAATCTGATTTAGGTGAATGTCTCCTGTTGTGAGCCACTGGAAAACAACATCCTGGATTTAAAAAATAAACACAGAATTAGATACCTGGTTATTTGGAAAAGCTAAAGGTCAGAGAGTTAAGTCAATCAAGAAAAAATAATAAAGGAAAAAGACTAAACCAATGATTCAGAAAAGTAACGAGACTTCTATTGGTGATATCATATGAAAACTTAAAGGTTTTCTTCTCCTAATACAACCTTTATTGTCAGAAATTCATCATTTACCTTAGGACACTCTAATACTTAACCGTAAGCCAAAATTTATTAAAACTTGTTCACAATCCTGAAAAAACCTTTTAATATGATGGCAGTCTGATCTTAAAAAGTATGGCTACTAGCCAGGCACAGTGGCACACGCCTGTAATCCCAGCAGCTTGGGAGGATGGTGAACTCAAAGCCAGCCTTACCAAAAACGAGGTGCTAAGCAACTCACCCTGTCTCTAAATAAAATACAAAATAGGACTGGGGACGTGGCTCAGTGGTCAAGTGCCCCTGAGCCCTGAGTTCAATACCCAGTACCAAAAAAAAAAAAAAAAAAAAAAAAGTATAGCTACTAAAAAGCAGAATATCTAAGAGCAAGGTACTATGCCAACATGTGTGTAATCCTAGACACCCAGGAAGCTGAGGCAGAACGAGCACAAATTCAACGTTAGCCTAGGCAAATTAAATTAACAATAAAGGGCTGGGGATGTTGCTCAGTGATAGAGCACCCGGGTTCAATCCCCAGTACCACAGGGAAATAAAAAAGAACATCTAGCTCTCCAAGACTACATCTAGAGGCACTAGAACTTCATGAGGATTCTACATAAATCAGACCTTAATAAGACTCTCAATACAACCCTTCTAAAATGGAAGGAGTCAATTTCATTAATGCGTATACCTTCCTGTGACAAGTAAGCCACTGGAATCCCACAATGTACAGCTCTGTGAAGGTATCTGCTTCCCACTCTGCTGTCCTTTACACTATTCTGATAGAATAACTGCAATGTCTTTACTTCATTGCCCTCAGTCAATGTTGTACATAAAGTTCCTAACTTCCATGCACACTCTCAGCCCTTCCTCTCCATTCTCCCTTCACTCCTTGATTCAGTCTTTATTCTTTTTACCCGGTTGACTTCACCAGCCTCTTAACTGGCTCTGGCTGCCCCTTTCTCATTCCACACAAATGACAGAAGGATCTGACTATGCCCAAGGCTGCTGCAAACCCTAAAAGGGTCCCCATAGCTTCTGGCATAAAGTTCAAGTTCTGGAGCTTTACACTTAAGGTCCTTATTAAGCTTGCTCCTCTCAGGGTTGGCTCCCATCCCTACTTGGCATGCTTAGAAATATATTTCTGGATTAATCTGAATGTCATTCTTTTTCTTCATGTACTATAAACTTTTTCTAAGCAAGGGACTATGCCTGAATCTCTGTATTCTTAGTGCCACCATATAATGGATTCTGAAGAGATGGTTTTAAATCAGTAAAGGTGTTTACCAACATTAATACATCAATTTGATGACAGAGAAAAGCTCACCATGATTTTGCTGTTTTCTTCTTTATCCAAATACTGGTCACTGAACATGTGACATGAGCCAAGCACTGCCAGCTTCCCGCCTTGGTTCTACTAATGACAAAGCACTGTCAGATACTCAGATCCCAAAACACTGCATGAATCCTAGTCCCTCAACATTTACCACCAGAATCATGTCAGCAACTGTCTTACATACTAAAAAGTGCCAATTCACATTAGGATTTTAACAGTCTATCAATATCCACTGTGATGACAACTACAACTTACTTGGCCTCTCATTTTAGACATATCTATATTTTCCCACTTAATTTTAACAAAAAGTAATATAAATTGGTTTGCCAGCCTTTTCCCAATGTTATCATATAAATGGAGATCATAGTTTTTTTTAATGCTGGGGATAGAATCCAAAGCCTTGCACATGCTATGTAAGCATTCTACCGCTGAACTATTCTCTCAGACCAATAACAATTTTAAAGGGGGAGAAAAGGCAAACCCAAACATATTCTATCCGAATTTCAAAGACATTTATAAGTACAAAAAAAAAAAGAGAGTTTAAGATTCAAACAGAAAACTAAATTATCAATATGAAAAGTTCACAAAAAGAAATATCAACTGGTTCATAAGAAAAAACTTCAATATTAGTAAAAGTACCTATCAGATTAATAAATATAAAAAAGACTATAAAGTGTTGGTCAGGTTTAGTGAAATGAGTTCTTTCACACACTGCTGCTCAAACTGTCACACACTGCTGCAACAACTGTCAACATATGCAACAAAACAAACTGAAATACACAAAAAAGTCTACCTGCAATGTTATATCCATAACTATATCTAATTATGTCACAAATAATTAGAAATAAATCCAAATGAAACACAAGGTAAAGGAGACAGGAGTGGTGGCACACACCTGTAATCCTAGTTACTCAGGAGGCTGAGGCAAGAGGATCACAAGGACAACCTTGGCAACTTAACTAGACCTTGTTTGAAATTTTTAAAAATTGTTTAAAAAGGCTGGGTATGTATCTCAATGGTGGATCACTTGCCTAGTACGAAAGAAGCCCTGGATTCAGTCCCCCAAATTGTCAAAACAAGAAAAAACAAAACAACAACAAAAAAAGAAATCAAATAATCATAGTTTGCAGTATTAAACCACCAGGGCCCCTTAAAATACTATCTCATTTTCATTTGTATGTATAAACTGACAGTTTATATAAACTATTTCCACATCTCAAAAATAACACTTTAGTTTTAAAATAATATTTCAGCTATTTGGAAGTGAAAACTACCATAATAGCCACATGAATTTTGTTTAAATCTTTCACAGCATAGACATTTATTTACTTCCTAAGAAAAATGAGAGCTTTAAATAAGAAGAGGAAAGAAAACTAGATCTCACAAAGAAAAACTAGGAATGTGTAGACCAAGGGATATTTAAGTCCCTTGAAAAAACAGAAAGGTCAGCTGATGAATTCCATGTCTTATGGACAGATGAAGGTAAATTCAGCAAAATGTGAATTAAAAGGCAGTGGGAAAATGACAGTATAACATAGAAACCTCTGGACCACTGTTGCCACACTCCATGTTTCTCCAAATGAGAACTAGACAACTAGTCTTCTGATATGTTCTCCTGGGATAAACCAAAACAAAAGCAGCATAATTCTAGCCAATTTTGTGTAGTTAACTCCCCCTTTTCCTAAATGGATTCTCAGTACTCTGAGAGTGAGGACACAGAATAATAGGACAAAGTTGGTTGAGAGTTATAAACAGATACCCTCACACTATTGTGGAAAAACTTTAGACTTAAAATAAGGGGTAGGTTTAGGATTTGACACCATTGATTATAAGATGACCCACTGCTTCCCATGAATAAAATGTGGATACCTAAAAACCACTTCATTGGATTGACATAAAGATCAGTGAGAAAATATGTGAAATTCATATACAAAATGACAAGAAGTTTTTAGTATTTCAATAATAAAAATAACATACACATCCATATTTAACGAAAGTTGTACCTTTGAGTGATAAAAAGCCAGAATGGGTCTGTTAAGTGGGAAGCAGACAGAACCTGTGGACAGAACAGCCACTGCTGGTTTCATGACACTCAAGGTGGCACCAAAAGGATAGACAAAGGTGAGAGCCCTGTAAGAAATTAGAGGAACACATACAAATGCTTATGAAATATATTTTTAAAATCTGAAAATAAACTTAAGTGTTTTTTGAGCAAAACTGATTCACCATAAAATACAATTTTTTTCCTAAGCTTGGGTTAGTTAACTCAAAAACTGGGACAACTATAGTTACAAGTTTAATGTGGTATCTTAGCAAATATCAATGTGAACTAACAGAAAAGTGCAAATGATTATAACCGGAAAAAGTAAAGTAGCCCCAACGGAGCAGGAAGCAACCAGGGGCCTCATCTAAGAATGACCTAGAGTTTCACATGAGCCTGTTCTGCATAATAATGTCTTAAAAGTATATATTTTCTTCTTCCTCGGATTTGGCTGCTACAATCTCTAAGAATGTCTATCATGGGAGGGCATGTCACCAGGTGAATGCTTACATGAATTGGGGGGCATATATGTACTTCACACTGGACACTGCTACAAAGACTTGCCTTGGAGTCCCTTCTCTACTCTCCACTAACACAGACTTAAGAGCATCTAGCTTGATGCAGATGCACACATCTATAATCCCAGCAACTCTGGAGGCTGAGGTAGGAGGATCATAAATTCAAGGTGAGCCTCAGCAACTTAGTGAGACTGGTCTCAAAATAAAAAATATAAAAGACTAGGAAAGCAGCTCAGTGGTAAAGTACCTTGGATTCAATCCCCACGTGACCAAGGGCAAAGTACTTCTAGAAACTATGGGGTGCAGATCCTGAGGTGAGGCTAACCCATATAGGAGGGGTTAGGGTTTTACTGAAAGTTGGAGCTCTGCAAACGTAGCTGTTTGAAGGAAGTGATCTCAGAATGGAGACAAACAGTAATCTTAAATTCAGAGCATAAATTAGAGACTGCTGGGTAGGGGAAATCATGGAGAAAGCATCCATGAGGAATCAAGATTTTAATTTTCCTATTCCTTTGAACCATGAGAAACCTCTTCCTACCTTAACTTTAAAATTATTTCCTGCCAGGGTTAGTTTTCCCCAACCCTTCAGTAAAGTCTTGTCTACCCTTATGACTTCCATGGTCACGCCATGGGAGAGAAGCCAATACCTGCCAACATTCTCCATTCTCCTCCATCTGCCCCTAGCGCAGCCGCATCCGACTAAGTAGAGACTACAGCCCTGAGTTCTAGGCCAGGAGCACAAGGAAATCACCAGCTGACCATGGAATAACATTTAAGTGGAAGAAATAGTCACATGAATGTCAGTGTGAATTCTACCACCATCCCCACCATTTCCCCCAAATTCACTCAAAGGAGATAAGCTGACTGTATGTTTTCTATGAATTTTGTTACTGATTTTTGACCATTAAAAATTTTTTTTCTCATCATTTATAAGAACTCTGTGTACTGCAAATTTTTCTCAGTTACGTATTCACTTTCAGGAATATTACCCCATAAAAGATGAACTTTACATAAAAAGTTACAAAAATCTAGGAATTAAAGTAATGTGGACAGTCAGAATGACAGTTATCAAGAATACAAACAACCATAAATGTCGGCCAAGGATGTGGGAAAAAAGGCACACTCATTCATTGCTGGTGGGACTGCAAATTGGTGTAACCAATCTTGAAAGCAGTATAGAGATTCCTGAGAAAACTTGGAATGGAACTGCCATTTGATTCAGCTATCCCACTCCTCTGCTTAGACCCAATGGACTTAAAATCAGCATACTATAGTAATTCAGCCACATCAATGTTTATAGCAGCTCAATTCACAATAGCTAAACTGTGGAAGCAACCTAGATGCCCTTCAATAGATGAATGAATAACAAAACTGTGGTATATATATACAATGGAATATCACTCAGCATTAAACAATAAAATTATGGCATTTGCAGGTAAATAGATGGAGCTGGAGAATATCATGCTAAGTGAAGTAAGTAAATCCCAAAAATCCAAAGGTCAAATATTCTAAGTGGATGTTGATCCATAATGCAGGGGAGAACATGGGAAAAATAGAGGAACTTTGATGGAGCAAAGGAGAAAGAGGGGAGGAGAGAGGGTATGGGGGTAGAAAAGATGGTGGAATGAGATGAACATCATTACCCTAGGTACATGTATGACTGCACATATGGTGCAATGCTACATCAAGTGTACAACCACAGAAATGTAAAGTTGTGCTCCTTTTGTGTACAATGAATCAAAATGCATTCTGCTGTCATATATACCTAATTAAAATAAATGAAAAAAATAATGTAGAACTAGTGAATTAAAAACAAATAATATGGATTAGAATCAAACTCCAAATATAGGTGCAAGGTGTGAATTATACATATAGTAAGTAAATATTTCAAATTATTGGAGATGGATGGCATAATTTCAGCTACTTGGAGAAACATATCCATTTTTATATCACATCCTAAAATATATCCAGATGGATTAAAAATGTATTCAAAAACAAGACCACAAAAGTGCAAAAAAAATGTGAATATTTCATAATCTTAGGATAGGAAAAACCTACTCCCATGTGCTAATAATCAAAGAAATGCAAACTAAAAAAGAAAAAAGAGATACCATTTTTACTAGAATACTCCATGCTGGCAAGAGAGGAAAAGGGGACGTGTTCATAGGAACTGTAAGTGCTGGCAACTGCCTGAAGGCAACTGGGCAATGTATCACAGTTGACATGTGTCAATAAGATGACTTTTGACTCAGAAATTCCAATGCTACCTTATTAAAATACTAGCAAAAGTGCACAAAAACTATACCAAGATATTCACATGTGCTTTTTATTTGTAACATATAAAAACTTGTTTATAACCATATGGAGCAGAGGTCAACTGCTGCATTCTCCCTTGAATGTGTGTTCCTTGCTTTATCCCAAAAGCTTCTCACTGTCAAGTTGGTTGGCACCCTCCCCTGTATGCGTATTTCTTACTTTATTCACAAAGACGTCTCTCTTTTGAGATAGCCTACATTCTCTCCTAAAGGTGCATTTGCTTTCCTAAATAAATCTGTCTCAGAAAAAAAAAAAAAAAAGTACAGGTTCTGGAGCAAATGCCTAGGTTTAACCAAAGTTCTAACACTCAGGTAAATTTGGGCTATTACCTCTTTGTATTTCATCTCTAACTGTCTGTGGTTGTTGTGAATATTAAATGAAGTAATATATATCTATTACACAGTAAGTGCTCAAATAAATGTTAGGTAGTATTATTAAGGCAAAATATTAGCCAGGCACAGTGGTAGAGACCTATAATTACAGCAACTTGGGAGGTTGAGGCAGGATTACATGTTTGAGACCAGCTTCAGCAACTTACTGAGACCTTGTTTCAAAATAAAAACTAAAGGGGCTGGGATTGTGGCTCAGTGGTAGAGCGCTTGCCTAGCCTGTGTGAGGCACTGGGTTCGATTCTCAGCACCACAAAAATAATTAATAAAGGGCCACCAACAACCAATAAAATATCTTTAAAAAGCTAGCCATAGCAACTTAGTGAGGCCCTAAGCCACTTAAGTGAGACCCTATCAAACAATTTTAAAAGGGGCTGAGGATTTAGCTTAGTGGTAAAGTACCCCTGGGTTTAATCCCTAGTACCCTCCCCCAATCAAAAAAAAAAAAGAGAGACAGATTATCTTCAGGGGAGAGGCATGGATTTAAAATGCAGAACTTTTACTTTCTGCCTTTCTTTTTTTTTTTTTTCTGTACTGGGTTTTGAACCCAGGGGCACTTAATCACTGAGCCACATCCCAAGCCCTCTTTTTTGAGACATGGTCTCACTAAATTCTTAGGGCTTCAGTAAGCTGCTGAGGCTAACCTTGAATTTGCAATCATTCCTGCCTCAGCCTCCTGAGATGCAGAGATTACAGGGGTACCGCACTGCCTGGCTACTTTCTTCCTTTTGAACTGTTTAAACTGTTTTTATTTATTAATTGGTGAGAATTACTTTTGTAATTGGGAAACTCTTTTCACTTTCAAAAGGAAAATCCTTTGAAATGATAAATCCATCCTCCTCAAATGGCTTGAGAAACACACTCACTGGGCATTGTTTCCACTGCTCTCATCATCAATGATTCCAGGAACGGTTTTTCCTGCAGCTCGGCTAATTTCCCTTGAAGAAAAAAAATGAAAACCTGGTAAATAAAAAAAGTGGAGAATCTCATATTGCATTCATTAATAGGAAATGTGAACCAGATGTGAGGATTTTGTACACTTTGTGACACATTTTTTTGAGCCAATAAATTTTTTTTACAGATAAAATATGGATTTATGAATAGTAAAATACAGCATTCAGAATTAAAAAAATCTGTACAACTCAAAGTAAGGGAAAAGTAATTTTAAAATGTCCTAAAAATTCAGATATTGCATGAAAAAGCAACAAGACTTGGTTAAAATGATACAAAGCTCAGTCTCTGACCATAATGAAATAAATAAGAAATCCGAAAAAACAGAAGAAAATTCAAGGTATCTGAAAACACACAGAAATTAATTAACACATTAATAAATAACAGTGGATTAAAGAAGAAATCACAAGGGAAATTAGAAAATAATTTGAACGAAAATGAAAACATGAAATAATTCAAGTTATTCAGAGCATATTCTTTAACTACTACAGAATTAAAAATCAACACCAGGAAGATATCTGAAATACTTCCAAATATTTGGAAACGCACACACTTCTGGAGACAGCATATTGCTGGGACTAGTTTTTGTAATCCGATCTGCCAGTCTGTCTTTTGATTGACGAGTTTAAGCCATTTATATTTGATATTATTATTAAAAAATTATTTTTATTCCCCGTCATTTTATTTCCAAGTTATTTTAATTTGAATTGTTTCTCCTTTGACTATTCTTCTAGTGCAGTTCCTCACTTTGTTTTTCATTTCTGCAAGAAATATTTTGAGTATGTTTTGTAGTGCAGGCTTTTCAGCTGTGAATTCTTTTAACTTCTGTTTATCATGGAAGATTTTTATTTCACTGTCAATTTTGAAGCTTAATTTTCCTGGGTATAGTATTCTTGGCTGGTATGCATTTTCTTTCAGAGCTTAGTGTGTATTATCCAAGGCCACCTAGCTTTGGGGTTCTGAGTTGAGAAATCAGCTGAGATCCAGATTGGTTTCCCTCTAAATGTAATCTGACGTTTTTCTCTAGCAGCCTTTAAAATTCTATATGTCAGGTGTTTTCATAATAATGTGCCTTGGTGTGGGTCTGTTTTACTTTTGTATATTTGAGGTCCTATAGGCCTCTTGTATTTGATTTTCCACTTCATTCTTTAAGTTTGGGAAATTTTCTGATATTGCATTTCATTGAAAAGATTGTGCATTTCTTTGGTTTGTATCTCCAAGCCTTCGTCTATTCTACCACTGAGCCACAACCCCAGCCCAGTCAACTTTATTTTCAAGATTACGTATTTTGTCTTCATTGCCTGAAACTCTTTGTCTTCCAAGTGATCTAATCTGTTGGGGATGCTTTCCATTGAATTTTTAATTTGTTTTACTATTTCCTTCAATTTGAGGATTTGATTTCTTTTCAGAATCTCTCTTTATTGAAATGATCTTTCACAATCTGTATTTTCTCTGATTTCACTCCCCTTACAGCACCCTTTACCTTGCAGAGAAGTTTAACTATGTATATTCTAAACTCCTTCTCTGACATTTCTTCCATTGTGGTGTCGATGGATTCTATTACTGGAATACCTTGGTTTGTTTGGGCAATTTTTTCCTTGCTTTTTCATATTGTTTGTGTATCAAACCATCTAACGGTGGGGATCTGAGGCAGTAAGTCTCTACCCTGTGGATTTAGTGTCCCTGAAGGTTTCTAGTACCTCAGCAGTGAGGGGGAGACAAAACAACAACCAATGCAAACAATATACAGCATTAAACCAAACAATTCCTGCTATGACGTCTACAATGTTAATTGTCACATTAAATAGAAATTATATGGTAGTTATTGCCTAAAATAAAGACAGTAAGTTTGTAAAAGAGTTTTTACAGTTTCAAATAGTAGACAGGGAGAAAAATAAGTGATATAGAATATAGAATGTGATGATTATGAGGGAGGAAGAAAGAAGATAGAAGAAAAAAACTAAAGGAAGAAGGAAAAGACAATAGTAGGGATTGACTGTTAGCAGAAGAAAGAATTGAGTGAAACAGATGAGAGAAAAAAAATATATAAATATTTTAAAAATTAAAAATAAAAGAGTACAAAACAAAACTGAAATATACTAATCCTATCCTCAAAAAAAAAAACATGAAAAATATGCTTCAAAAATGCTAGGGGGCTGGGATTATGGCTTAGCAGTAGAGTGCTCACATAGCACGTGCGAAGCACTGGATTCAATCTTCAGCCCCACATACAAATAAATAAATAAAATAAAGGTATTGTGCCCAACTATAACAAAAAAAAAAAAAAATTACAAAAAATGCTAGAAATGAGAAAAAAACATGAATATGTATAAATGTTCATGAACCATTAAGGTAACAATTAAACAGAGGAAAAAAACAGAAAAAAAAAAATCCTGACAGAAAGTGAAAGAATTGTTTTCTTGGAGTTCAAAAGATTCTCAGCTTCTCTTTCAGCAGCATTAGGTTGGGTAATCTGGAGCATGATGCTTCACCCTCCAGGTAGACTGTTGAAGTCAAAGAGGTAATCTGGAGGCAGAGTTTAGGCTTACGAATGCTCCAGAATCTTCGCGGAATGCCAATTGCTTTGGATTTTTAAAATCAAAGCAACTCCAGGGCCTAGCAATTGCCAGTCTACCCTGGAAGACTGCACCCCAGGGATCCCCCTGTGTTCCACTCATTTGCCAAGTCTTAGTCCACTGCTTCTCTGCTTTCTTGGCTTCACGCCACAAAGCAGCCAAGAAAGCAACCTTCTCTATTCCACCATCTTGAAACCTCTCCAGGACACAATTTTTTAAAAATTAAAGTATACCTACACAACCACACCTTTTTCAGGAAGCTTGCAAAAGTTAAGATTAAAATATTAGGATCAGTTCTTTTTCTTGAGTCCTGAGGAAAGAGTGCATCTCCCTAGACCCACATTCTAGACTATCCTCAGGGTCAGTAGAGTGAGTACCTGGCACATGACATGTTCAGGTGTGAAATGAATAATTTTGAATGTGAACAAAAGCTCACAGGGACACTGAATGTTGCCCCTCCTGCATTCATTTCCTGTTTTCTAAAAGCCCCTAATCTGTTTTAGACAGCTGAGAAAAAAACTGACTCAGGCCAGATCAAACAGATTCAATCTCATGACTATTCTTGGTGATAATGCTCAGACCAAATAATGCTTTCTTGCCCTAGACAGCATGCAGAACCTGTTTAAAAAAAAAAAAAAAAAAAAAAAAAAATCAGCCCACACATATAGAACTTCTAGGTTAGGGTTAGGGTTAGGGATAGGCAAGGCCCTGGGTTTGATCCTCAGCACCACATAAAAATAAATAAATAAAATAAAGGTATTGTGTTCAACTACAACAAAAAATAAATACTAAAAACAAATTTTAAAAAAAAACATGTAAATATAAATGCACACAGGATAATAATATAGGGATAATATACTCCCTATAAAAGATTTCCAGGCTTATCTTTGAGCATAATGAACTGTAAAGCCAAAAGAACTGAAGAGAAATGAAATTAGAGCCCTGTTGACATGAATCTTTCAGTCAATCCTTAACCAAACCTGCCTTATTTCTGGGCTTTTTCAACTACATGAGTTAACAATCTTTTTGTTTAATCCCATTTGGACAGGGTTTTCTGTTAATTGTAACTGAAAGTATCCTAACTCACAAAAAGAGAACATGAACTAAGGTTGCAAAAGATGGAGGAATATAATTCAATGAATAAGTAGTAGTAATAAAATAAAATAAATTAGAATAAAACAAAAAGCCAAGAAAGAGAGATGGGGCAATGAAAATAGGTGAGAAGAGATAAGAGTCATCTATCTTGGCTTCTCAACATGCTTACCTGTTCAACACTCCATTGGAAACTAGAGCTTCCTTAGGATGGAAATACTTGTAATATACATTTCTAACCACAGCATCTTGTAGGAAAGAGAGAAAAACATGCATTTAAGATTAGAAATAAGTTTGATGTTATAGACTCATACAAATTTTGACCTGAAAGAACCTAGAACTCTGTTGCAATCCCTTGAATTTTATCAATGGAAGAAGCCTAGGTAGGCCTAGAAAGCTAACTGCTGGGGAGCCCAGAATGCTGAACATATGACTTCAGCCCAGACCTTTTTCCATTGGACCAGTGGGCCTAGAGGACCCCACTACAAACAATAAATAGAAAATCACTGCCTCTATTAAGGATTAATAATAATCACCATTATTAACCATGATTCCATATTCTTCTAGTAGAAAATTAATGTTGGTGTCAAATCTGGTTTCTCCACCTTCTCCTAGCATCACAAGGATATCTCCACCATTGTCAAGGTACTTCTTCAGGACCTCAAACTACACAAAGAAAAAAAAATCAATCTTTGAGTACACATACTCAAAAGACTTCTGACCAAAACATTTTTACTACAAGTAAAACTTTACTAAAAAATAAACACTTCAAACCTTTTATAAAACATGTAAATATACGGGCTGGGGTTGTGGCTCAGCGGTAGAACAATTGCCTAGCACGTGCAAGGCCCTGGGTTCGATCCTCAGCACCACATAAAATAAATAAATAAAATAAAGGTATTGTGTTCGACTACAACAAAAAATAAATACTAAAAACAAATTTAAAAAGAAACATGTAAATATAAATGCACACAGGATAATAATATAGGGATAATATACTCCTTATAAAAGATTTCCAGGCTTATCTTTGAACATAATGCTTCAAAATACTCAAATTGAATTGTCATTTTCAAAATTGACCATTAGGACAACAAAGCAAAAGTGTAAAACTATTAATTAAAAGAAATTCACAGATCTTCATTTAGTGCATCCCTAGTCTCAAACTACTAGATACAAGTTACACCTACTCTCCCAAAAACTAAAAATGTCCCTAGACACTGCCAAATGTCCCATTAGAAGGAAAGAAGGGGGGGCTGGGGATGTGGCTCAAGCGGTAGCGCGCTCGCCTGGCATGCGTGCGACCTGGGTTCCATCCTCAGCACCACATACAAAGAAAGATGTTGTGCCCGCCAAAAAACTAAAAAATAAATGTTAAAAAATTCTCTCTCTCTCTCTCTCTCTCTCTCACTTTAAAAAAAAAAAAAAAAGAAGGAAAGAAGGAAAACTATCCCAGCTGAGAACCATAAATCTAGATCATACCTTCCCTTCACTGCCTGCCAAGAATATCAGGCTGAAGCCATTTCACACCTCATCAGGGAGGAATTTTGTTCAAGGTCATCAACTGACCAAACCACAGTGAAAAATTCAAGTTGTTGGCTTATCTCCTGGAAAGCTCTCTCACTCTCAAAAAGCTGAAGAGGCAAGAAAATCTGAAGTCGATCTTGCTGATCCATCCTGAGGAAACTATCTAATCCAATAGTTTGAGACAGAATCTTGCGAAGTTGCTGAGGCTGGCCTCAAACTTGCAATCCTCCTGTCTGGGCCTCCCAAGTTGCTGGGGTTACACAAATAAAGCTGGGCTCCCCAACGTGCCCAGCTTTATTTTTTTCTTTTGAGAAAGGGTCTTATTAAGTTACTGAGGGCCTCAAACTTGCAATCCTACTGTTTCAGCCTCCTGAGTTCTGGGATTACGGGCGTGTACCACCATACCTGGCACAGACCAATAGCTTTTAGTTTTCTTCACTAAATAGTCCACCAGGAAAGAACCTGGACACTGTGGTGCTCACCTGTTATCCCAGCTATTTCAGAGGCTGAGGCAGGAGGAATGGAAGCTCAAGGCCATGCTCAGCAACTTAACAAGATCCTGTCTCAAAAACAAAAAGGGGTACAAATGTAACACAGTGGTAGAGCACCCTGGGTTCAATTCCCAATATCACAAAAGAAAAAATATATATATAAATATGCACTCTAATATGCGTATATCTATATACATGTTTTGTTTTCTATATGCTCAGAACATAGTTTTTGCTTGGGGAACCATACTGGGACTTGGAACCTATGACTGTGTGGTTCTAGAATTTGTCTATGGTATCTAAATGCAGTGGGAAAACAGTTGGTATTGGTATCTTTTGTGTCCTACTCACTGACTGGCATTTTGAGAAAGATAAATGAAAGACTTGGTATGTAAATAATGAGTTCCACGATGCAATGTGGAAGCAAATGTGGGATATTTTATATAATTGACATCGTATGATCCAGGCCTATGGCTCTCAGCAGAGGCATTAAAACCATTTAGCAGGTACTTTGAATTGTCCTAACATTAATACTTAAGAAAATTTTAGTGGGTGGTGGGCAGGTATGCCAAGGCCCTGCAGTGCTCAGACCAGTCCTCCCCATAGTGAAGAACTAACCCACAACATTTGAATGTCACATGGGTTTAACGAAATAAAACAACAACAAAACATAAACTGATCCTAGAATCTAACTCCAATTTATATATAAACAAAAAATATTTTTACAAACCAAATTCTCAGGTATACAACTACCATGTAAATTAAGGGAAGAAGTTTACTTTATTTTTCTCAGCAATTTACCAAGAATTAGACAATATTTTGGCAAATTACATCACAAGTGGCAATGTGGCTCATGATCTGAATTACCAATACAACACACCTGCATCAGCTCAGTTTTGTACCTGTCCTGTTCATGGTGATTCTATGTATATGTTTAGCCATTATTCAAAATGTCAAATATAAAGAAGTGTTCTAGTGGACACATGCCCAAACACTCACAAACTGAAATATGCATTCTTTTAGTGTATACATGCTGAAACATATACAATACAAAGTACATATATTCTTTCATAAATCATCTTCCTTTCTTTTTATTATAGTTAGGCTACTGTGTTGACTTGTTTTAAATAGTAGTGGGTTATATTATCTATGCATTACAATTTAGGATAGTATTTATAATCAGGATACAATGGTGAATCCTGGTTTTTGTGTTTTTTTTTGTGGTGTGGGAATTGAACAAAATAACCCTGTGCGTGTGAGGCAGGCACTCTACCAACTGAGCTATATCCCCAGCCCTATGGATGCTGTTCTGACACGTTGGAAAATACTCAGCTGTCATGTGGTCACCTAGTGGTGGCCAAATACTATCACCAAGTGAGTTAGGGTAGTTGAGGTGAGAAATGGGGAAGACTCTTCAGCCTGACCAGACACAGATGTCTGTCCTGATACAAAAGCTTCTGAAGGACAGTATCAAGGAAGTGTCACCCAATTACCCATTATTAGTTTTCTAGGAGGCCAGCAATGATCAGGAAAGAATTGATCCTTTCTCTTGAGGAAGATCCCTGCCACCACAGGGATCAGCCCTCTAGAAGAATAAAAACAGGGGATGTTGGTTCTCAGAAAGAAGTCAAAGGCTCTTCTCTTCCTTTCCATCTCTCCTCACTCTAGCTCCAAACAAAAGGTATGGTGCCAGCAGTGGTCTGGCAAGAGGACATTTTATTAGGCTAAAGTTCCAAAGAACTGTATTTTTGTGGATTTGTCTCTGTGTCTTCTATTCTGTACCATTGGTCTACATTTCTGTTTTGGTACCAATATCATGCCATGTTTGTTACTATAGCTCTGTAGTATAGTTTAAGGTCTGGTATAGTGATGCCTCCTGCTTTACTCTTCTTGTTAATGATTGCTTTAGCTATTCTGGGTCTCTTATTTTTCCAAATGGATTTCATGATTGCTTTATCTATTTCTATGAAGAATGCCAGTGGGATTTTAATAGGAATTGCATTAAAACTGTATAGAGCTTTTGGTAGTATGGCCATTTTGACAATATTAATTCTGCCTATCCAGGAGTATGGAAGGTCTTTCCATCTTCTAAGGTCTTCTTTAATTTCTTTCTTTACTATTCTGTAATTTTCATCGTAGAGGTCTTTCACCTCGTTTGTTAGATTGATTCCCAAGTTTTTTTCTTTCTTTCTTTCTTTTCTTTTTTTTTTTTTTTTTTTGAGGCTATTGTGAATGGGGTAGTTTTCCTAATTTCTCTTTCAGTAGATTCATCCTGATACATAGGAATGCATTTGATTTATGGGTATTGATTTTATATCCTATTACTTTGCTGTATTCATTTATTAGTTCTAGAAGTTTTCTAATGGGATTTTTTGGATCTTCTAAATGTAGAATCATGTCATCAGCAAATAGTGATAGTTTGAGTTCTTCTTTTCCTATTCGTATCCCTTCGATTTCTTTCTCCTGTCTAATTATTCTGGCTAGAGTTTCAAGGATGACGTTGAATATAAGTGGTGAAAGAGGGCATGCCTGACTTGTTCCAGTTTTTAAAGGAAATGCTTTCAATTTTTCTCCAATTAGAATGATATTGTACAACCAGAAGAATAAGAAATTATACTCCATTTATGTAAATGGGTAAAAAATGCATTCTACTGTACTGTATGACTAATCAGAACAACAACAAAAAAGTCAAGGCAAGGCAAAGAAAAAACAAATAAAATTAAGTTAACATCTAAAAAAAAAGTTCCAAAGAACTAAATCTGCCTCTCGAGGATTCATGTCTTTTGGAAGCCTGAAGTAAGGCATGGCTTGGTGTCTGTCCCCACTTGGAAAAAGGCCCACTCACCAGGCTCTGATCCTCCCTCTGGACAGCGTGCTTTCCTGAGACTGCCTCCTTTGAGGCAAGGACCTCTGGTTTCCTTAGCTACAGAAGGGAGGTGGCCCAACAAGTTATAAAGTATTCCTTCTTTGCAGGCTTTTGCCCTCTGTGATATATTTCCCTCAAGGTCTCAGTGGGTAGAGGCAGCTGGTTGCCTCCAATCTCAACAATAATTCCTATTCCTTCTCTCAATTAACCTGATCAGTTATGTCTCCATGCTTCTAAAAGACATGAATCCTTGAGAGGCAGACTTGGTTCTTAGAAACATTTTTTTTTTTAAGACATTAACCTATTTTATTTATTTTTTTTTTCTTTTCCTTGCCTTGACTATTTTTGTTGTTCTAATTAGTTGTACATTACAGTAGAATGCACTTTGACACATCTACATAAATGGAGTATAATTTCTCATTCTTCTGGTTGTACAACGTCATTCTAAATGGAGAAAAATTGAAAGCCCTCTATAAAAACAGTATTCTTATAAAAACTTGAGAAAATAGGTATTCTAGAAATGTACCCTTGCAAATCTCCTCCCACTGGCCCCACCTAGAGTAACAACAGGAGACCCCAGCCAGCCTCCACAGGAGAAGCCCGGCCTTGCCTCAACTTCCCTACTCCCCACACCTTCCACAAGCATCAGGGCACTTCCTGCAAGTCTCTGTTAGAAAGGTACTTGATGTGTTCTGGGTTTTTAAATTTTTATTAATTGTGGTAAAATACAATTAACCATTTTTAAATGTTAAACACACTACCACTGTCATGTTACCAATCTTCAGACTCTTTTCATCTCTCAAAACTAAAACTTTAGAGCTAGGAATATAGCTCAGTTGGTAGAGTGTTTGCCTTGAATACACAAGGCACTGGGTTCAATCCCCAGCACCACCAAAAAAAAAACTAAAACTCTATACCTATCAACAATTCTTCATTTCTTCCAGGCCTGCAACCACCACTAATTTCTGGCTCTGTGAATTCAACTACTCATGTAAGTGAAATCACATGATATATTTGGTTTTTTTTAATATTTATTTTTTAATTTTAGGTGGACACAATATCTTTATTTTACACTTAGGTGGTGCTGAGGATCGAACCCAGTGCCTCATGCATGCTAGACGAGTACTCTACCACTGAGATACAACCCCAGCCCCCCTTTTTTTTTTGCACTGGCCAAGGGTGCTTTACTACTGAGCTACATCCCCAGTTCTTTTTTTAATTTTTTATTTTGAGATAGGATCTCAGTAAGTTGTGAGGGCCTTACCAAATTGTTGAGGCTGGCCTCAAACTTGTGATCCTCCTGCCTCAGCCTCCTTATTCTTAGGGGTTATAGGCAAGTGCCACAGCACCTGGCCAGTATTTGTCGTTTTATGACTACCTTAGTTCACTTGCCATAATGGCCTTAAAGTTCATCATGTTGTAGCATTTGTCAGAATTTCTCCCCACCCCTTTTTTTGGTACTAGGGATAAAAGCCAGGCCCTTGCTCATACATAATACCACAAAGCTATGCTCCAGCTCCTTTCTAAGGTTGAATAATATTTCCAGCAGGTATATACCACATTTTGCTTATCTATTCATCTATAAACAGACACTTGAGCTATTTCCATCTTTTAGCTATGATGAAAAGTGCTGCTATGAACATGAGTGTACAAATTACTCTTTGAGCTTTTGCTTTCAATTTTTTTTGGATGCATATCCAGAAATGAGATTGTGGAACTCAATTTTCTCAATTTTGAACATTCAAAAATCTCATTTTGGAACTGCCATACTGTTTTTCATTAATAGTTTCACCATTTTATATTGCTACCAACAGTATAAAAGGGTTCCAATTTTTTTCATATCCTCATCAACACAATTTTTAGCATGGGTTTTATATTTATCATTTTTTATCTAGTCCATACAACAGAATTGAGAAAGTTTAATTTTAAATGAAGTTTTACTATTTTCAAACAAAAATATGGCAAAGAAGTATGACTAATATTTGATTAGCCCTCTCTATGTGTTTGGCACTTTACATGGATTATCTCAGTTATCACCACAATTTCATGATGAAGTCAAAGATGAAGTGACCACCTTCAGGCAACACAGTAAGTGGAGAAGCAGGATGTAAGTCCAGGGTTTCAGAGCCCATTCTTCCTAACACCACGAAATTTCTTCTTTATGGATACTTCTTACCTCAGCTGCAGTAAATTTTTCCCTTGGCCCAGCTGTAATCCATAGTTTCACTCCAATTAGCTTCTCAGATGTGATTTCATCTTTTAAACTGGAAACATGATATTAAAAGTAAATGTTAGGTCCATAATTTAAACCAACTTATGAACTACTTTAGCATCTTGGCTGTATGGAACCAAGGCCACAGAGGTCAAGAGATGCAGGAGCTTAGAGGTACATCAAGCAGCCTCCCTCCCAAAGTGAGAATCCCCTCCTCAGCCTGCCAGAGTCATACAGCCTCTAAAATACTTCCAATAAGCAAATGTATTCAAATTAAACAATGCTAAGACATGAAGAAGTCCTCCAGCCAGGGGTGGTAGCACTGTAATCCCAGCAAATACCAAGGCTAAGGCAGAAGGATTGCAAGTTTATAAGTCCCAGGCCAGCCTTGGCAATTTAACAAGGTCATGTCTCACAATAAAAAATTTAAAAGAGGTGAGGATGCAGCTAATTCACAGGACTGCACACACACGTACACATGTACACACACATACATACACATGTACACACACATACATACACACACACATAAAAAAAGTTTTCCAACTACTAATTCAGTCATCTCTTATCTCTTCCATCTATTAGTTTATATGACCGTTTAATACATTCATACTCATGAAGAATACATACACATATTTATAGCAGAACAATTCACAACGGCTAAACTGTGCAACCAACCTAGATGCCCTTCAATAAATGAATGGATAAAGAAAATGTGGTATATATACACAATGAAATATTATTCAGCATTAAAAGAGAATAACATCACGGCATTTGCAGGTAAATGGATAGAGCTGGAGAATATTATGCTAAGTGAAGTAAGCCAATCCCAAAAAACCAAATGCCAAATGTTTTCTCTGATATAAGGAGGCTGATTAATAATGGGATTGTGGGGAAGCACGGGAGGAATAGATGAACAAACTCTAGATAGGGCAAAGAGAAGGGAGGTGAAGGGAGGGGGAGTGGGGGTAGGAAAGATGGTAGAATGAGAAGGACATCGTTTCCCTAAGTACATGTATGAAAACATGAATGTCATGACTCTGTGTACAACCAGATATATGAAAAATTGAGTTCTATATGTGTAATATGAATTATAATGCATTTTGCTGTCATATATAACAAATTAGAATTAAAAAATACATACACAAATACACACACATAAAGACAGAGATGTTCTCATTTAATTCCCATTTTTCCTTTCCCTAAACTGAAGTATCAATTCAAGTTAAAATATGGAGAAAGGCTTCAACATCTCTCTCTCTCTCTTTTTTTTTTTTTTTTTTTTTGGCAGTGCTGGGGATTGAACCCAGGCCTCACTCATAAGCCCTTTATCACTGAGCTACATCCTAAACTAAACTTTTTTTTCCCCCCAGTGCCAGGGATCAAACCCAGGACCTCACACATGCCAGGCAAGCATTCTACCACCACTGAGCCACATCCCTAACCTTCAACATCTTATTATATGTATATAATAAGAAAACTTTTTGTTTTTGATTTTTAGGACAACTTAATATGGTAATTGGCAATTTTTTGAAAGATGTTTTAATAATAATTCATTTACTTTTGAATATATACTCAAAATATACATATATATTTTGAGGGGAGGGATACTAGGGATTGAACCCAGAGGTACTTTACCACTGAGCTACATGCCCAGTTCTTTTTATTTTTTATTTATTTTTTTTAAGGCAGGGTCTCCTAAGTTGGTTAGAGGATCAAACTTGTGATCCTCGTGCCTCAGCCTCCTTAACCACTGGGATTATAGGCATGCCCCACTATGCCCAATCTTTTGAACAATCTTTAAATTGAGTTCTTTACACCTAACCAATCTATCTTTCATAAGAAAATCAAGACTTTTCAGTTTCACCAGTAGACAAACATTACTTAGAAGCAAAAATAATGCACACAAGATTCAACTCACTTCTGAATCTTCCAATTACACCGAAGTCTTTTCTGCATGGATTTATAGCCATTGTTGGTGGTAAACACCTCCTTTTTGTATGCATTGAAAAGAATGGTGCTCCGAACCTCCCTATCCATGGTTACCTTATGGGAAAAAGATATCAGAAAAACAATAAACAATATTACAAAGAAAGACCCCAAAAGAAATAAATAGTTGCCTTTCAGCTCTCTCTCACCCTTTCTCCTCTCTCTCTCTCTCTTTTGCTTTTTGGGTTTTTTTTTTTTTGGCAGTGTTGGGGATTGAACCCAGGGCCTCACACATGCTAGACAAGTGCTCCAACAGTAAGCTACATCCCTAGCCTTTCATTTCTAATTTATCAAAGAAAGGTTTACAACTTCAACCTATCTAGGACACTCTTACAATCTCAAAAGTTGAGAGTGAAATATAGAATTACAGCTACAGAAACCAAAGGCCAAACCAAACCCAGCTTATTCCTGGCTTTTGCTTCCATGTTCTTACCCTGGCCCTCCAACAAGCCTACTTCCATCACTTTGCCCACCATGACCCTGCTCTTGTGGGCCTGAGACCACATTTCCAAATTGTTTTGTCACTGCTAACTGCTACTAGGGTGGAATATAGCCTTCTAAATATCTCTCCCTCTCTCTCTCTCCATATATACATATATATTTTTAACAATTTTATTTTACTAAATAGGATCTGATCATACACACTATTGTCCAACACAATTTTTCCAATTAACTTTGTATATTTGACATCCTTCCATGTCAATACATATAGACGTATCACATTCTGCTAAATAGCTATACAAATTCCATTTTGTGGATGTACCACAATTTTTTTTATGAATTATATGCTGATTGGTATCTGTCATTTTTTCCAAAAATTTTGCTAGTAAAATACTAAAGATACCCTTTGTTTATTTTTTAATGTTTGGAATCACACAGGGCCTTGTGCCTGCTAGGCAAGTACTCTACCATTGAGCTAAACCCCCAGCCCTAAAAACATAATTTTTGAACAAGATGTTTTTATAACTCTGTACATTTGTAAAATAAATTCCTGTTTTTTGAATGGCTAAGTCAACATACAAATTGCCCTCCAAAAAACTGTAATCATTTGTACTTCCATTAACACTAATACATTTTTGATTTCAGACAAATCCTTTCTATTTCCAGTTTTCGTCAACTTTGCTGATAAAATACAGCATTCCCTTATCCTTCATGGTTTTTCTTTCTCAGGTTTTGGCTACCAGAGGTCAACTGTGATCTGAAAACATGAAATGAAAAATTCCAATTTGTAAGTTTTAAATTGTGAGCCACTGAGAGTGGCATGATGAAATATCACACTCTCTCTCTCTGTTCTGCCCTGGATGTGAATCATCCCTTAGTCCAGTGTACCCATGCTTTACACACTACCCAGCTGTTGAGTCAATTAGAAGCTGCTTCAGGTATCAGACTGATTGTCTTGATACTGCAGTGCTTGTGTTCAAGTTACCTTTATGTACTAATGACACATATTTCTGCTTTTGCCACTGGTTATTTTCTGGCAAAGAACAAAAACCTAGGAAAAGGCATTAAACTTCTTTTGTCATTTTATGGTTTTTAAAGGGAAAGTGCAATGAAAGCTACAATTTCAGTTAACGGCTTATTGTGGTTGCATCCCTGGAGAGGGCAGCAGACCTGAGGGGCTGACCTATTAAAATGACTCAGAAATGAGCTTCCTTGAGGATGGGAAAGGACTTTAACACAACAATAATAACATTAAAACAATATCTCCCCAACTATTCTCTAGCCTTCTTTTCAATAATCTTACTAGTCCAATCAGGACTTTCCCAGAAGAGTGATGAAGAGACCAAGGGTGGCAGCAATGAAAGGAGACCTACACCATACGTCTGCTCATCCAACGCTTTCACACTCAACAGGACGATTAAAAACCCGCGCAGTCCGAGGCGATGGAGATTCGAGCCCAGTCCGAGATCCAGGACCCGGCCTATTTACGCGCGCTCGGTTCCTTTACCCCGGCCAACCTCCGATTTTCCTGAAGGCTGGCCCAGGAGCCTCGTGGGCAGTCCGGCTAGGCCGCCGTTAGCCCCTAAGCCGCCCCATCGCCCGGGCCGACCCCTTCCAGTAGGAGTCCTTCCTACCTGAGGCCCAGTGACCACCATCTTCACCTGACGTCGCCCAACATCCCGCGGACAGGTATCCAAGGCCGCCTAGCAACTGCGAAGACGCTCCAGCGCTCGAGAAGGCGTGTCCCGGAAGTGGAACTCCGCGTGGAGCGCAGCGACGTGATGACGACAGAACGGCAGCTGCGCGTTTGCCGCGGGCCTCAGGCGCGGGCGGGACTAATGTGGGATTTATGGGAGGAGGGGTAAATACAAACCCAACGAGGATTAACTTTTCGGCAAAAAGAAGTCCATTTCATTCTGTTCCTTAATAACAACTGCTATTAAAAACTAATAAGAATGGCACGTCCCAAGGACCTAGAGCTCGCCCTACTCCAAGGGCGCAAAATAGTGGAGGCTTCCGGCGGCGGAGGAAGGCGGATAGGAGCGCCCCAGCCTGGGTCCCCAGGGCGCAGGCGCAGAACGTCTGGGCCGGAAGGTGGGAGGGTGTGTCAGGAGTTCTGATCGCCGGCTGCTGGAAGCACCTCCCTGGCGGTGTAATGCCTGATGCGAGGAGATTGAGAGGACAGAGACGAGTTCCTCGAAGAGGGTGGGCAAGAGTAACGGTGAGAGTAGCACCCCCAGATGTTCCCCTTTATTAACTGCACATCATTGAGCACCACAGTACCAGCCCGGCCTGAGCGTCGGGGATATAGCGGTGACATGCTGCCCTCTAGGCGTCCGCAGGCGGGGGTTTAGACCTTGGCCAGGTCCTAGCAAAATGTAAAAATATAAACTGTCTTAGGGAGTTGTGAGGGGCCCGAGCTGGTTAGAAAGGAGCCCTTCCTCAGCAGAGATCTGAAAGAAGAGGGGCAATCATTAAGTCAATGGGGAAAAGAGTTGTGGACAGAAGGAATTGCTTGTGCAAAAGAGCCATCACCACGTATAGGTTGCCCTGATATCGCCATGAAAATGGGAATGGAAACTCCACAACCACAAACCATCCACCCTTCTCCCCTGAGGAGCTCTCTGTGTCTGCCCTAATAGAGCTGTGCTGTTGTCTACAGGGCTGTGGCAGCCACCAGGCTGAAACAGATGAGTGCAGAGACATCTGACAGTTTTTGTTTACATTTATGTTTGTCTTCAATATATACAGAGTATTGGGGGTTTCGGGTATTAAAACACACACAACTTGAGTTGGTTTTTCACAACTACCAAGACAGCAGATTTAAAAGAGGAAGAGGGTGAATGAGAGGTTTTTGTTTGTTTTGTTTTGTTTTTCCCCCTGTGAAAGGAATGGAACCCAGGGCATCCACGTGCAAAAATGCCCTACCACTGAGCTGTATCTCCTGGACAAATTCTCTTACAGAAGCTGCTACTGGTGCACAGTTGGATGAATACAGTCTGCAGTTAGGGATAAAAATGGAAGTCATGTAGTTGGATCCTTCTGATCCTTCTGCCTTTTGTGCAGTCAGTAATTGCTTGAAGACCAAGAGCACCTGCCCAAAAGCACTTCTCTCACTGTCATATAACAAGGTTTTTCAGTCACCTGCCACCAAGTTCTGTTCCTGGCTGTGACTTGCACCAGCTGGGTACAAGAACTTGGGCAGGTTGCTTAATCTCTGAGTGAATGTTTCCTACCTATAAAATGAGGTTAATAATTTCTAAATGCTGGCTTATAGTGAGAATTGTAAAATATAAAACTTAGAATGTGCTCCATAAACATAGGTGTAGCACGATCAATTCAGTAGCATAGTTTTTCTTCATTTTTATTTTCTGTCCTGGTGAAAATTTTTGTGACTTTACAATCTTGGATAGAATCACTCTCTTCACAATTCATAGCTGATTGTGTACTTTTAACAGTACTATTATGTCTGATAGTTACACTCTTGATTTTTGCTTTGATGAGTTGGGATTTTGTCCTCACATTCCAAATTTGGCAGTTAGCAAGCACTATTAAGATGGAAATCAGTTTCTTTCAATATTCTCAGCACATGTCAAAACTTAACATCGGTTCTTCCTGACCCAGCTTTAGGTCAGTGTCCCTAGTGTTCTTTCCATGCTCTCCCGGCCACCCCCATAATTCCTGGGGTAGGAGATTGAGGGAAACAAAATGGAAGGAAGAGAGTGGGACTGAGTTCAGAGGCAAAGGCAATAAAATTGCCAGCACATCGATCCCCTTGTCCCCAAATCAAAAAACTAATAAAGCCACATGAAGTACATACTACAGGTTTGTGAAGAAAAAAACACTTTTCTACCAAAATAAGGCAGTATAATTCATCCCATAAGAGCAGTCTTGAATTCCTGAGGTTGTGCATGTTCACATTCTGTCCAATATGAATTGCCTTTAGAAATGACTAATACTGAACATACAGAGCTGCATAAGTGACCAGGAAGCTCTAGTCACCAAGGCCTGAGCTGCCCATGTGAAGTGGGGCAGGGCATGATTTTGACAACCAAACTAAGACCATGAGTGGGAGTCCAGTTCACTGTCTTTTCCACAAGACCTCTTTTTCTCACCACCTGGCTTATTCTAGCCAATTCTTACTTTGGCTCTCATTAGAAATTTTGATAGTCATTCTGCTTGGACCTAACAGTCTGAGTGAAGGGCAAACTCTCACAGAGGTTAAAGGTGAGAGCCCTGGAGCCAGGTTATGTGGCTCTAAATCCCAGATCTAGCCTTTATTAACGGCCTAGCCTTCAAGCAAGAAGTTAACTTCTCCAACTCTGTTTCTCAATTGGCAAAAAATAAAATCGTAATAATTCCTTCTTATGGTTATTTGGAAGAAAATTGCTAATGGGCAATGAAGAGTCTAACAGAGAAACTTGCTCAGCGTAGACAGGCATTCTGAAGCTGACTTTGCCCAATTAAGCCAAAAAAAAAAAAAAAAAAGGAGTGTTAAAAGGCTCAGAAGCTTAGTCTGAGGCAGAAGGGTTGCAAGTTTGCAACTTAGCAAGACCCTATCTCAAAATTTTAGAAAGGGCTGAGGATGTAGCTTAATGGTAGAGCACCCCTGGGTTCAATCCCCTAGACCTGCCCCCCAATTGTTATGTTATTATTTATGTTGGTGGTACTGAGGAATGAACCCAGAAGTGCTCTACCATTGAGCTACATCCCCAGCCCTTTACTTTCCATATTTTTTATTAGTGCATTATCGTTGTATGTAACGGTGAGTCAGATGCTCTTTAAGTCCTTGGCATAGCTTGAGAATGGGACTTGAGGCTTCAAGGAATGACAGACGCTGCAGCACTGGGCTGATGAGGAAACTGCTCCAGTTGCTGCTGCTGAGGACTCATTACTACTACAGTTTGCACTGTTGCCACCTCTACACCAGGAACCTAGTTTTGTAGGTACCATTACCACAGCCACCTGAAAGAGAGCTTCTGATCCGTTTTTGGTTCAAAGCATGGCATGGGTGTATTGCTGGGTCACGTTCCTGGCCCTAGCTCAGGGGAAAGTCAATATATGGCATTTTGAGTGGAGATAGGGAGACTCATCGAGGCTCATAAAGTAAGGAATTCCCTGTCTATTAGAAGGGGCTTAGATGCCAGGCAGCCAAACCAATAATAGCAAAGAGTACACATCCAGTATACTACCCACAACAAAGAAAGAAACTATCAACACAGAATAAGAGAGATTGGGTAGTACCTTGTAGGCTTGTTACAGCTCTGTCTTTTTATGCACTGAGTTCAGTATCCAAACATCAAGAGGCCTTCTGGTAAAGAATGCCGGTTGCCCACCCAATATTCTCCGCATCTCCCTTAGCATTAGAGCTCTTTGCTATTAAGGGTCTTCGTGTACCCAGGCTCCATTACAGCAGTAAAGGATGGTTAATGAGATATCAGCGCAAGTCATTGGATGGAGCTTCTGGGAAAACACTTTTTGGGGGCAGAGTACTGGGGATCGAACCCACATCCCCAGTTCCCCAGTCTTTTTTTTTTATTTTTTTAAATCTTTTATTTTGAGACAAGTTCCGGCTACATTGCTGAGGGTCTTGCTAAATTGCCGAGACTGGCTCAAATTGCAATCCGCCTGCCTCAGCCTCCTGAGTCACTGGGATTATAAGCATGTACACTGCATCCAGCTGGGAAAGCACTTTTAACAGTGCCCTTTTGATGTCCCCTCTCATCTTTTCCTCCTTTTGCCTGTCCAGGACACAAAAGTGGAGATGAGAGAACCAGTAACCATCTTGTGATAATATATCAACTCTACTATCAGAAGCTATTTGTCAAGAGACCCAATAGAAATACGGAAAGCCTCTGAGTATCTAATGACCTGTCCTACCAGCCCAGGTCACCTAACAATGTCCTTCTCTGTGATGGGGAAAAAATGACCCTACTTCTTGTTCAATCCATCAAACTTATTACATTATGTTGAGTCTTACTAGCAGCCGAAAGTAATTCCTCCTATTACCAGCTGGCCTCAGAGGCTTCACCAGTGCTTCTCCTAGCAGTCCAAGAAGTCATCATCCTCAGGGGCATAGGAAAATCCCAGGAATGCACTTGAGGCCCCTGAGCTGCTAGCCATAGTATCAGGGGTGCAGCCAATAGACTTGGAGACTGCTTCTTGGGTGAACTCTGGGTCAAAGTGTTTCAAGTCAGCAGGTCCTGCCTGTCAACAGAAGCCAATGATGAGGAGAGGGCACTGGGATCAGAGCTGCCAAAGGAACCGAAAGCCCAGGAGAGGGATGCCAGGCCTCCCCTCAGTACCTCTTGGTGATCCACACTTAACTGTCACTTTCCCATGCATCTCCATTAATCATCTTATTCCACGTGGCTGATTTCTCTAACCCCCAGGCACCCTGCCTGCTCTACACCAATCCTCAGACAAGTCTGTCAGTTAACCTATATTCACTGAATGCTTGCCAGGCATTGTTTATGACACTGGAAATAAGGGAGAACAAAATAGAGTGAGCCTCTGCTTATAGGAACTTGCAGTATGTGGAGGGTAGGAGGATTGAACAAAGCATTTACACAAGTAGAACGTTCAGGGTCCCAGATGGAGGAGATAAAAGAGGGTAATATGGTAGAGAGGGACTGGGGCTGCTCTAACTATTTTGCAGGAAGAGCCATTTGAGTAATTGTAAAAATGATCACAAATTCTCCATTTACCATCCAGAGGTGGAGGTTCTCTATCTTTTAAATATGGGTTAGCCACGTGACTTGCTTATGCCAATGGAACACTGACAAATGATTCGAGTGGAGGCTTGAAAAAATGTGCCTTGGGAATCAAGGTGAGAGGCTGCAGGAAGGAGAACCCAGGTGCCCTGGCAGCCTGCCAACTCCCAGACACACGAGGCAGTTCTAGATCAATTGACTGCTGACCACAGATATGAGAGAGCTCTACAGAGAATAACTGGCCTGGCCCAGATTTAAAAACACTAGCCAACCCATGGAATATGAACAAGATAAAATATTGTTGTTTAGGGCTGCGGGTATAGCTCAGTGGTAGAGCACTTTCTTGGTATGTGTGAGGCCCTGGGTTCAATCTCCAGCACCCCATAAGAAAAGAATATTATTTGAAGACACCTACTTTTGGGGTGACTTGCTATGCAGTTAGAACTAACAAATACAGTCTGCAGAGGTGACCCAGTCAGAGGAGAAGATAACACCCTCTGGATGTTATGAAGTAAGCAGGTGAGCAAGTGGAGGGGTCTGCAGATCTACTTTCACGTGTAAGTCTTGGGCTCTGCAAATAAACATGCCATACCTTCCAACTTCTCAAAAAGGTCACAGGCCATATGCAGTGGCACATACCTATAATCCCAGCTACTTGGGAGGCTGAGGCAGGGGAATCACAAGTTCAAGGGCAGCCTGGGTAAATTAGCAAGACCCTGTCTCAAAATAGAAAGGGTTGGGAGGTACTGGGGTTGTGACTCAGTGGTAAAGCGCTTGCCTTGCACATGTGAGGCACTGAGTTCAATCCTCAGCCCCTCATAAAAATAAATAAAGGTATTGTGCCCATCTACAACTAAAAAAAAATTTTTTTTTAAAGGATTGGGAATGTAGCTCAGTGGTAGAGTGTCCTTGGGCTCAATCCCCAGTACAAAAAAAAAAAAAAGAAAGCCATAGGGCTCAGAGCTCCAAGACCAGAATGTGGATCCTAGCTCTGGCCCTTGTTAGCCCTGTAGCCCAAGATAAGCAGATATTTTCTGTTTTTCACAAATGAAGAATTTGATGCCAAAGAAAATTCTTCAAGGTCTCACGAGTGGTAGGTAGCAGAACCAGGAATCCATTTCCAGTACGTCTCACTCTGATGTCCCTGTATTGCTACATCATTTTGCATTCCTTTCTAGAATTCTGTGTATCGTTCTCTAAGGTATATGGGTGATATCATTCTTACTGTTAAAATCCCAAGGAAAGAGCGCTGGAGGTTAGCAAAGGACTCTGGTAGAGAGCATGGCTAGCTTGTGTGAGGCCCTGGATTGAACCCCAGCACCACAAAGTTAGAAAAATCCAAAGGGGAAAAGAAAAAAAAAAACTTTTCAAGTGCTGAACTGAATGTATCCTATATGACAACCATTGTTAAGAATTTGGTGCTCGAAGACACATTCATGAACAGGTACCAAAGAGAAAAAGTAAATAATGAACTAACATTGGCTGTATTCAGTATGCAGCCTGGTAGAGAAAGTGGGACCCTGTGCTGCACAGGTGACGCAGAGAACCTCCCTCATCCACCTCGAACACAGCTCCTTTCAGTCATGGGACCACCATAAGTTACATTTAAACGCTCGACACCTCCACTGCGGATCAAAGAAACATGATTAAAACACTAAGAGATGCCACTTTTTATCAGATTTGCAAAGTGATAAAGAGTTAAGAACAGCATGCTGCAGAGGGTGAGGAAGATGAAAACCCACCAGAAGACAGAACAGGAGGAAGAAGATAGTTCTCCCTTGTGCGTGGTGAATAGGCGAGTGCAAACCAAGGGCCTGGAAATGGTGGTGGTCTTTAACTGTGCAGTTACCCTTCTGAAACCCACCTTCAGAAAATAACCAGAATTCTGGGCAAAGATACGATGTTCATCAGCACATTATGAAAGAAAAAAATGATGTTATAGTTTGGATGTGAAGTGTCCCTCAAAAGCTCTCATGTGAGACAATACAAGAAGGTTCCGAGAAGAAATGATTGGGTTACCAGAACCTTAACCCAGTCAGTGACTTAATCACGTGATGGGATCAATTGAGTGGTAACTGAAGGCTGGTAGGGTGTGGCTGGAGGAGGTGGGGCATTGGGGGCGAGGCTTGGGGGATGCATTTGGATCTGGCAAGTGGTGTCTCTCTGCTTTCTGATCATCATGTGAGCTGCTTCCCTCCACTACACTCTTCTGCCATATGATGCTCTGCCTCACCTTGAGCCCCAAGGAATGGAGCCTGCTGTCTGTGGATTGAGACCTCTGAAACCACAATTCCCCAAGTAAACTTTTCCTCCTCTAAAGTTGTTCTGGTTGGGTCTTTTAGTCACAGCAGTGAAAAGCTGACTAAAATGAATGGTAATGGCCTAAAGTTCACCATGTGGAGCACAGCTGAGTAAGTTCCTCCCCCACCCCCACCACCCCTTGGATTTTCTTTTTAGTATTTATTTAGTTGTAAATGAATAAACAGTATCTTTATTTATTTTTATGTGGTGCTGAGGATTGAACCCAGTGCCTCACACATGCTAAGCAAGTGCTCTACCACTGAGCCACAACTTCAGCCCCAAGTAAGTCTGGTTATTAACATAGGATGGAAATATTATGCAGCCATTAAAAATGATGTTTGTATAAAGTTTTATATTGTGTGGAAAAAATAATAGCATAGCCTATAAGCAATAAAAAGGGAAAAGATATACACACACTTGTATATAGTTAGGCCTCTACATTCATGGGAATCCTTAGCCATGGATTTAAACAACTGAAGAGTAAAAATATTTGGGGGAAATACTATTGGTACTGAATATGTACAGACTTATTTCCTAAATAATATAGCATAACAAATATTTTCATAGAAATTACATTGTAAGAGAAACTATAATCTAGAGATGAATTAAAGTACATAAGAGGCTGTGCATAGGTCATATGTAAATACTATGCTATTTTATATAAGGAACTTGAGCATCCCACAGGGGCAACTGTGAGTAGAGAGAGAGACAGACCAATACATATACACACACCAAAAAAAATGTATGATTTAACTATGGAAACACACACACACACACACACACACAAGGCTGGAAGTCCCTGGGTGGTGAGATACAAAGCATTTCCTCCCTATTACTTTGAATTTCTCTGCTCTCCATACTTTCCACAAGAAATATAGGCCGTTTTTATTATCAGGGAAATGTCTAAAGACATCTCCACAGGGTGTGGCTCTGCCTGGGTATGCAGTGTGACACAGAGCTTACAAACTGGAGAGGGACCTGCCATGAGGGTTATTGGTCCTGAAGATGCAGCAGTGTGGCTTCTGCCTCAGAGCTGAGCTTGCTGACCGGACTTGGAAGTGCCTGAAAGGGTTCTGCCTCTAATTTTAGCATGTGACTCGGATAAATCATTGAACCTTTTGAACACTCAGTGTCTCCGTTGGTATAAAGAGAGTTGGGCCAGGCATAGTGGAGCACGCCTGTAATTGCAGTGGCTAGGGAGGCTGAGGCAGGAGGATCACAAGTTTCAGACCAGCCTCTGCAATTTGGTGAGGCCCTAAGCAACTTAGCAAGACCCTGCCTTAAAATAAAAAATAAAAAGACTGGGGATGTGGTAAATTACCTCTGGGATCAATCCCTGGTACCAAATGAAAGAGAGAGGGAAGGAGGGAGGGAATTGGGGGGCAGATACTCTCCAAACTCTGACCAGTGCTGGGAGTACAAAATCTAGAATACTGTGACCTCTTACCACATTTGGGTTGAAGGGCGGAGTCAGCCTCTTGTGGTACAAGTCATCCCAGTTTATGGGACTGAAGAATACATGGTTCTTTATCTCCAGCTGCAAGAAGAAGGTTCTGATCAGAAGTAGCTCTCCTCTCCCCCACCCCCACATCCTCCCAACTCTATAGCAACTGGCTTTTAACTGCACAGTCCTTGAAGTTCTGGCTGTTTTCCTGGGTGTTCTGCAGCCTGGCTGTGGCCTCGCCCCCACCCCCCATCATCCAAAACCCCCCATTAAAGTACATCCGCAACTGGGTACCTCTCTAAATACTTACACCATTCTAGGGTCTGAACGGAATGTCAAGGAATGAGAACTGGTTCCATGAGGTGGGGGGTGGTGGTGAGAAAGTGAGCAGGGAGTTGGGGATCCACCCCTGATGCATCAGTACATCTTGAGACTTCCCAGAATGCAATCCAGAGGAAGGTTTGAGAAATAAAGCCCCAAGAAAAGCCACAAATTCCCAGAGACCCAGAAGTGAGGACTCAGCCCTAGGCATGCTTCACCACCTCTTTCCTTATCAAAATCAACACTGGGCCAATGTGGTGGCACACGCCTGTAATCCCCAGAGACTGGGGAGGTTGAGGCAGGAAGATCACAAGTTCCGGGCCAGCCTCAGCAAGTTAGTGAGACCCTCAGCAATGTAGCAAGTCTCTGTCTCAAAATAAAATGTAATAAGGACTAGGGGAGGAGCTCAGTAGTAAAGTACCCCGGGTTCAATCCCCAGCAGCAAAAAGAAAAAGATCAAACAGAAAAAACATTGGCACCAACTTTCCTCCCAGCAGGATCCGTATTCTAACGCTGTTTCTCAAAAAATGATTCTCCAGTCTCCTGTATCAGGACTGCCTTCTGAGCTAGTTAAAAAGCTAGACTCAAAATCTCCAGAAGAATACCCAAGAAATTAGTAATTTGTGCTTCCTCTAAATTGAGGTAGGTACTGGGTAGGCAGAAGGACTTTTTCTGGATACCATTTTGTAGATTTTGAATTTTAATCTGTGTGAATGAATAATTTATCTTAAAAATTACACATAAATTTGAAGATGCAAACTTCCCCTTAGAAGGAGAGAACCTAATTTCTGGGAAAGAAGCTTCCAGTTCTTTAAGCGGAGCAAGGAAAGGTAGGCAAATGCCCCAGAAGTTACATTCACTGGCTCTGGCACATCGAGCTTTGGTGTGAACACTTAGAAGCCTTTTCCTCCCATGATTGTCCACCTGTGGTATCATTTCCTTCCTTACATTTGTGATAATTGCATATAATCTTTGCTTTTATTTTTGTTTTGTTGTCAGCCTCCTTTACCCCCCACCCCCACTTAATAAGGGCAGAGACCTAGACTGTTAAATTTTTAGCACCTAGTTCAATGTCTGGCACGTAGTAGGTGCTCAGTAAACATTGGTTTACTAAAGGAACTGGATTAAAGAAAGTAGACAGCTGGTAGCTGTAGTGAATTTCCAATGGAGGTGTTAGCAGGCTGATTTTAGAGGGGAGCAGGAAGCGTGGTGATGTACCACTGAGCTGCCTCTTCAGGGAGTTGAGAGCCCCCAAAGAGGCCTATGCTCTAGCTGGCAGGTCACCTACAAAGTCTGCCTTGGAGCCCAGCCTCTGCCTCTGGTCCTTGTGGAGAAGGCCTTGCAGGAGGTCGCAGGCAGCCACTGTCCGGCCTCCAGGAATCTGTAGTGGCTGGTGCAGAATGTTCTCATACATCTGGGACACGTCTTGGCTGTAGAAGGGTGGCTGGTAAGAGAGGGAGAAGCTGGAAGATCACCCATGCGAACGTGGAATTGGGTCTCAGGGAACCAGAGCAACCAGGTTGCCAGGAGGACCCATGGCATCCTGTGCAATGGCTCACATGGCAGATGTGGAAAGACAGGACCTCTAGGCACCCATCACAGGCGACAGTCAGGGCTGCTGAGAAGGTCACACGGCTCTTCCCACCAGTGGGAGGTTCGTGGACCTCCCAGGGGCATCTCCCATCCCAGCTCTGCTAATCCAGCTGTGCACCAAGCTTACACCTGGACCTTCGGCACTTCCTGCCAGCTCACAACCATCCTCTGAGGCTCTGATTTTTCGGATGAGAAGACAAAGTTCAGAGCAATAACCCGCACAGCTAGGAAGACAGAGAGGCCCCAAACCCTACTCGGGGTCCGCTTCTCTTCCTTGCTGCTCTTCCTCCTGTTCCCCTCCCAGCTGGTCTTTCTCCTGACCCCCACAGCTTCCTGCTTCACCATGCTGTGCTGGTGAACCCCCCGCTCCACACAGGTGGAGACCTACCCAGGCAGTTAAGCTGGGTTCACAATCTTTCCAGAAGGACTGTGACCTCTTTGGCCTCAGTTTCACACTCAGTAAAACAAGAACAACTCTGTGCTCTATGGTACCAGGCTCCCAGACGGTATCGACATGGTCAAGGTGAGATGGTGTGTAATAAACTGTAAAGTGCTGAACTAACATTATTGAAAAAAATAGATCGAATCTTCATATTCACTTTGGCATCACCGTTTTTCACCTGGGGCGAGAGATGGTTCATTTAGTTCCCTGAACACAGCTTGAGCAAGCCACATGAAGGAGAGACTCCCCCCCTCAGCTCTCCCCAGAGACACATGTCCCCTGTAGACAGGGGCTCCCCACTCACCAGGCCATGCAGCATCTCGTAGAGGACTGCTCCTAAGCACCACCAGTCCACCGCCCGATCGTAAGGCTCCTTACGAAGCACTTCAGGAGCCAAGTACTGTTGGGGAAACACACTTATTTAAAAGATGCTCATGATGTGGGGGAAAAGGAACCCTTTTACACAGTTGGTAGGATCGTAAAGTAGTCCAACCACTATGGGAATCAGTGTGGAAGCACCTCAGAAGACTAGGCATGGAACCACCATATGAGCCAGCTACACCACTCCTCCATATTTAGCCTTTAGTATTAAAATCAGGGCTGGGGATATAGCTCAGTTGGTAGAGTGCCTGCATTGCATGCACAAGGCTCTGGGTTCAGTCCCCAGCACCACAAAGAAAAAAAAAAAGAATTAAAGTCAGCATACTGCCAGACACAGTGGCACATACCTATCTGTAATCCCAGCACTCTGGAGGCTGAGGCAGGAGGATTGCAAGTTCCAGGCCAGCCTCAGCAACTTAATGAGGCCCTAAGCAACTTAAAATAAAAAGGACCAGGATGTAATTCAGTAGTAAAGCACCCCTGGGTTCAATCCCCAGTACCAAAAGTAAATAAATAAATACCATATGCTATAGAGATCCATGCATACCCATGCTTATAGCAGCACAATTCACAATAGCCAAACTGTGGAAACCAGCTTAGGTGCCCATCAATAGAGGAATGAATAAAGAAAATGTGATATGTATATATGCCATAGAGTTTTATTCAGTCATAAAGAAAATGAAATTATGTCATTTGCAATAAAATGGATGGAGCTTGAGACCATCATGTTAAATGAAATAATTCCTACTCAGAAGGTCAGGGTTGCATGTTTTCTCTCATATGTGGAAACTAAAGAGGAAAAAGGGAAAGAAAGGTGGCAGGTGACCCCATGAAGAGCAAAGGGAGATCAGTAGAATAGGGGAAAGGGACTGGGAAGTGGGAGAAAGGAAGGAAGGGGAAGTGCCGGGACCGATGTTGGCCAATTTATATTGTTATACTGTGTGCCTATGCTAATTAACAACAAATCTCATCATTACAGACAACTAAAATGCACCAATAAAAATGTAGATAAGAAAAGATGCTCCGCCTCAGTGTTTCCATCTGTAAGCAAAGCACTTAAAGGAGAAGATGAGCAGGGGTGGAGCTTGCTGTGATATTCACGGGGTGTGCCGTGTTCATGTGGCATCCATTCACCAAAGGCCTGGGTAGTGCAGGGACTTGTGCCATGTACTGGGGACAGAGAGATCAAGCAAGACTTCCCTGCACAGCTGCACAGTTTCACCAGCCAAAGATGTGGACAGGGCTGCAATCCTGGCCATGGTCCACTCACCAAGCCATAACACTAGTTCATAAGTTTATCTGGCAACTTTATTTTGCTTCAGGGGTGCCTTTTCTACTTAGTCGGCCCAGAGCAGGTGCCTTCTAATTTGCACAGAGGTATTTAATGAGCTATTGGTGTCCTAGGAATAAGAGCGCCAGGGAGTATTCACGGGGTGGGGAGAATAATGGACAAAGTCTAAGCCATGTTGCACACACTTGGACTGGAAACCTGAGTGGCAGAGAAGAGGTCAGGAAAGAGGTGGCACTTCGGAATGCTTGCCATGCATCTGTGCCTGGCATAAAGAGAGAATCCAGGCTGTACCTTCTACTGAACCCCAGAGCTTGGTGACCTCTTAACATGGAATCTATGCTAATGATGAGAGTGATCTCAGCATCATGCCAAGCTACCCTGAGAGACTGTGTGGGTCAGCAGAAGGGCAGAGAGTCACACAGACCTGAGCCCTCCTTGGTGTGGTCTCAGACAGGTCATTTAACCTCTCAGAACTTTGGTTTCCTCATCCATAAAAGGGGATGCAGAGGGCTGGGGTTGTGGCTCAGTGGTAGAGCACTTGCCTAGCATGTATGAGGCACTGGATTCAATCCCCAGCACCACATAAAAAAATGGGGAAAAAAAGGTATTGTGACCATATACAACTAAAAATATATTGAAAAAAAAAGGGGGGCGGGGATGCAGAATTCCTCCTGGTGGCTGGTTTAAGGCTACCTACAGGCCCTTGAACAATGGGAGCAACAGTGGTTACTCTTGTCTGCACTCCCTGAAACCACAGTGGTGGCAGAGTTGTGGAAGAAGGGATGTGTTGAGGCCATATGTCTCCTTCAGGAATCAGCAGTGACCAGCTGCCAGCTCCCGGCCATGTCCGGGACTGGATGGCTTGGCTATCAGGCTTTGGAGGGCAAGCGTTATTCAGGGAACACTTTCCATGCACAAACATAAACAATAGCTCCTGCTCAGAGAGGGCATCTGTGCCAGACCAAGGAGGTTCACCTGAGATTTGAGGCCCAGGTTCCCAAGCAAATGGGGTAGACCAGAGCAGCTCAAGTCTTGGCCCACTTCAGGTCAGGAGGAGCTGCCCAGCTTTACAGCCTCAGTCCTGATGCCTGTCCAAGCCCCTGGGGTCTCCTTCAGGTCCAAGGTCCAAAGTCCAAGGTCCAAGACTGGTGGAAGTTCAAGGAAAGTTCTCAACCCCACAGCTGCAGGGAGGCCTGGGCCTCCTGTGTATGGAAGATGGGTGAAATTACTGCTGCGACCCACAACTTTTAACCCTCCAGGCTCTCATTGGCCGGAGACAGAGGTGGATCTGCGCCTGACTCTTGTGAGCCCTGATCTTAACTCTCAGGCCAGGCCGCCTGTGGCACGTGGACTTTGCCCTATGAAGCAGGGCCGTTCAGTACAGCAGCCACTAGCCATGTGTGGCTACTGGACAGTTGAAATGTGGCTAATCCAAATCAGATGTGTGACAAATGTAAAACATGTACTTGATCTCAAAGCCTTAGAAACATGAACTGTTCAATAGTTTTTATATTTATTGTATGTTGAAATGAGGATATTTGGGACATAGTGGGTTAAATAAAATATAGTTAAAATTAATTTCAATGTTCCTGGGGATTTTTTGTTGGTGGGGCTTTGGTTTGTCTGTACTAGGGATTTAACCCAGGGTTACTTTACCACTGAGCTACCTCCCCATTCCTTTTTATTTATTTATTTTAAATTTTGAGACAGGATCTCATTAATTTTGCTTAGGACCTCGATAAGTTGCTGAGGCTGGCCTCAAACTTGAAATCTTCTGCCTCAGCCTTCTGAGTCACTGGGATTACAGGCATGTACCACCATGCCAGGCTTATTTTTGTTTTTGAGATGGGGCCGCACTATGTTGCCCAAGCTGGGCTTGAACTTGTGACCACCCAGCCTCAGCCTCCCAAGTAGCAGGGATCGCAGACACACACTATTGTGCTTAGTGCTCACCTGCTTCTTTTTATTTTGGTTTATTTTTGCAGTGCTGGGATTGATCCCAGAGCCTCACACATGTTGGCCAAGGGCTATACCACTGAGCTACACCCTCAGCCTTGTCATCTGACTTTTTAAATGAAGCTGCAGGGAAGTTTTAAATTGCGTATGTGATTTGAATTTTATTTCCTTTGGAGAGCACTGCCACAGAGCGGCACCAGAACTGGCTGGGGCCTATTCCAGCATCTCTCACTGTACAGAGGAGGAAACCAAGGCTCTGCACACTTCTGGCTGGGGGGAGGGGAGCCTGGGGGGATGGCAGCAGCCCCTCAGCTGTAACCTGATGGCTCTACTTAGGAGCTGTGGCCTTGGCTGTTCATGGCCTGTACTCTCTTAGGACATACACACTTACCTCGGGGGTGCCACAGAATGTGGACGTGGTGTCCTCGGGCTCCACGCCTTCCTTACAAAGGCCGAAGTCTGTCAGCACCACATGTCCCTGAGGATGAGAGACGGCAGGGATGGGAGGGTGGTCTAAGCCGAGGGAGATCCAGGCCAAACCCCAAAGCCCAGATGCCACCGAGCAGGCCGTGGCTTTGGGTCTGAGGCCCAGACATGGGCTGGAGACTCCACTCAGACCCAGGGCTTGGAGAGTACCATGGGGCACTGGGTAGACACATGGCATTCTACTGTCTTCCTAGTTCATCGTGGACTCAGCCCCAGACTCACGACAGTGAAAGCTCCAGGATGTCCTGGCTGGACAGCAGCCCCGTGAGAGAGGGACCTGTGACAGCTGGGTGGGTACTGCAACTGCCCAGATCTCCCCTGCTGAAGCTGCCACCCCCACAGCTGGGACCTGCTTCTTCCCCCCAGAGACATTCATATCCAGTGATAGATTGAGGCAGGGCATTAAAGTCCAGCCTCTGGGCCTCAATTTGGGACAACCCTTACGACAATCCTTATGGTCCATCCCAGCCTGGGTCCCCATCCCTCTGAAATCAGTGAGACCTTGTTTGCAGCCACCATGCAGGTGAGCTTTTCCTCTGCCCAGTCCTGTCTTCTTCACCCCTTAAACCTGTATCTCCCCAATGAACCTTCTGGCAGACTGCCCTCCTGATCCAAGACAAGGAAGGACTATAAAATCCACCAGTCCTCCTGTCTCACAGACCTTGTGTACACATGTGCACACACACACACATGCACACATAGTGCACATATATATACACGTGTACATATGTGTGGGCACCCATGCACATGCGTACAGAAGTGCACCCTCTCCCCGTGTGCATGCATGTGCAATACACACACACAGACACACAGAGCGCTCACATGTGCACGCACACACACACACACCAACCTCGCAGTCCAAGAGAATGTTCTCCGGTTTCAGGTCCCTGCAGAAAATAAGAGAAAATAGCCTGGTGGAGTCTTGGCTATACAATGAAAGAGTTGGGGACCCTGGGTCCTGGCAGGAGGACTATTCACGCAGGCTCCCAGGGTGTAGAGGGAAAGCCCAGGGAGGCTGGGCACTTGGCTCCCGGGAGGAGGACACCTAGCCCTTGTCCTCTGGGATCTCATTGGAGTTTAGAGGTCCATACACCCCCTGGCTATTGGGACAGGAAGGGCCTGGGCCCGGCTCTGAGCCACAGGCCATCCTCACCTGTAAATGATGTTGAGGGAGTGCAGGTAGCCGATGGCGCTGGCCACCTCAGCAGTATAGAATCTGGCCCGGGGCTCCAGGAACCTACGCTCCCGCTGCAGGTGGAAGAAGAGCTGAGGAGAAGGAGGTGTGTGAGGGGGATCCTGGTTCTACTTCTAGGGCACAGTCACCCCACCTGAGCTGCAGGCCAGTTCCTTCCCACAGGGTAGTCACCATGTCCAAAGTGACCGTGGAAGGAGAGATTTCCCAGCATTGATTAAGCACAGGCTCCAAGTCGGGCCCTTCACATCTTATCTCATTTAATCCTCATGACAACAGCCGAGGTACCCATGTGATGCCAGTTTCACGTAAGAGGAAAATGGGAGGAGTCAGAACAGTTAGGGGACTTGCTCAAGGTCATGTAGCTCATAATTGGCAGAGCTGGAATTTGAAACTGGGTGGTTTAAAGATGTGCCTTTCCTCCAACCCAAGCAATACAATGATTATGGCGGTCACACTGAGGCCAGGTTACATCTCCCCGTGGACCAATGCTTTGTCTATTTTATTGGCACGCAAAGCCCTTTACTTAGGGATGCAGGATAAAAACTCCCCTCTTGGCTTGGTGATGAGGATCGACCCAAAGTCATTCAGTCACAGGTTCAATCTGGGGTCATGGAGGCAAGTCCCACTAAATCTTGCCAACTTGCCCAGTGAAACAGAGTAAAGTCCAAGAGGGAGCCCAGCTTATGCTCGGCCATGCTTCTGGGTCACCATTGGCTCCATTTATGATGGTGACAAGCTACCTCCTATCCTGTGGCCTGTGGTATCAAAGGGAGAGTTGGAAACCTTGACCACAGAGCATCTCTTAGCATTGACCTTTCCCAGGTTGACGGAAGGGAGTCTACGGGCAGCTTTGTGAGAGAAAGACAAGAAAGCAGCATGGCTGGGAGTCAGATCTACGTTCACATCCTGGCGCGGGCTGGATGGCCTTGAGCAAGTGACCGGCCTCCCTGGGCCTCAGTTTCTTCAGCTACAAAATGGGTCTGTTGTAAGGATGAGGTGAGACCATTCTTGGCACACAGTGGGCGTGTGGGTAGATGCCTTCCAGCCGACAGCTGGCCCCTCACCTCTCCTCCATTGACATAGTCGAGTACAAAGTAGAGCTTCTCAGGCGTCTGGAAAGAATAGCGCAGGCCCACGAGGAAGGGGTGCCGCACGTTCTTCAGCAGCACGTTGCGCTCCGCCATGATGTGGCTCTGCTGTGGGGTCAGATGGGTCCATGTCACAGCTCGCCAGGCCTCTCTTACCTCACTGGCACAGCCAGCATGGCCTTGTTATTGGGGTTGTCCTGCCTAGGACTTTCTTAAGCTCTTTATCAAACACCCTCAAAGGCTCCCTAGTGCCCTTCAAGCCAAGCCCAGTCTCCTTGCCTAATATTTAGGCTTCAGCATGGTTAGCTTCATTCTCACCTATTATACCTATTGGTATAATAACTTCAACCCCTGAATCAGCAATTCCTGACCCATTCCAGCCAACAGGGAGGCTGAGGCAGGAGGATCACAAGGTCAAGGCCAGTCTCAGCAACTTAGTGAGGCCCTAAGAAACTTAGCAAGACCCTGTCTCAAAATAAAAAATTAAAAGGGCTGGGATTGTGGCTCAATGGTGGAGCACTTCTGGGTTCGATCCTCATCACCAAAAACAAACAAAAAATGTTGCTCCCGGGGTGGAAAGCAAACTATATGTGAGACCTTCATAAATGAGTTACAGGGAAAAATCCTTAAGGAAAAAAAAAGCCACATGCTATCTATAGTCACGTCTTTGCTCTTACTATTTTCCCTCCCTGGACAGCCATCCTTTTTTTAGACTACTAGAATGCTACTGACAAGGCCAACTCAATACTTCTTTTTCCAGAAGACCTCCCCTTGAACCCCCATGACATCCTTGTGTGCATTAATCACTCTTCTCCCTGAGTCTCCTAACTGGATACTCAATCCTCTCTCTCTGTTCTCCTAATGGGGTTGGGTGTTAAAGGGACTCAAGTCGGCTGAGGTATCTAGAAATCCAGGCTGGCCATGACTTGAAGGGCCTTTGGAGAATATAAGGTGTGACCCCACATAAAGTATGAGCCCAGAGAGGGCAGAAAAGGTATCTGTCATGGAGCCCTGTGTTTCCATCGGGAGTCAGAGGCTTGGGCTGGTTCTCCTAAAAGCCTTATAGGTGCATAGCCTCACCTGCCTTTCTGGAGAATGGCCATAATCCTGGACACCAGCTGGACCCCCTATTGTAACCACCTGAGCACAAATGTTCTTGGACCCCTCGGAGGTGGAAGCCATCTTTGGAAGCTACTCAGGAGGTCAAGAAGCAGGAGAAGAAATGCCTGCCCGAGCTCCAGTACCTCTTTATTCTTTAAGATGGATTTTTTCTGCAACACCTTCACTGCGTAGAACATCCCGTCGGACTTGCGCTTGGCTAGTAGGACCTGAGCAGAAGCAGGAATACAAGCCCTCTGGGTGACTCTGGATGCCCCCAGGGTGACCTCCAGCCCTCACCCTACTTGCATTCTGCAGTATGCAAGCTCTCTCTGATCATGCAAGTGGCAGGCAGGGGTGCAGGAGGCCTCCCACCCCCATCTCCCCACTCACCTTCCCATAGTTCCCCTTGCCAATGACTTTGAGGAAGTCGAAGTCTGTGGGCCTGGCACTGGGGACAAGGGAAGAACATGATCAGCATTTGCAAGCTCAGGAAATCTAGTTCCTAAGGGCAAACCCAGGCTTCTTTTTAACTTTGGAGCCACACCTCCTTGACCCTGAGAACATCCTGTCCTCCCTGCCAAGAGAGGCTTGCAAGACTCACCCTTCACCCCATGGAGCTCGTGGTCTAGTTAACAATAGGCAGGGAGAGAAAGCAGGCACCCTGCAGAGAAGGCAGGCCTCTGGCCCCCAGCCCAGGAAGGGCATGAAGTTGGGGAGCTGCTAACAGGGCAAGTCCTGGGGGCTTTCCAGATGGAAGGTTCAATACAGGCAAAGGCTGGAGAACTAGCAGAAGACAATGCTCGGGGAGGCCCTGGGCCCTGATGGCAGAGGGTCTTCAACACCAGACCAGAGAGTTTGGATTGTATTCCCAAGACATGAGGAGCCAGCTCTGAGGGGAGCCAGGCAGGAAAGCCACTTGAGAGACCAGAACTCACTTCGGGTTGGCCGAAGGTCCCAGGTTGATGTTCCCATTGGCTCCGGAGGGCTGAAGACATTTAAAGGAAGAGGTGGTTAAGATTGGTCAACCTCCTCCCTTTCCCCAGCCCTGGCTCTGGTCCCTTCTCCAACATCGCTACCAGCCTCCCTCCCTGCCTCCATCTCTCCCTCCATCGTTTCTTCAGTTCCCTTCCACCATTCTACTCACCTATGTACCTCCCTGTCCACCCCAGCCAGATAGCCGCCATCCCACCTGCTTTTCACAAGAACCTTGGACAGGTGCTGGCTATTGTGTGCTAATGTAAGGGTGAGAAAATGAGGCCAAAGAGCTGTGGTCAAGGTCTTACAGGCAACAGGCTGGGACTTGAACCCCCTGTCTTCTCTATCAACGCCGTAATTCCTCCACCTCATACACTTCTTGAAGCCCTTGCCCCAATCTCTCCTCAGTTCACTCTGCAAATGGCCCACCTCCATGAGCTCACGATGACCCTGTCACCTCCCAGTCCTGGTCTAGGACAGCCCATAGGGCTGGCTGGTGTCCCTACAGATTCCCTGAGCCTTGGGAGGAAGTGAGCTTCCCAGTGCTGGGTGGGAGGCCAGGAACACTCACCTGTGGGCTAGGCATCCCGTCAGGGCTAGAGGCCATTCTGAGGGTGTGATCAGGTGGCTCTGGGGGCACAGGGAGGGACAGGTGTGAGAGAGGCCCCATCCCAAGCATCAGGCCTGGCTGCCTTCTCCCTCCTCCCCAACCCTGAATCCCTGCCACAGCCTGAGTGGCTCCTTTCCCGGAGTCCAGCAGCCCCTACCTGGAGACGGCAAGAAGTGACATCCCTGGGCCCAGCCTTTCTCACCAAACACCTCAGAAGGGGTAGGGGTGGTCAGGGTGGCCCCTTCCAGGCTGGGTCTTTTCAAAGGTCAGGGACAGCTAGAGCAGCAAGACCCCTGCAAGTCATGGCAGCTCCGGAAATCCAGGATGGCCAGGGCCGCAAGTAGGCCCCACGTTTAAATCTTCCCCCACCTCTCAGGTGGACACCTGAGGCCTAGCAAAGGACTTTCTAGAGTCGTACAGTTTGTGAGGGGCAGGCTGTGCTCCCCAGACTCCCATACAGGCAGGTTGGCGACCCTGGATTCTGTGGATAGTTCCAGACTGGGCTCTATACTGACTATTACCCCCTTGCCACAAGGACTTCTGCCCAGTGCCCAGGAACAGCAGTTGCCCTGGGGACCTTGGACTGAATCCATGGAGAGGTGCAAGACTGGCCAGTCAGTTGATTTGAGATCAGGCCACGGATGGAGTGACCAGCAGTGTCCTCCCCGCCCTTACACTGCAGCAAGGAAGAAGCCAGCACATTCAGACCCAGCTCAGGGTGCTCGGACCCCACAGCCCCTGCACCTCCTACCTGGACGGTCAAGGCTTAGAGCCAAGATCTCTCCTGAGAGCCCAGTTAGTTGTTCCTGGGGGTTGTTGGAAATTGTGCATGCCAAGAGCATAGCTTTGGCCTGCTGAGGGGCCTGGGCCACAGCCTGGTCTCTCTGAGTAGAAACCACCCATCTGTATAAGAGAGGCCCTGGAGAGTGACCACAGGGGAAGGAGGGACTCCTCCAGCCAGGCTGCTCTGAGAAGCCCGTCCTGCCATGCCCCGAGAGAGGGAGCTGCAGAACAGGGAGTGCAGCGACTTCAGCCCACACCCAGGGCTGAGTTCCCCAGGACAGCCCATGGCGGGGCCACACCTTCCCTGATCACCCTGGTGGCTCCTTTGCCAGCCCTTGGCCTCCCTGGCCCCACATACCTGTGCAGCTGAGGAGAGGCCTCCGGGAGAAGCAGCGGCTGGAGCCGAGGACCACAGCGGACAAGAGAGCCCACACTGTTCTCCCAACAAGGGCCGATGTGTCAGTGCCTGGTGCCGACCGACCGGGCCCAGCAGGGAGCTCAGAACTCCCAGCAGCAGCGAAGGGGCTGGCTGACGTCACACGGGATCCAGCAGAGCTTAAGACAAGACAGGAGACTTCTATTCCCTCATGGACACCATCTCCCCTGGGGGGAAAAGCAGGGGGTGGGCAGCAGCCCCAGAAGAGCCTGGACATGGGGCTTATTGGAATATATGGGACTGTGTCATGTGCATGAGGAATTGTACTGGGCATTGATGTGCACCCGTGTGTCTCTGTGCGTCAATGTGGCCCTGTCTTTCAGGTACGTGTGTGTGTGTGTGTGTGTGTGTGTAAGAATGTGTGTGTTGATGTGACTGCAGTCGTACATTTTTGTCAGTGTGTCTGTTTGTCAGTTTGTCAGTGTATCATTTGTGTTTCTGTGTGTGTGGTATGCTTCCACATGACCGTGTCGTGTGCGTCCGTGTGTATTTGTATACATGTTAGTGTGCTTGTGTGTGTGTGGGGGGGTGGATGGGAGTCTCTATGTGGGGTCTCCTTGTTTGTCTGCAGATGAGTATAAGTTTGTATCCCTATGTGTGTTTATGTGACGATATAACCAGGTAACATCTGTGGACGTCCATACTTGTGGAGAGCAGTACATTTCTGTGTGTATATGCACGTGTGCACACATGTACAGGGGGCCTGTCTGTAAGAACATATGGTCCAGCAGCCTAACCAGGCACTGTGTAGATCATGTGGGCTGAAGACGAGGTCCCAGAGACCTGGGCCCTGGCAGCTGACAGTGCTCTGCCACCGAGGAACTTGCAGCTCTTTCAGAGAGGCAGAGCTGATTTCCTGCTTTTACTGCTGAGCATGTGGCCCTTGAGTCACCCCTGCCAGGCCAGGGCTGCTTGGCCCATAGCTCTCCTGATGTGTAAAAAAGTGTCCCGGGGGCACCCTGGCACACACAGGCCTTGCTGTCAGGGGTGATCATTGGGTTCTCACAGGACAATATCTGCTCCCTGGGGCTCCTGAAGGGGGAGCTGATGTTCTAGGGAATGAAGGAGCTGATGAGCCCAACACAGCCCCTGTCCTTCTGGAACTTTCTGTGTGGCTATAACCTACTCCAAGAGAGGGACCCACAGAGCTGGGCAGAGGGGTTGTTGGTCAGGAAGGGAACTAAGCCCAGTGGCCTCAGGAGCTCTCTGCAAGCTGTGAAATGCAGGTGTTGACCCAGGAAAACACCAGTCAGTGAATAGTATCAAAGTCTTTCATCTCCCACAAAATAGAAACGTGGACCCGACACACAGACCCGCAGGAGGCCGCATTGACAAAACACTAAGCCGGAACAAGGGCATTTCTTTCCAATAATAGGACCCTGATGGCCCTTCATTCAGCAGCACTAGTTATCAGAACAAAGTAACTGTGACAGCAGCAGCCTAAATGTTCCCACGGGGCACTTCCGGCTCCTGCTCCTGACCTTCCACCTCTGTCCAGAGGCTGCCCATCTCTCTGTTCTCTCAGTTAAACTCGTCAAAGGAGCTGTCTTGACTCAGCGATTCTGCTCCCTTTTCTTTTCTGTCTTGAACCCACTCCAAACAGGCTTCCGTCCCAACAGTCCAGTAAATTGGTGAACAGAGGCCTCCATGTGCCAAAGCCAGAGAGGAATCCTGGGTCCTCCTCTTCCTCGACTTCTCTGCCGTTGAGAGAGGGTGACCTCAGAGGTCCTGGGGCTCCTTCTAGCTTCCTGCCTGCTCCTTCTCCGTCTCTGACACTGAATTCCTTCCTCTTTATCCTTCAACCCTGTCTTAGCCTTGGATCTTTATCTGTACTCATTTCTTAGTTGATCAAAACCAGTTTAATGGCTTCACTGATTATATTCGGAGGCTCCCAAATTTCTCTTTTTAGCTCTAATTCTCCCTTGAACTCTGAACCAATTGCTTCCTTAACACTTCATTAGTTAGCTATCCAGAGGGAACTCAGTCTTAAAATGGCCCAAAAAAGTCAGGACTTCCATTCCTTCTACTCTGCCCCAGCCTGCTCCTCCCATTGGGTTCTACTGCCTATTTAAAAGTTCAAGTTAGCAACTCAGAAGTCATCCGGGAAACTTAGCACCCTCATCCCAATCCCACTCTCTCATGGAATCCCATCAAAATATGTCCAGAAATAATATCTGCAGGGGAGGAGACACCTGCGCTTCATGTGAATGGTGGCATTATTCATGATTAGCCAACATACGGAATCGGCCTACGGGTCCATCAGTGGATGAATGGATTATGTATAATAGAATACTATTCAGCCATAAAAAGGTTGAAATCCTGTTATTTCTGGCAACACCGATGAACTTGGCAGACATTATGTTAAGTGAAATAAGGCAGGCACTGGGAGACAAATAGTGCATGATCTCACTCATTTGTGAAATTTTTAAAAGTTGTCATAAGAGTTAGAGAATAGAGAGTAGAATAGTGGCTACCAAGCCTGGTGTGGTGGCTGAGGCAGGAAGATCATAAATCGGAGGCCAGCCTCAGTGACTTAGTGAGACTCATGGGGGTATAGCTTAGCGGTACAGCACCCCTGGGTTTGATCCCCAATATCACCAAAAAAAGGAAATCAGATCACGTATCTTCATTGCTAAAAACTCCAGTATCTTCCCATTGAACTTAGAATTAAAGCTCTGAGTCTCTGCCAAGTTCTTAAGAGATTCCACGCGTCCAGCTTGTCTTCACTGCTTCCCATTCCCCCCACCCCCTGACTATCCCCAGGGCATCCACCTGCCTCATTCATCCTACCCAGCTGCTCTGGCTCCCTCTCTCTGTCCCTCAAACACACAAAGTGCCCTCTGGTCTCTGGCCCCTTGCACTTACTTTTCCCTCTGCCTAGGAAGTTCTTCCCCAAGACATCTGCATGTCGAGACATCACAGAGGTCTCTGCTTTAGGATCACCTCCCAGAGAGGCCTGTGCTGGTTATAGATGCCAGGTTGTCATGGTTTTTCTGAGACTCCGGGCTGTCAGTGCTAAAACTAATATAGTCCTGGGCACACGAGGGTGGTTGGTCACTAACAATAGCAGGGCCACCTCTTCCCTACATTCTTTTTCTGTTTATATTTTGCTTTGTAGCACACTCATCGCACTGGCACCTTATCAAGCCACTATTTAAATGGTTTTATTTTCTGTATCAAACTGGAACATCAGTTTCACAAGGGCAAATACTTTTTTTGTTCACTATTGAATCCTCGTCATTTAGAATAGGCCTGGAACTAATAGATGCTCAGGACATATTCAACTAAGGAAATCAGGAATGGCTTGATAAATCATGGTATATACATAAAGTGGAAAATTCCACAATCAAAAACTCCATATAAGCTACATAAATCGAAATGGGAACCTGTAACTGATGCAATCTTAAGCAAAAAAGCAAGTTTCAAAATGACCCATATATATACAAGTACGTCCATGGATATCTGCGTGTCTAACTTCACGCACACATGAAGGTGGGAGGCTATGACTGTAGATTCCTAGGTTGCTTTTATTTTTACTTTTGACCGATTGTGTAAAGTTTCTCCAGATGTTACTGTTCAGTTACCATTTAAATATGAAGTCCCTGTGGGAACCTGGACACACCCATTGCCCACCACCATCCTCTCCCATCGCCTTGACCATGACTCCCACTCCTGGGCGTCTCTCCCTGCCTAAGCTTACTTCCTGGCTGCACCACCATCTGATTATTTGGCTGGAGGTCAGGCACTGAGATCTCCTGACTCTGTCCTGTGGCAGCTGCTATGAAGGGCCCCGTGAGCCCTTAAGCCTGTTGCCCGCCCCCGCCCCCCAGCGACTTGCCACAGCGGAGACCTGCCTTCCTCTGTCCTATCACACTGTGGGCCGCAGAATGGGGTGGGGCAGGGGCATCACAGAGTTCTCTTTCCTTGGAACATTCCCCTCCACCTGGTCTGTTTGGGTAACCCTGTCGAGGGCCTGATGGCCTTACCAGAAGCCTCACCAGCACTTCCTTCCTTCTGTTTTTCTGCACCTGCCCCCCGCCCCCCACTATCATTTATTCATTTGCCTCCCTGTCCAGCTCAAGGCCAGCTGGCTCTTATGTTGTCCCCACAACCCTGTGGGTTAGAAGCTGTCATTGTCCCTGCTTGAAGGAGGAAACTGAGGCATGGAGAAGGGAAGTGATTTGATCAAGACGCGAAGTCAATAAATTATGTAACTAGAATTTGAATCGGGCCAGTCCCCACTCCCAACCGTGGTCTGGACTTTCCAAAGAGAAAAGGGTGGAATGAAAGTGGGGAAGAAGTGAGGGTGTAAAAGGTTCGCGAGGGAAGAAGAAAGCAGGCAGCTGAAATTAGGCGGCTAGCTTAGACAGGACGAAAGGGGGAGGAAAGAGGTTAGGAAAGAAAACGAGGGAAAAAGAAAGGGAGGGAGGAGAGAGGTTAGAAAGGAAGAAAAGAGGGGAGGGCCTAAGGAACCAAGGAAAGGAAACAGGTAGTTAGGGAGGAAACTAGTTAGTAGCTAGTTAGTCCATTCGGCAGATCAACAAGCCAGCAGGCAGGCGTCTGCTCAGGGGCCGCCTCTCACCTGAAGACTCTGGGTCCCGGTGCTGCTTCTGGGAAGCTCTGCCCTCTCTCGGCATGGTCCTTCTGAAACTCAGTTCCAACTTGCCGAGTGAGCACCCTTCCCTGGCAAGAGCGACCTGTCACCCACTCGCCTGACTCTCAAACAGGCTGGAGTTCAACTTCCCAGCCTTGCCAGTTGGGAGCTGGCTTTGGGGCCTTTGGTTATTAATTAACCACTGGGCAGAATTATCATGCTGGCTGCGCCCACTGGCTACTGGACAATCCCGCCCTGGGGATCTTCTGACCTTTTAAAAGCTACTGCACAACTTAAGGTGTGTCACCTTGGGCAAGTGACTTAGCTCTCAGAGCCTCATGTGGACTGGGGATGGTGTATGCACCTCCTGAAGGAAGGTCTCTGAAGCCCCTTCAACACTGTCATATGTCCATTCTCTGAAATGTCCTCCCAAGCTCTGCTTCAAGGCCGACTTCCACGTAGCCTTCCTATGCCAGTGGCTGAACCACTCTTCTCTCAGAGTCCAGAGGACTGACAATCGAAAGACTCATACAACTCTCTCTCACGCTGCTTCCCTGATGGGGGCCACCTTGGAGAAATGGAAGGACGTAAAACACCATGTCCTCAAAGTGTCCCTCTCTGTCCCATGAACCCAAACAAGTTACGCCTGGATTGGGATGTCCATAAATACCTTGAAGGACACTGACTTTTTCTCATGTACACTGGGAATGAGGGCAAGTCAGTGTTATCCGTGGAGAGCTGCTTTCTTGCCTGGTGTCAGGTTCTTTGGGATGCTGGTCATACAGTGGGACAAAGCAAGCTAAGCTAATGATGTCACTGCTTCTGTAGACTAGCTTATAAAACTCCTCTCCCAGCAGTAACTGGTGTGGGATCGAGGGCACTGTGGAGAGGACAAGTACCACTTGTCCAGCCAGTTGCCACTGGACAAGGTGTTGTGGGGGATGGCATTGCTACTTGGTGAAGCCCAGTGAGGGATGGAGGTGTAATCTGTCCAGCCGGTCACCATGGGGCCTTCCCTGTGAAAATAATAGCTCTTAAGTCTTACACACTGGCTCCGAGTACTTTCTTTGTTCTCTCGGCAACCTGTTCCCCTGCCCTAGCACAACTGGGCTGTGAGTGGTACAAGTCTCTAGATGGCCCTCCCATGGACACTTGCAGAGACAGGAAGCTCCTTCCCTCCTGAGCTGGCATTCTCTTGTGTTGAGTCAATGCCTGACATCCAGAGTTCACCTGCCCTGCCCCTGCCCTGTTATTATCCTGGGAGGAGAATCACAGCTGAGTCGAGATTGATGCCCTGTTCTGCTCTTTGGAGACTGAGGCTTAGAAACCAGTGCACAGCTAGTCCCAGCTCACATGGGAGGAAGGCTTTCTTGTGATGACCGAGAGATGTGCGGGTCAAGTGTTCTAACTCAGGGCAGGGGCAGGGCTGGCCCCCTGGACAGGTGGGAAAAGCCTCGCCCAGTAACTTCTGCTCTAAGCAACTCAGAGTTTGACTTTCACTCTGCTTCCACCAGTGACTTTTCAGTAAATTTTCATGGTCAAGTCTGTTATTTTTAAAATGGACCGCTCTGATGTCCTGCAGGGTTGAATTCTCCACCTCCACCAACACACACATAAGCACGTGTCTGGCCCTGGCCTGGAGAGGGGAGGTGACTGGCCCAAGTGCACAGAGCAAATGAGGACAACAGCCAGGGTCCCATACCTTTCATTGCCTCTTCACTGGCACTCCACCAAGCTCCTCCTCCCTGAACTTCCAGAGTTGGTTTTAACAAACCCACACAATGGTGTGATTGCACAAATTGTATCAAAGAATTTCAATAGACAGAAGAATGTCAAATAACAAGTGAAACCTTCCCTTCCCCAAACCCACCTTCAATCTCATTTCCAGAGGTAAGTACCAATCCTTGCAGACTTTGGTCTATGCCCTGATCTACACATTGGAATGTTTCCCCCCCCCCCAGAAAATAGGGCTTTATGACACATAGTTTCAGCAACTCTTTTTCTCACATTTTTCCATGTTAACACAGAGTGATTCACTTTATTTTTTTAACAGCCACATTGCACTGGATAGAGTGGGATTAATTCACTACCCTTGTGTTTTGTTCCTTTTCTGATGGATGTCTGGGTCTTGGACAGACTCCGTTGTTTGAATATTGAAGGTCAAAGACATTCTCTGGGATGAGAAGAAGGATGCCAAAGGACTGAACCACTGGGAACCCACCTCCATGAAGATTCCCTCCACCTTGACATTCTCAGCCCACTTTTCTGTCCTCTGACCCCACCACTGTCCCCACCTGTGAATTCGTCCATAGGCAGAGTAAATAGCAGGCTTGGGGTCAGAACAGAAAAATGTGCTACTCATATGAGCTGGAAGCAGGACCCTTGAGTCAACAGACTCACAGAGAGGTGAGACATGGCCCGAGTTTTCTTTTTTATTTACTTTATTTTTAATAAAAATGTGTTTTATTTTAAAACAAGTTTATAAAAGTAGAAATCATATACAAAAATACAGATTACTCCGACACGTTGGCAAAATAGCCTATGGCTGGACTTGAGTTTGGAAGTACAGGCACTGTATGTTTGAGGGCACCTGGAAGTAAGTCCGACCTGATCCTACACCAGCCCTTGTCACTAATCTGTAAACAATAATTTCAAGTAGTATTTAGCACTTTTAAACTAATAAGAAATAGACACATAATCATCTCCTTGTGTAACACTACTTTAAAATTTTCTTCCTTAGGTCTGAGCAGATAAGGGCACATCATGCTACTGTTTCTAACATTTAAAATCTTTGATTTAAGTAAAACCAGTTAAGAGAAAAAATGATGGATTTTGGCTTTTTGTAACATTTTGCACATATGGGGAGGTCACTGACTTAAAACTAGTGTTTTTGTGATTTTTAAAAAGCAGAACTTGATCTTTTTTGCCTTGATGAGAGGTTTTTTTAAAAAACAAACCCACTCATATTACCAAAAGGTTCAACACCTGAGTACTAACTCTTACATACGTGCCAGTGCAGACTGTCCTGGAACTGTATGGAAAATACACGTGCTTCTAGTGTGTACTTCTGATTTATAGGAACAAGCAATTCTTAGGATCAGTAACCCTATAAAGGGGTAGTTTCAAACAATTATTGAGAAAGACCATTTTTAAAAAAGGCAATTTAAAATACTTGATTCCAGAGTAATATACAAATAAACTTAGCACTAAAGGAAAACAGCAGGCAGTATCAGTTCAGAACTCTTCCAATTTTTCAAGAATAGAGACTGATTAGGTTAATATCACCTTCCTGAAACAAAGCAACTCATTTAAAAGGTAAACAACTCATGTTAATGTAAGTTGATTATAAAATTAGAAACCATAATTATATTTCAGGAACACAGTACCTTAGTGATATTAAAGGATACTTCTGATTAACCTGGCATAGAAAATTACTTCTTGAGGCTTTACATCCTATACCAACTCTATACCTCTGGCCGTATGTTTAATTTGTTTGAGGGTTTAAGATGTGGGGCTATGTTTCTGTTAAGCTAATTTCAAATCTTAAGATAAAATGAAATGTTTTTTTTTTTAATTCCCAGATACCTTAAATGCTACTATCTTATGACTCTTTCTGTTCAGCCTACCCTACACATAGCTTATTGTTCTTCCAAACTATGTCTTATTAAACAATACTGAAAAATTAAATAGATAAAAGTTATCACAAAGGCTTTAAAAATCATTAGCCTTAAGTCATTTTTTAAGCTTGATTCTACATAAGACTTAATCCAAAGAGCACTTGGAAAAGATGGCATAAATTTTGCTATGTAAAAAAGTAAATTGAAATCATAGGCTCAAACTCCTAAACTTTCTGATGGCCTACAACTTAGGCTCTTAAGGGCATAGCATTGACAGAAGCTTTTATAGTCATTTAAAAAAGGGCAATACTTCATTTTTTTTTCCTTGAAAACGGTTTCCTAATTTACTTGCAGGATAAAGGTTAAGGGAAAACGAATAATAAAAACTAGCCCAGTGCTCCAGTAATTGGGCTTCCTGCCTACTTTCCCCATTCCAAAGAAAGAGGAGACACCATCCTGCAAGAAATAACTTCATAGACAGCTGGGCTTTTACAGTGTCAGTTGGTACCTGATGCCCCATATCTCCTGGTTCTTTTTGTTCCCAACAGTAAGCCTGGGAATGGTGATGAAAGAGGAGCAATTAATTTGCAGATGAGGAAGGGCTTCCCCTAACAGTTGAAGGATACCATCTGGCACGATTCCAAAAACTTATAGTGTTTTTAGTGTGGGAATTTCTCTAAGTTCAAGTAGAGTTTCAGGAATTATATCATAGCACCGACTGAGTGACAGATGTTGGAGATAGCTGAGCTGGAGAAATTCTGGAAAGCAGTCATGCTTTAGCTTGACACTGTCATTTAAGTCCAGATGGACAAGGTAGCCACTAAGATTCAGCTGGGCGATGGTCTCTGACACATGTGCGACAGCCACCTGCACGTGCTTTTCAGTGAACTCATAGCACCAGGAGAGGTTCAGCTCATCCTGTCTGGAACAGCTGCTTAGCAGAGTCTTCAGGGCCAACTCAGAAAATCCAGAATACCCACAAAGGTCGAGTCATACTAAATTTGAGTTCTGTGCAAGATTATTGATAATGGGATCAGAAAGCTTTAGGGCCTTCCAGGCTTAGATTCTGCAACTTGGAGCACTGAGACAGAATGCCATGGAGGGTAGATATGTTTATAACTGAGTTCGACAGATCCAAATGCTAAACATGAAAAGGGCTGCAATGTTCAACCAAGGGTTGGCCCACAAATGATCGGGGGCAGCGGAAGGCCACCACGCCTCAAGACAACAGACAAACAATCACATCTGAGTGCAGATTTTTACCTGTGCGATCCAAGGTTTGCCAGAGAGATTCGTCAAACGCAAGGCAGTACCACCTCTTACAAACACCAGAGACTTTCAACAGATGAGAGGCAGAGACAAGAGAAGATCCCTAGGAGCAACTGATGTGGGAGGGAGTCCCACGAAACACCGGGGAAGTTCTCTCAATTGAGTTTAGGCCTGCGGGTGACCTCAAAGTCTTTGTCACTCCCTCTGCATTTCAGCCATTTCTGTGTGGGGCTCTGAGGGTGGCCCAGGTTAGAGAGTAGTTCCTGGGGGATGTTCTCACTGTCCACCTCCTCCTTCTCTAGGACAGAGACCCCCATGCCTGACAGCAGCTCAGATGTCTTGCTGGAATCCCATCCTCACGTGAAGCTGGTGGTAACTTTGCTACTCTGGTCCGGAATCTCCCGGAGGTGCTTCCTGTGCATGGCGTCCACAGGTTCAGGAGTTTTAAATACCTGCATTAATTGCACAATTGCCCGCCTCCCAGATTCCCGCTTTGGGGGTTCCAGCCCCCAGCAGCCAGACCCGCGAACTCTAGCAACGTTCCATCCCTGCAGCGTGCCCTGAGTTTTTTTTTTAAAAAAGGAAAGATTTTAGAAAGTGAAAAATGCATAAAGTTAAAAATCAAATAGGCCTACTAGGTAGATAATGAAAAAATCAGTCCTTTGTTCATTCCTTGAATGTGTGTGTACGTGCATGCGCACACACAAGCACACTTATGAAAGAGAGAATGAGGAGAGAGAGAGAGACTGGGGTCTGAACCCAGAGGTGCTCTACCACTGAGCTTCATCCCCAGTCCTTTCTATTTTTGAGAGAAGGTCTTACTTGCTAAGTTGCCCAGGCTGGCTTTGAACTTATGATCCTCCTGTCTCAGCCTCTTGTGTTGCTGGAGTTATAGATCTGAGCCACTGTGCCCAGCAGTCATCCCTCACCTTTTTTAGATGTTTCTTTTGGTATTTACCTCCATGTGTTTAAATAATATGCTTATCCTTGTATTCTTCCATCTTTCAATTTAATACAGTTTAATATATTTTCAAAGGCTTTCCTTCCTACCCAGGAGCATGAATATTTAGATCTTGCCCATCCAAACACACACTTCTGCTTTCCCTGCAGTTAATTTATAATTGCCTCATTTGGAGGTTTGAGAAAATGCATATGTATACAGAACATAAATATATATTCAGTACATACATAGAACATACATAAATAGTCGTATGTTGCTTAACAATGGGGGTATATGTTGAATAATGAGACATTAGGGGATTTTTGTCATACAAACATCATAGAGAGCATTTATACAAACTAGATGGCCGTGATGTCATAAGCTGATTTAATCTTACGGCACCAACCGTCTTCTGTGCAGTCCAATATTGACTGGAGAGTCATTATAGGATGCATGATTGTATATTCAATTTTCTTGAATACTCTAGATGCTGAGGCAGGAGTATCACAAGTTCAAGACCACCTTGGCAACTTAGTGAGACCCTGTCTCAAAATAAAATGTAAAATGGGGGTACTAGGGATGTAGCACAGAGGTCGAGCATTTGTCAGCATGTGCAAGGCCTTGGGTTCAAACCCAGCCCTGCAAAAAATAAAAAATAAAAATCATTTTGATGTAGCACATTCTTCTGTGGCTTCCCAAGGAAAGATGCATACAAGGTCTCAAATCTTGTGTTTGAAAATGCTCTACTTTCACACTTGGTTGACAACTTGGCTTATCTCTTCCTTTAGGATCGTACAGGGTCATTGTACTTCATGTCCCTTTATTATGAGAGCTTTTAGGATCTTCTATTCTCATTACTCTGACATTTCACAACAGTGTATCTTGGTGTCATTCCTTTCATATCTTTACTAAGCATTCAGAGTGATCTCTCAATTTGGAGGAGTTTTTTTTTTTTTTTTTACTTTCTTCTTTTTCTTTCTGGTACTGTAAATTGAACTCAGGGGCACTCCACCACTGAGTTACATCCCCAGCCCTTTTTATTTACTTTTTTTTGTGGTGATGGAGATCAAACCCAGAGCCTCATGCATGCTAGGCAAGCACTCTGCCACCAAGCTACATCCCCAGCCTTCCCACCCCTTTTTATTTTATTTTCTAAATTTGAGACAGGGTCTCACTAAGTTGCTGAGGCTGGCTTTGAACTTGACATTCTCCTGCCTCAGCCTCCCAAGTCTCTGGGATTCAGGTGTGCACCTCCAGCTTTACATTTGTTTTTAAATTTTTTTAGTTGTAGATGGACACATATCTTTATTTATTTATATGCAGTGCTGAGGATTAAGCCTAGTGCCTCACATGTGCTAGGTAAGCGCTCTACCACTGAGCGACCCGGCCCCAGCCCCTACATTGGTTTTTAATTAACATAATTTGCTTTCTCTGTGCTGGACATGGAGCTCAGTAGTAGAATGCCTAACATGTTCCCAAGTCCTGGGTTTGGAGTACTGAGAAAAAAAAATAATAATTTGCTTTCTATTTTCTATCACTGGAATTCCTATTTGTTGTGTAGTAGATTTCCAACTAGTTTTTGGAATTTTTTAACTCTTTCCTATTTTTCATTTTTTTAATCTTACAAAACTTGTATTTTGCCAGGCATGGTGGAACATGCCTATAATCCCAGCAGCTGGGGAGGCTGAGGCAGGAGCATCACAAGTTCAAAGCCATCTTCTGCAAAAACGAGGCGCTAAGCAACTCAGTGAGACCCTATCTCTAAATAAAATACAAAATAGGGCTGGGGGTGTGGCTCAGTGGCTGAGTGCCCCCAAGTTCAATTCCTGGTACAAAAAAAGAAAAAAAAAATGTGTTTTCATTTATGCAATCACATTTTAAGCCCTCTCATACATTCCAGTGCCTCGCCCTCCATTTTTGTGGCAGCCATGGCTGATAAAAGATTAGCTTCTGAGGAGTGGGATGATCAGCTCTTCTGCTGTGATAGGAGAGCAAGAGGGAAGGATGGATGCGGGCCAGAGGGTCATGCAGAGGAGGTGGCAGCAAGAGGGGTGTTTCATTTTCTCTGTGACACAGGTGGGGAGGCCACCTATTGAAGTAAAGGAGAAGTAATGGGGGAGGTGGTTTAAGGAGCATAGAAAAGGCAGTGCTCGCTCCCTCAGGGCACCTAGGGAGCAGGCAGCCCTGAGGGTTCCCTTCACTCAAGGCCAGGGCGGGGCCACCTTGGCACCTGTCTGTGCAGTCAGGTGAGCTCCTGGAGGAGGTGGAGAACGTGAGCTCCAGGGTTGCGCTCTCCTAGCCAAGTAGCCTGGAAGAGCCGCAGAGCAAAGGAATTAAAGGTATTGGCAAGAAAGGGCCAAAGTGTCTGAACGTGACATTTCTATCACATTCCTACCTGCTCACAGGCTTGGGGAACTTACATTCCAACCCTTCAGGTTGACATTTCCCCACCTCAAAGCTTGATGTTTTTTTCAAAAACTGGAGGCTTCCTCGACCTTTCTGCCCATGACCGTTCATAGCACGACAAGGATCAAGTCCATTCCCTGCTCTTCTCCACGGTTCTCGTTGCTCACTCATTCCCCGTAGACAGATGTACCCAGTTCTCCTTATCCTTTGTTTCTTACCTTTAAAATAGTATAAAAGCCAAATTCTTCAGGACCTCTAACCAATAGCAAGGTGAGCACTTAAGATTCTTGGTACCGGTGGCAGTAGTATTCACTCACTCCGTGTTTTTTGGGTATTTTACCAGGAAAACCGAAACAGACTCTGACTGCGTATCATCCAGTTGTTGAAATTTATTTGTTTCAATACACTGACATATAACACTATATTTTGTTTCTAAATTTGTCTCCTTCAAGGGTCACTTTAGCTTAAACCAGAGGATTCTTTCAACCCACATGCACGCACGCGTCCACACACACACACAATAGGCAAGTGCAAAAATGTAACCCCACCAAAGTGCATGTGAATGAAAGTGCAAACAGACTTCAATGTCAAACTCTGGGACCGGTCTCTCTGCCTCAGAAATTAAACAGAAAGGTCATCCCTGTCTCTGGCTAGGGCAGGGCAGGTACTAGGCGAGCCTGCCAGGGCCAAAGTGTAGGTGGGGCCTGTTGCTAGAGAGCAGGGCACAGGGCACTTGGAGCCACTGCCCGCTTCCTACCCTCCCACACTTCCAGGTCAAGGTACAGTGACCTCATTCGGGAACACGGTGGGGTGAGGGGTAGTGGGGTAGACAGAAGGCAGAATTCTTTCTACTTCCTTATGATTTGGCTTCTTTCCAAAGAGTTTGACATTGACGCACAGGTGCTGAAGCCTTGAAGTTGGGAGGCCTGGGGCCCTTTCCTCCACCATCTTGCCCACAGGCAGACATGAGGTGGCTGGCAGGCCTGTGTGGCAAAGGTTTCCAGTCCCTGTCCTCAGTGGCGAGGCCCCACAGCACCAGCCGTGAGCACTGGATGCCTCTCCGTCCTATAGTTGGGAGCAGACTGAGGACCAGCTGACCAGTTCTGCTGCCACCTGAACAGCTCAGAGGAAAGAGAGGTGCAGACTTACTTGCCTCTCTTCATCTCAGCCAAGGGGGCAGCAATGCCACCCAACCTGTGGCAGGGCCTGCCCAGTGTCCTCCCACGAAAGCTGTGCTCAGGGCTGCCTCTGAGGGCTGAAAGGGAAGGGACACTTGAAGCTCCACAGAGGTCAGCTGGAGTGTGTCTGGCCTGCATGGGAGAGTGGCCCTCTAGGGCTGTGGCGGAAATCAATAGAACTTTGGGTTCCCACTTCTAAGAAAAAAATAAAGCTTTATATTTTAATAATAGCCCTTGATATATTCCCAACACTGAACCTCACACCTACACCCATCAAACACGTCTGAGAGTGACACACACACACACACACACACACACACACCAGATGATTGCGAAGGGGTCTCTGGAACCCCTGGCTTCACCACCCGCAGGCCCATCTCAGCCCCCGGGGGCACGGGAGCTTGCTGTGGGCTCTTCGCCTCCATGTGGAGCTGGCCCAGGCTGGGAGGCAGGTTTGGCAGTGGCTTAGAGGAGCCTGGGTCGCCACTTGAATGACGAGGTCCATGTCCCAGAGCCCACAAGGACCCAAGTGGCAGTGCAAGACAGATGGAAAGTGCTAAGAACGACTTAAGGGACCTGGAGCATCCAGAGGAGTTTGCCTTCCAAATTCCTGACTGCAGGTGGTCTTTGTAAGGCTCCTCAAGAGCGAGTGGTAAACATGTAAGGGAAGTCATGGGGGTGCTACATTCTCACAGCAGGGGGCCTGGCAGGTTGGGGCCCTCAGCCCGCAGGCACTGCCTTGGCTGGGAGCCACAGTGGCAGAGAAGGTGCTCTCTCAGCTTTTGGTGCCACCACCGCTCGGGCTGGAGCTGCCCTCTGGCCCGACCCAAGATTGTCTGACACATCCTTGGTTTGGTTTCTGGCCTGGGTCACCTATCAGATGGGGCTTCCTCTTCCCCAGGCTCAACATGGAGAGGGGGTGTGGGAAGCAGCAGTGAAACTCGACCTCTGCCAGCTGTCAACCCAGCTCCGCCTGCTGCTCTCTGCTGGAACCAGAACTGGCACTGAAATGCCGAGCAGGACGACAGGGCATACAGGAGAAGCATGGTGGCCAAGTCTCCTCCACTGCTGGGCCAAAGGGAGGAGGGTAGCCTGAGGCTCCCGGGAGGCCCCTGTGGACATGTTTCTGAGGTTTCTGAGGTTTCCACGTCTAAGGGGCAAGGGTCATGGGGTCTGGCTGGGTTACACTTGGGGGCACTGCCCAGGAAATCAGGCAGCAGAATAAGGGCCAAAAGACCAGCAGGCAGAAAGGGAGGAGGTACCTTAATGCATAAATGTGTGTGGCAGGGTCACTTCTGGGTAGGAAGAAAGGAGCCAACGAGAGAAAAGCACAGAGACGCCAAAGAGGAAAAAGGGCCTCGGACTGAGGACTGCTGCCCCACCACGCGCGTCTCCCCTGCTAAGGAAAAGACCCTTAGGTGACAACACAAGTTGGCTGGAGATGTGGGGCTGCCTCAGGCCGGGCACCTACTCCATCAGCCATGACCCCAGCTCAGTAGCAGCCACACCAGTGCATCTGGAGGCAAATGAACTCCAGAACGCGGGGAGCCAGGACTCCACCTTCCCTAGGGCTCCTCTGCTCCATGTACCTTCTAGAAAGGGCCAGCCCTGGTCAGATAAAGGGGAGGGGACGCAGGAGGGGGTATGAGGAACTCAAGTCAGGAAGGAAGCATCAGCTGAGCGGAGGTCCAGCAAGGACCGGAGGAGGACCCAGCCCCAGGTCAGTCACTTTAAGGTGTCATCAGCATTTTTGAACATGAGAATGGCGTTATAGATCTTCAAGGCTGGGCCCAGCTTGACGCTCATGATCTTCACAATGTCCGCCTGTGTCAGCAAAAGGAAGGCCTCGCCGTCAATCATCTGAGGGGTTGAGGGGGGTGGAAAGAGGAGAAGGTGGGAAGGGTCATGGGGAAGGGGGTGCAGGAAAGGTGGGAGTATGCGTGGGGAGTGGGGAGGGAGAAAGAAAATGGGAATAAAGGATGTTAAATGTGGGGGAAGGGAAGGGGAGGGAGAGAGGAAGAGGAAGAGGAAGGACAAGGAGAAAGGAGAAGGGAAGAGAAAGGAGAAAAGGAAGAGAGCAATGGGGATGGAGAAGGAAAGAAAGATAGCCCTTGCTCCCCGTGTGACACACATGCCCTCTCTCTCTTTCAGCTGGCCAGTCTGAGTTTCATGGTTTGCATTTGCAAGATGTCTCCAGAGTTCTCACGGACAGCAGCTTCAAAAAAACCTGCCACTGCTCCATAATTATGGGGCTCAGTACAAAATGAAAACAGAGAGCCCTTTGTTCAAAAATTATTAAGAATTTCAAGATAGTAATAGTGAGCATTAAGCCATGAGTGGGGTTCTTCTACGGGGGTGGCCCTGGGAGGCTGCATGGATCACACCCCCACGAAGCCCTTCTGCCCACCTTCTAAGTAGCTTCATTCACTGGTCATCCACTTTACAAATGTTTCCTGACTCCTCTGCAATCTGTGTAAGACCTCTCTGTGTGATTAATACCTTTGCAATGCCCAAAAGACAAACAACAACAATGAAAAGACCCCCCACAATAAAACAAAAAAATGCTGTTGTCCTCACATGAACCCAATATTCAAACATAGTGCTGCTAACAGCAGACAGCTGGTCACTGTGCATCCTGATGGAGTGCAGTGCAAGACACACTGTGCCCTCTGACCTATCTTGCCAGAGAGAGAGAGAGAGAGAGAGAGAGAGAGAGAGAGAGAGAGAGAGAGAGCGAGCGAGAGCGCTGGGAGGGATTCAACCTGAATCTAACCAAGCCTTCATATCTGACTTCTAGCTTATAGCACACAGGAAACGGAGGAGCACGTTAAGTGACACCACAGGAAGCAAGACGAATCCAGAAGGGAATATTCTGCAAGACTTTTTAAAGCATCAAGAGAAAAAAGAAATAAACCAAAAGAGGGAGGGGGACTCCTAGAAGATACTCAAGAGCCATCACAACCAAAATCAGGTATGTGGGTCTTGTTTGGATCCAGGCTCAAAACTGCAAAAAAACCCCTAAAGTTCTGGGGCAAATAGGGAAGCTTGGACACAGGCTGGGCATGGGGTGATATCAAGGAACTCTGCCAATTTTGCGGGAAATGAGGATGTTGTGGTCATGTAGAAGTTCTTAGTTTCAGAAGTACTGAGGGTGAAACGCCATAGTGTGTGTAATTTATTTAATATTATTCAAAAATAGGAAGAAGCAAACATAGGAAATGCTGATAACTGCTAATCCCAGGGGATAGGGCATGAAGAGAGTGTTGGGGGGGTGGGGACTGGAGGAGGGAGTGAGATGAAAAGAACCCAGGAGGGAAGCTGTTCGGGCTAGAGACTCAGCAGAGAGAAAACAACCAGACGTCCATGAACAGGAGGTTTGAGACATGTTCATAAAATGGAGTACCACTCAGCAGTGAACAAGCTACAGGTCCCCTTGGCAACAGGGAAAACCTCCAAAACCTTACATTGAGCAAAAAGAGACAGACCCAAAAGAGTCCAGGCTGTTAGATTCCATTTATCTGAGTGCAAGAACAGGCACGCTAATCTTTAGTGCTAAAAATTAGTGGTTGTCTTTTGGGGACTGACTAAAAAGAACTTTCTGGTATGATGGAAGTGTTTCCTGTCTTGGTGAAGTGTTGGGTTCATGTGTACACATTGCAGGAAACTTGTGGCACTGTACTTTTAAGATGAGTGTTTTTGCTATACTTATATTTTAAAACCTCATAGGACAAGGGACACAGATAAGCAGAAAGCACATATTTAGCATGCACAAGGCCTGGGTCCAATCTCCAGCACCAAAAATCCTCAAACCAAAAAAAAAAAAAAAAACATCTAGGGGAGCAGCAGCCCAACGCATTCCAGGCTATCTGGTTTTTAAAAACATTTCCCCTTGCCAGGCGCAGTGGCACATACCTATAATCCCAGTGACTTGGGAGACAGGCAGTTCAAAGCCAACCTTAGCAACATAGTGAGGTCCTAGCAATATAGCCAGAATCTGCCTCGAAATAAAAAATAAAAAGGGCTGGGGATATGGCTCAGTGGTTAGGTGCCTCTGGGCTCAATTCCTAGTACCAAATAAATAAAAATAAAAAATAAAAACATTTCCACTTGATTCTGGATACAAACACAAAGATCAGATCAGCAACACAGAAGGCAAGAGAAGCACCCAGAACAGGGAGGAGGTGGGAAGCTCACTGCACAGGAACAGAGGGAGAAACCATGTGGGGTCTGGACATTCTTCCAGGGAAAGAGGAGTATTCTCCTTACAGGCACTGACCTACAGTGGGCAGCTGTGAGCAGCTGAGATCATGCTGCCCTGAGTGGAAGGGGTTGTACAGAAAGAATGTTTATAATGTTTGGAGGGAAGCCCTAGACAAACCCAAAGGTTTCAAACTTTACAAATTAGGAGAGTCATAATAAAGTTCTTTTTTTAAGGGCAACTGTGCACTGAAACCCAGAACTACCATTTATAGATTACCCCACTGTACCAGGCACGCTGGTATAGTGACATGATTTATCTATTGCTTACTCTATGCGAGAGTGTGTATGTAGGTATGCATAGTATGTACACACACTAATGATACAATTATGCTAGACACTCTGGCATTATGATTCACTCTTCATTTCCAATGGCTCTGCAAGGTGGTTCTCATCATACTCACTTTATCTCCATTCTACAGACAAGATGCAGCTCGAACTGGGCAAGCTGAAATTTCAACCCAGCCCATCTCCAGAGCTGGCTTCCTCTTACCTATCACTCACTGCTTCTTGTCTTTGCAAAACTCTTGGGTCTCCATCTGAAGTGTGTGTTAAGACCCTTATTATTCAAAATATGCTTTGGGCTTGGGGTATCAGATCAGTGGTAGAGAGCCCGTTCAGCCTGTGCAAAGCCAAGGGTTTGATCCCCAGCACCAAGAAAGAAAAAGAAACTACAGACAGGTGTGAACTTACTGCCCCTCACTGGGAAAGCCAACTTCTGCAAACAAAAGACTGGGCAAAAAGCAGCGTCTCCTTCCTGAAGATGTTCTGAACACACAGTGGCCCCAGCTGGCCACAGCCCACATCAGATTCTTCACAGAGACATGGGTCACTGACTAGTCTCACCCAGGTGGGCAACAGAGGCACTGGCTTGGGCAGCACTGATGAGAGCACCTGCTTCCTGCTGTCTCAATGACACAGTGACCTTGTCTCTGTCCCCCACTCTGCACTTGCACCTTACCTCATCTTTGAAGAGGCGTGCTTGGTCCTCACAACCTGTCAGAGTCTGAACGAAGCCAAAGACCTTGAAAAACCAAAGGAGATGTATTGACAAGGGGATGGGGCTTGTGAGTGGAGCGAGGGCTCACCTACGTGGCCCTGGGGCCTTCTGGGCTGGGCCAGTGCTGATTTTTCTCAGCCTCAGAGATCTTGGGTCTCCATGCTGGTGGGCGTGCGAGGTAAGGCTCCTTGCTCTTCAAGCCCAGGGCTGAAATCTGTCTCCCCAGCTAGGTTTCTGGCCCTTCCCCATCTGCCATGATGGGCCTTGGCACAGCGTCTAGGTCAGCCCCAGGGCAACTGGAAGGGACTGTGATGGGAAGGAGGAGCAGGGGAGGTACAGGGCTCTACCTGACCAGGCCCCTCCTGAGCCCTCCCACAGGGCGTGGTGAGAGGGAGAGGGAGGGCGGGGAAGAGGGGGAGGCCAAGGAATGGCTCCTTACCTCCTCGATGGTCCACTTGGAGACTGTGGAGGCCGAGATGCCCGCCACTCCAGGCAGGAGCTTGCAGTGCTGCTCCCAGCACATGGAGAGCGAGCGGTCCGGGTGGGCCGACAGGGCCGACATGAAGAGGGACTGGTGCACGACATCGGGGGTGAGCGCTGCAGGGGAGGCAGAGGCCGGCGGCTGATGCTGAGGACCGGTGTGTTCCCCAGAGCCCACTCACACCCATACAGCATGGGAGACAGGCTGGCCAGCAGATAGGACCAGGGGTCCCTCTGGTAGCTCACAGAGCCAAGAGGGTGACCTGCATCCCCTGACTCCTTACCTGGGGCTACTCCCTCTGGTCAGTGGTCCCTCACTCAGACTCAGGTAAACTATAAAGAGTGGCTACAGGAACCTGAGCCCTGAGAGGATGCGGTCTCAGTGGAGTTGTGTGGCATCTGCAAAGACACCGTTCTCTAGATGTCTTGCATTAAAGTTGTCCCCACCATCCAAACAGGCTTGGCCCTGATGTGAGAAGTGCATTCTGTTGGCCCTCCTTTCCAAAGTGCTGTGGCCCAGCCAGCTCAGAGCCAGGGTGATTCTGTCTCAGACACCTGCCCTACCTGCCTGCTCTGGCACTAGACACTCCCAGCTGCCTGTCACTTTGCTTCCTGATATGCTCGGGAATCTCTGGCTCCATGGATCTGGTGACTGATGCTGCTCTGCTAGGCCTTCTCCTGTCCAAGCCTGGCGCTCAGCCATTTGGACTTCACCCATCTCAGGCTGCTCCAAAGAAGGAGGCCCTGCCCTCCTTCTCTGGCCTTGGTTGCCTTGGGCAGTGTGGCCATTTGTGCATGGGATCTGCCCTGCCACTGCCCCCTATGCAGGGGAGCTGTTCTTCCTGTTTGCTTGGTGCTAATTCTGGATGCTGATGAATAAAGCAACTCCAGCACCCTCTTCTCCATGTCTCCCCTGCTGGCCAGAGACCATTCTGCCCTCTCGTGAGCCTCAGCCTTTCGCCCTGATCTTCCTGCTCCTCACACGTGACCTCAGGGATCATCACCAGCCCCACTGACTGACGTTCTTCTGCAGCTGTCCTCTCTGCTGCCCTCTGCTCATCAGCCCAACCTGAGTTCTGCCCTCCTGATAGTCCCCTTGAGTACCTCCAAGGAACTGCTTGCCCACTCCATCAGCCAGCTCTTTTGTTGGCCCATCAGGGCACACCCAGGATCTCCCTTGAGATCCACTAGCACCTTGTTCTACCTGGCCATGTTTTGGCCTCTTGTCCACCCAGGTGCTCCCTCTTTGAAGTCCTGGGTTTGATCTTCCTCACGGCCTCGAGTGGGCTTGGAGGCCACACCAAGTTTGTCAGGAGTGTCCCTCTTTATCTCCCCTTCCCAGAACACAGTGAGGCGCTCACAGGCAAGTTATAGCTTCTTATTCAACCATCTCGCTGCACATCCGAGTTGGCGCTACTGCTCCTGGAGACGCCAGAGCCATCAGTGCCAAGCGTTGTCACAGAGCACTCCCCATGGGGCAGTTTACAGCAAGCCCAAGCCTGCACTGAGGTCTGCCATGGATGTGTGAGAATCCCCTCCAGAAGGTTGCCCTTCTGGGTGCAAGACCAGCTGCTAGAGCACAGAGGTCAGAGACCAGGGCTCTGTGCCTCAGGACCTCGGGTGAGTCCTTTCTCCCCTCTTTGGGCTGTGGTCTCAGTCATTGGAAAGAATAACTTCCTAAGAATCCTACAGGTTGATTAGCAAGTGCCCTCTGTAGGTCAGAACTTGGTCCTGCAATGGAAGCTGACCAGGCAACCAAGGTGGGCAGAGTAGGTACCCACTACAGTTTAATCCTCAGAAGTCTTCATCTGAGGCTCTAGAGGCTGGTTAGACCCTTGTCACCACGCCTGAGGCTGCAGGAGGTGCCTTCTGTTTGCACCAAGAGGACACAGCATGGAACGGCAAGAGGGAGTCCAGCAAGACAGACTACTAAGACAACTGCTACTCACTGTGCTCAGAATCCCACATGACCATCTTACTTAGGCCTTGCTATCCAAAGAGGGGTACTGTCACTACCAGAAAAAATAAGTACACAAGGCTCCGGGAATTTGGATACACCATGGGAGATCAGGAGTGCCCACGCATGTTAGATGGACCGTGCAAGGACACAGCAAGAAAACGGCCACCTGTAAGCCAAGGAGGGAGTCCTCGAAAGTAGAGCTCCCGCTGACACCTTGACTTTCAGCCTCCAGGACTGTGGGAAACAAACACCTGTTGCTTAAGCCACCTAGTCTGTGGTGTTTTGCTATGGCGACTTACGCAAAGTGATCCACTGGGCAGTGAGAAGTAATCTGACGTTTGGATCAGGGGCTTTATGTCTTATGCCCGAAGCACATGGCAGAAGTCAGGTCAGGTGTGAATCCCAGTTCAGCCTCTCACAAGGTGAATGGCCTTGAGCAAATGAATTTGCTCTGAGCCTCTTGTTCTTCCTCTCTCAGATATATTACAGTTGCTTGTGAGAGCTACAGAGGGTATACACGAAGAACTCAGCACAATGCCTGGCCCATAGCAGGTGCTCAGAAAATGGTAGTAGTGACCACTGTTATTTCAGGTATTGACTTTTTTTTTGTACTCTAGGAGATTTAACCCAGGGGTGATTTACTGTAAAGCTATATCCCTAGTCCTTTTTTTTTTTTCTTTTGGTACTAAGAATTGAACCCAGGGGTGCTTTGCCACTTAGCCACATCCCCAGCCCTTTTATATATTTTATTTAGAGACAGGGTCTCACTGAATTTCTTGGAGCCTCTCTAAATTGCTAAATGCTGGCTTTGAATGTGCCATCCTCCTGCCTCAGACTCCTGAGTGCCTGGGATTATAAGCATGCACCACCATGCCTGGCCCCAGTCCTTTTTGTTTATTTTGAGACAGGGTATCACTAAATTGCTTAGGGCCTTGAAAAATTGCTGAGGTTGGCCTTGAACTTGCAATTCTCTTGTCTCAGCCTCTGGTCACTAGGCGTGCACCCCCATGCCTTGACATCAAAGTCAGGTTTTCTTTCTATTGGCAGGGCTGGGGATTGAACCCAAGGCATGCACATGCTAGTCAAGCAAGCACTCTATCACTGAGCTACATCTTCATCCCAAAAGGCAGGTTTTATTTATGTTTTCAGGTATGGAAACTGAGGCTCAGCGAGGTTAAGTGACTTGCCCAATGTTAAACAGCTAGAAACTGACAGCCTTGCTCTCCTTCCCAGGAAGCCTAGAGTCAGAATAGCAGAGCTGGGCATCATCTGCTTCACAGTGGAGAACCAGAGGCCCACATCTGGTGCCTTTTCATGCACCACAGCACAGCAAGGCCATGGGACTGGAACCCAAGGCCTCTCAGGGCCCTGCCTGTGCTTTTGCCACTACTCTGCGGTCACAAAGAGACTCCCTTCCAGCTTTTCCTGCTCTGGGTGCCCCTGGAATCTCACCCCACCAGTTACAAGCACCCACTGGGAGCATGAGTAGAGGACCCAGGAGCAGAGGACCCAGGCTTACTCTGGAAATCTTCCTGTGGCATCTTCCGATACTTTGGAGGGCGTCCAATCCTGGAGAGAGAGGGACCAGGTCCATGGCAGGAGATCAGTGTCTGGCCCAGGAGGACACGAGGCCCCGCACCCGGAGAGCCCAGGCCCTCACTCCCTGGCCTTCGCACCGGCCGTGATGGCGAGGCTTCTTTCTTGGGGACAAACTGGAGACGTTCTTTTTCCGTGCTGAGGCCTCCGTGTCAGACAGCTCCGCTTTCAGGCGACTCTGGTTCCTCTCAGCCAGTGGGCAGCCCGAGAGGCAATGGTGAGCTGTGAACTTGCCGGTTACGTGGCCAGAGCCATCACAGCCAGGAGTGGGGCACTTCCTGGGAAGAAGGCTGAAGTTGGGCTGATCCACTTGTCCCCACTGAGTCCTCCCCAACTCTGGCCCTATTCAGCAGGTCTTGGTGAACCCCCAAGGGCCTCGCTCAGCTGGTGCAAAGCAGACCCTCCCAGAAGGTCCACAGATGCCCGGTGTCTTGAGGCAGGAGGCCTTACTCACCGGTGGTGAAAGCTGTATTTGGAGGTCCTAGTGTGGGACAGACTCCTGTAGTTGAGAGGAGGGCAGCTCCCAGGGGAGGCGGAGCTGGGCTCTCTGGGCCCTGGAGGAGCAGGAAGAGAAGTCAGCATAGAGTCCTAGAGATAGGGCAGGGAGGGCAGGGCAGGGATGGTTTCCACGCAGGAGGTCAGCACTAGGAACGGGGTCCCCAGGAACAGGGCCCTGAGCCAGGTCAGGCCACCATTCTCACACTATTCATCTACCTGCCCATCGCTGGGGAGGGAAGACTTGGTTCTCTTATGCTTTGGGCCATGCCCTTGGTCTCTGAGCCAGGAGCACTGCTTAGTGTAGTGGACAGTTCTAGGTGGGGAGCATGGGTATCCTGAAGCTCACTGTGGGACCAAAGCCCTCTATGTCAGACCTGGTTATGAGGGACAGAGCCCCCTGGGCAGGCCAAAGAAGGAAGGGCTGTCAGAGATTGCCAGGAAGGGCAAGGGACGGGATGCCCTAGGGTACGCACGGAGAGGAGGCTCCAGGGGATGTCCTGTCTTGGAGCACCAGCCCGCGGGGTGGATGTCTGGGTGGTCCGCATCAATCCAGAAGTCATAGCCGTGACTCCAGCCATCAAAGTGGAGCTGGGGATGAAGAGCCCATGGAGGTCAGGAGTTCCTCATGGAGCCCTTTTCAGCCGAGAGGGCCTCCAAGCCCCATGAGGCTCTCCCAACCCTAGGGCCTGTGGAAGCAGACCCTAGACTGGAAGGACCCCGGAGCCAACTCCACAATAACTGGTCTCAGCCCATGTTCACCAAGGGCCTCACCCATTACATAACCGGCACCATGTAGGGACCATCAGTCCCTAGGACAAGGATGATTCGGTCCATCTGACAGAAGAGAAGACTATAGCTCAGAGAGAAGTGACTTGCTCAAGCCCACAAAAGACAGATGCTGATGAGGCAAAAACGAGATCCAGTGTCTTCATCTTCCTGTCTCATGCCATGCCCTTAACCTCTAGCTAGTCCACAAACTCCTGCCCAACTGACCTGTCCACTCCCCCAGCCCTAGGTCCCGGAGCCACCTTTATGCGATGGTCCTCCACATCCTCCACACTGGCCACACGAATCAGGGCTGGGTTCCTGCGGTCCACAGCCTCCAGCTTCATGTTGACCAGGAAGCTGTGAGGAGGTCGCTGTAAGGGGATAGTCATTTTCAGGCCAAGGCCTAGCTGAGGAGAGCCCAAGTGCTACACCCAGGGAAACCGGCCTGAACTCAGGGAGGCCAGGGCCCATCCTGGCTGGTTAAGGGCTCCATGTCTTCCTGAGCTCAGCTCCAGGGAAACGGAGCATCAACTCACCACTTTGAAGGCCCAGGAGGGCACAGCAGAGGTCCCAGTTTCTTCTAGATATTTCTCCCAGCAGAAGCTGTCAGGGTCTGGATAGTCTACAGAAGAAAATGAGAGCAATGTCTAGAAGGTGACTGGAGAGCTCTCGGCCCCGTAGCAGGAATGAGGAACGAGGAAGGGGCTGAGACCCTTGGAGCAGAATCCCTTCCATGACTGCTGCCAGCCCCTCACCCAGGTTCCCGAGGCAGACGGGTGCTGGTGAAGCAAGGGCAGCAGGTCCTCAGGGACTCTGACCCCACCACCCATGGCCCTGCTGCTCCACTCCAGTCCTGTCTGAATCTCTACTGTGCTTGGCCAGCATGGTGTTCCCAGGAGGAAGGTCACACTCTGCTTTGGACTCCCTGCTCCTTGCTGAGGTGGTCCTCTAACTTTATTCCCCTGAACCCCACCAGAGACAGGATTTGACAGGACTTTCCCAAAATCAAAGGAGACTCAACTCCTAGGCCAAGAAGTGGAGGCTCCAAGCCATATCCGTCCCCTTACCCTAACCCTAGAGAGCTGGCTAACAAGGTTCTGGTAAGGGCAGGAGGACAGGGAGGAGGGGCCAGGCTGGGAAGGGTGCACGCCCAGTGCAGGGTTACCTTGTGGAGGGGTGAGGGGCTTCCCTTGCTTCTGGCACCAGCCTACTGGGTGGACGTAGGGACTGGTGGGATCACACCTGAAATCCAAGAACTCGTCACTGTTCCAGGAGAAATGTGGGGGGCTGAGCCTGCTGTCCGCTCACAGCGTGGCTTCAGGGCCATCCCATCCTACTTCTTAGTAAGAGGGAGACAGATGGCTGACAATACAGTCAGAAAACTGCTGCATTAACTGAAAACTCCAGCTCACCATGCTGTCTAAGGGGGAACTGTGGGTCACGGTGTACGTGCATCTCAGCCAGGGCAGCTTTAGATGTCACATGTAAGAGGGAGCTGCATTTCTTATGATACAGCTCAACTCCACAGGACAGCCGATTACCCCACCCTGAGCAAGATCTGAATGTTGCCACATGACACCTGATATGAAAACAGTCGCCCCCAGCCACCCCCTCCCCCTGCAGGCCTCCAAGTACCAGTAGTCATAAGTATCATCCCAGTTGTCAAAGTGCACCAGAAAGCGGCTGTCCACCACGTCAGTCACACTGGCCACGCAGACGAGAGATGGGTTCATGCGATCAACAGCCTCCAGCTTCATGCCCACCTGGAAGCCCAGGGGTGGGGGACTCTAGGGATAAGAAGAAGGGCTGCCATGGCCTGGCTGGCTAGTGCTAGCCCAGAGCCTACTAGCAAACATAGGAGTGGGTTCCCTAGAAGGGCCCCCTGAGGGTGGAAAGTAGAGAGGGTGGGAGAAATAGGCTGGGAATGAGGGTCCCTCCAGGGAAGAATCATAACCGTTCTGTCGCTCAGAACTCAGGCCTCCAGGTGCACCCAGAGGAAGCCTGCCTTGTTGCAGAAAGTAACTGGCAGGAGGCCATGCCTTTATCCAGAGACTCTGACAGTTCAGTACCAGTCTCCTGTACTGGCCTGGCCTGGCTTGGGGGCAACAGTGGGGTGGTAGGGAGGGAAGCAGGGAGCAGGAGGGGACCAGCATTAACTGGGCACCTGCCTTGTATCAGGCATAAGTTTCAAAAGATATAACCTCCCTTCATCTTTACAATAGTCCTGTAAGTGTTCTGATTTCCACTTTAGAAGTTAAATAGTCTGAGTTGGAACACAACCCCAGTCAATGGGTAGGGGACAGGATTTGAACAGTTCCCCACCAGTTACCTTTGAACCTGAGAGTGTGGTCTCTGGAGCTGGACTAGGTAGGGGTCTAACTATCCCTGCCTGAGCAGTATGGTGGCATCTCTGGCCCATGGGGACCCTGGAACTTTAATGTGGTTCTTGCTTTATTTATGTAATTATTTTTAAGTGCTGGGGATCGAATCCAGGTCCTCATGCATGTCAAACAGGCCCTGGATGGTAGCACTGAGCTACACCCCCAGCCCCACTATAGGTAATACCATAGTGGGGTATTACCATAGTTCTCTACACTCTCAGACCCTTTGTTTGAGATCATGAGATACTTTGGCTGCCAAATAAAGCTGCCAGCTGCCTTGAATAAGTTAATGGGTAGTGGGGTGAATAGTTGGAATGAATGGGAGAGACTCAATATTAGCAGAAAAGAAGCTCCCAGAATAGAGGCTTTGACTTACACCACAGAACTAAAGAGCAAACCAAAGGAAGAGCCCAGTGGTGACATGTCAGTGTCAGACTGAGGTCGTGGGCTCTGAGGGAGAGTGTGGAGGAGGACTCTGCAGTCGGCAAGTGCTAGGGCTGGGCTGGAGGTGGGTCCCCAGTGGGGCACTATTGAGAGATGTTGGGACCTCTAACAGGTAGGACCTAACAGGAAATAATATTAAGTTACTGGGGGTATCACTCTTGGAAGAGATTTGTGTAGTTCTTGTAAAATCCTGGTTAGTTCCCACAGAGTGAATTACTATTTTTTTTTTTAAAAAAGGCAAGCCTGGCCCCCAAATCCCTCTGACTTCAAAACATGCCCTGTGATCTCTTCCATATGAGCTCCCACCATTGTGATGCCATCTGCCATAAGGGTCTCCCCAGAGGTTGAACAGTTGGGGCCACGTGATCTTAGACTTTCAGCCTCTAAATTATAACAGCCTTGGGTATTTTGTTATAGCAACAGAAAATGGACTGAGACAGGAAGGAAAGAAGGAACTGGGGGGAAAACCCATAACCAGCTTTACCCACTCTGGCCCTTGGCCCTGCCCAGCTATGCCCCTTGCATCTGATAGGAGACCAGAACAAAGCTGAGAGCAACAGCAGATGGATTCTCTTCTGATGAGTCAGATCCTTGGGGCCGGCTGCAGTGACTCTGGCCTGGGGGTGATGTCCACTTGCTCAGGGCACTCACGTGGCTCTGGCTCACAAACAGGTGCTTGGGGGCCGCCTGGGCTCTGGTGCTGCGCAGGTACTGGCTCCAGCTGAACTCCTCCTCTTTGTAACCTGGGCCCCTCAAGGGAATGCAAGAGCACTATGCAGAGGTGGGGCCACGGAAGGGTAGCCCACACCAAAGCAGCAGAACCCAGCAGATCTGAGGAACCCACAACCCTCAAGAATCTTACCAGGGAACCCCAGTCAAAGCAGGACATGACCTGGTGAATACTTGAAGGGCAAAGCAGAAGCCCTGGCTTTTGACCAGGGCAGAGTTGTATCATAATGTGATGCAGAGGCTGGCTTTGGAGCAGGGTTAGGGTAGAAAACACGGGAGCTGGAGGGGTCACTGACAGGAAAGGCGGGCGGGGAGTCTGAGGACTGATGTCTCATGGGACCAACCAGGTGGGCCTTACCTTTGGGAGGCTGCAGCTTGTGTCCAGTCTTCTCAAACCAGCCAGCGGGGTGAATGTCAGGGGAGTTGGCATTGACCCAGAAGTCATGGCACTCGGAATACCCATCGAAGTGCAGACGCAGGCGGTAGCCACATACCTGGCCCCATGAAGGGAATCACAGGGACTCCAGCGCCAGCAAATGTCCTGCTCCCTGTCCCTTACCTCTGCTGGCCTAGACTGTGGTCTCAGGGGCTCTAAAGCTAGTAGGCTCCAGCCCTGCTTTTCTTCCCCATCCTGAACTCTGCCCTGAGCCCTCCCATCCTGCGGTGAGGACAATTCAGGTACTTGTGAACCCTGAGTGCTGGGTCCAGGACGGGTGGACTCTGTATCAGCTTCCTGTGCTCTGGGGCCCTGGATAGAACTTGGAAGGTTCCCATAAGGTTCAGGACAGCTCAGGGCCCCCGATGGCCTTCCCTTCTGTGACCTCTCATTGTTCCCCACTCACATACCCTGCTATGGTCCCGAGTTACCAGCAAGTCCTTGAACATGGTGGCCTTTCCATGCCTCCGAGTCTTTGCCCTTTTGCTTCTTCTGCCTGAAACTCCCCCCTCATTCACACTCCTCTCAAGACTCCGTGAGAGACCCTTCCTCTATGCTCTTCCCGACCACTCAGGCCAAACGGGGCACTCCATCTTTGTGCCCTACTGCTCATCTGTCACCTCCTGTGGCGTGTCACTCATGTTTATCTAGTTGATTTCCTGTATAACTGTGAGCTCCTAGAGCACAAGGACCTTGTCTGATTCAAGCCAACATCCGCAACCCTTGGGATCGCCCCTCCTCAAGATCCCCCAGCACAGACAGTCTGTGTGCATTCACAGACTATATATATACACCACAGCCTATAGCACTTGTTCTTTCTTTTTAATATTTATTTTTTAGTTGTAGTTAGACACAATGCCTTTATTTTATTTATTTTTATGTGGTACTGAGGATTGAACCCAGGGTCTTGCTTGTGCCAGGCGAGTGCTCTACTGCTGAACCCCAGGCCCAGCCCCAGCCCTGGCCCCGGGGCACTTGTTGTTTTTTGAATAAAGCTTTCTCTGCATTCCAATTCCATCCCCACAAGACTATGCCTTCTGAAGTGGAGCAGTGTCTCCTCTGTGCCCCCAGCAGCGACATCCCTCTACACTCAGCTACATCAGCAGAAGGGCATTACCAAGCTCCGCTTACCTCGGCCACTGTGAGGATGAAGTACATGGATGGGTGCTGAGGGTCGATGCCTTCTAGCTTCATGCCCAATTTGAAGCCATTCTTGTTATGAGTGACGGCCTGGGACTGTCAACGCACAGAGTGGAGAGGACCCAGCTTCCATCCAGCCTTATCCTTGCCTAGTGGGCTTGGGGTGAAGGAGCTGCCTTTAGGCCCCACCTGCCTGGTATTCCTGAAGCGGGCAACATGCGTGGGGATCTGAACTGCGGGGATTGAGAGAGAGAATAGCTGGGGGGCTATTCTGAGGGCCTAAGTCAGGACTGGGCTTAAGGGCCTTCTCTAGCCTGACTCATGGAAAGCCCAGTGCCAAACTGAGGAGAAGGCATGAGAACTCAGCAGTCTGTAGGCCCAGGGATGGATGCGCCTGGATGCCATCTCCCCCCTTCTTCCTGCCCCTGATGGTGGGCCCTCTCCTACTCCAGGCTCCTAAGCAGTCGCTTCCCTTCCATTCTGCCAGTCCATCGAGGAATGTCAAGGAGAAAACACCGGAAGGTCTGAGTATGTGATGAGTCCCTGGCTGGGAAGACAAGCTCTTCCCAGGTGGAAACTGCCAACTCACGTCCTGGAAGAGGCTGACTGGGGCAGTGATGGCCTTCTGCTCCTCCAGGTAGGACTCCCACGACCAGCCCTCCTTCTTCTCACCTGGTGCTGTGGAAAGGCACAGACAGGCCAGTTCCTGGGCTGCCACTGATGCGCAACTTTTCTCAGTGTCCCCTGACCACACACTCCCTTACCCTCCAAAACAAGCCTTTGTCTGCAGTCACTTGAACCCCCTGGCCACTAGGCCACGATGGGCTCGAGGGAGGCAACCAAGTCTTGCCACCCAGTCCCCGCCCCTAAGCCACTCAGCAAGTCCCTAAGCTTATCAAGTCTCAGCCTGAGGCACTCTGTCCTCTGTAACCCAGGACAAAGATGAGCAAGGAGTCCTCAGCCAGAGGACTTAAATCACAGCACCACCTAAGCTTGCAAGGAAAGAAACGGAAAAAGAGAAACGAGAGGGCAAACAAGGAAACAAGAACTGGAGGAGAGGGGACACACAGAAATAGGAAGTCCTTTTTATAATTCGCCTTTTTCTAAACACGCAGACACACTAATGTGTATCTATGTGCTTCATGTGCCCCAGAGTAGATGGGCTGATTCCACAGCCCTCCCAGACAGACACACAGACACACACACACACACACTGTGCGTACACTATGATAGAGGCCCAGGTCCTGCCCGTATCTTGGAGTCTCGGGTTCCTGGGGAGGGAAGATAAACTCCCCTTATAAGTGGAGTCACAGCCTCCACCACAGAGGACACACACCCTGAAAGGCTAGGATAGGGAGCTACCCGTATGGTCTGAGCTGCCGTCTACAGAGGACCACAGACACTTAAAAGGCCACAACTCAACCAGAATCAGTTCATAAGCCTTCGGTACAGAGCTCCAGCTCCTTCTGGAAACTTCAGTGTCTCAATTTTGTCATCTACTAAACGCAATCTATCTTGGAGGATTGTTCATGAGAACTACAGAGACGCTGTGGGTCAGAGTTCCTCACGAGGTGACTCATGTTATTGGTCATTTTAGTCAGATTTTTTACCGCTGTAACCAAAAGACCTGACAAGAACAATTTTAGAGGAGGGAAAGTTTCTTTGGTGCTCCGTTTCAGAGGTCTCAGTCCGTAGAGTGGGCTCATTCTTTGGGGCTCAAGGTGAGGCAGAACATCATGATAGAAAGGTGTAGGGAAGAAACCGGCCACCAAGAAGCAGAGGGAGAGAACTGTCCTCACCAGGACAAAGCTAAACCCAAAGGCACACCCCAGTGCCCACCTCCTCCAGCCACACCTACCTGCCTTCAGTTACCACTCAGTTCATCCCTATCAGGGGTTAATCCACTGACTGGGTGAAGGCTCTCATAGCCCAGTCATTTCGCCTCTAAACCCTCTTGTATCGTCTCACACATGAGCTTTTGGGGGACACTTCGTATCTAAACCTTAACACTGGCCTTCACTAAGTCAGAGACCTGGATCCTAATTCTGCCTCACCCTAGTTCACTGGGCCACAGCCCTGGGTATTCAGGCACAGAGTGGTTTGCCACTCAAGAAAGATGGTTTTTCCTCAGTTGGAAGCTGTGTGTGCAGAACATCTGTCTTGCAGCTGCCCCTTTCCCCAGCCACTGCACTAAACCAAGAGATTCCCAACCACCTGACCCAGTTGGGCTAAAGCACGAATTTTGTTTACCAACTGCTCAGCCAATCAAACCCTCTCAAGTCTATTCTGATGATCTAATTTAGAACACATCTCTTTGAGCTATCTTTTGTCCTCAGTGAGACCTGGATTGTCCTTTATAACATACAGCCTACTATGTTCCTCAAGAAACCCTCTAGTTCTCCACCCAGCTTCATCCACACTCACCGAGTAGGGAAAGAGAAGAGAGGGTGGACCTCAGGACACCAGGCTGAGTTTATCTCGCTGCCTCCTGCCACGGGGACTCCATATCCTTCTACACAATGCCTCCGCTTGTTCCAAACCACCACTACCAGGACAGAACTCTTCCCAACGCCCACTTCTCTCTCTGGATGATACTCTCTCTCTTTTATTTCCCCCTCATTCTTTCCCTACTGTAGCACCTGCTAAGTAAGGACCTGACTGCTTGCCAGAGTTCTCATCTCAGGTATTCTTGTGGCTCCTGAGCATTTCATTTTGAATACCCCCACCCCATGCTAGTCATCCTCCAACATGGCCAAGCTCCAAGACCCCCATGCCACAGCAGGCACCTCTGAACAGCACCTCGCTACACGCCGTCTCTTACATTATTGCCCCCAGCCCTGCTACTTCCCTCCCTGGACCTGTGCCTCTTGACACTCTCACTAGACCTAATGCAAGACAAGCCTGTATCTCCACAGTCTACCTCACGCACTTCTTAGTTCTACCTTGACCATTCTTTTTCCATTCAGTGGGGCCACATGTCATGCTAGAAATTGGGGGTGCAGAGATGCCTCAGAGACTTCATACACATTGTCTCCATTAGGCCTCCCAATGTCCTGAGGTGATGGTAAGGACTGGTTGTAATCCCCTTCAAGATGAGAAAAGAGACTAATCTGCTGGAAAGAGGCCTGACTGCTAAACCTTTCTGTAATAACTGGATTCCTTCCCTGGACAAGCCCCCACCTTCCTCTCGTTTCCTGCATTCTTTTTCCATAGGTGAGAAATGGGCTGAGCCTTTAGGCACATCCCCAAGACCAAATAAATCTCAAAGCTTCTGTGTATAGCAGTGCAAGCTGTGTACTCTGTATAGATGCCCAGCCAAGCGGGGACAGACGGGGGCTGAAGTTCAGCCTGGACTTCTTGCCAAGTCATGTGGCTGAGTCTACAGTGAAGAAAGGTGCCCTTTTCTAACTTTTCTGCTCAGAAAGGCACCTTTTTTGCTTTCTACAAAGGCACCACACAGGCTGGCTGCAACACACTCTCTCTACTTCCAAAAAGGCTCCTTGGCTTATCCCTGCTTCCTTAGTCTAGATGCCCCTGGTTAGCTTGTTCTTTGGTAAGCCCAGCCTGGCAAAACCAAACCCGCAACTTCTGTGCCAACGCCGGTGGGTCCTTTGGTATTCTTTATCCTAGTCCACGGCACCACCACCCACTCGCTGTGTTGCACAGGCCAGGAACTTGGACATGATCCTGGTGGCTCTTTTTATCTCTAACTCTGCACATTTACCATCCTTGCTTTGAACCTAGTGCACAAGCCTCCTAACTGATCTTGCTGCCTCAGACCTTCCCCACTGCCAGAGCATCTCTAACATAATATACACTTGTTTATTTTAAGTTCCACAATGGCTTCTCAGTAGTAGAGTACTTGCTAGCATGTAAAAAAAATCTTTCCACGGCTCAAAATCCCTCAGTGAACTAGCCACTCACTGCTGCTCCAGCTTCCCCATGTGTGTCCTATGCTCTGCACAGGCTGATCCTCTGTGGCAAAGATCCTGTCCCCACCCTGTCAACCCATCCTCCTATCATTTTCTGGCTCTTCAAGCCTCGGTCATAGCTCCAGCACCTAGTTCAAAGCTTTACACAGACTAGATGCTCAACAAATGTTTATTAAGTGACTGCGAGTGGGTAGGCAGGTGGGTGGATGAAACCCTCCTGTCCCATGGAACCTTCCTTTGCTGCATGAGTTCATTCTGTGACAGTTCCTTGTATTTACATACTTCAAATGCAACACTGATTATACGGTCGTACACTAACTACCTGTGTATATATCTATCTCTGCATCTTGTCTGCTAATACTGTGTTTTCCTCACTTTGAGCTCTTAGCATCTAACCCAGTGCCTGATAAAGGCAATGTCTACAGGAGAGACAGAAAATATAAAGAGAAGAACAGGATGCCACAGTATAAGGACCACCAATTACAAGCAGTCAGGGTACCACCATAGGCTGGGTCATCTTGTTTTAAATTTGTTACAAACATATCTTTGTATTTACCCACCTCTTACAGAACATGGTTAACCAATTCAGAATCAGTTCATGTTTTTTTGCTTGTTTATTTTTTTAGTGCTAATGTCTGGCACATGCTTGTAAGTACTCTACTACTAAGCTACATCCCCAACCCAGAATCAGTTTAAGACACTTAAAGTGCTTTGAAGTTGTAGCTCGGAAGTTGAACATGTGCTCCGCCTGTGTAAGGCCCTGGGTTCAATTCCCAGCACCAAAGGAGAAAAAAAGATACTGAAAGTTCATTCCTGATCCTTGTATTTAACATGTGTCTCTTAGAGCTCTATGTCTGGGAACACTAAGCTTCCTAATGCTATGGTCCCTTGTTTACCTTGTGAGGGTCATAAAGGCTGCCTGGTTTCTAGGGAGCATAAATGGGCCCTGCAATGGTTTGATTGTCCCCTCCCGGTCTCATGCTTAAAATTTTTTTTAAAAAATACATTTTCAGTTGTAGTTGGACACGATATCTTTATTTTATGTATTTATTTTTTTAAGTGGTGCTGAAAATGAACCCAGCACCTCACACATGCTAGGCAAGTGCTCTGCCAGAGCCACAGCCCCGGCCCTCATGCTTAAATGTAATACTAGCGTTGTGGTGGCAGTAAGAAGTGGGACGGGGCTGGGGATGTGGCTCAAGCGGTAGCGCGCTTGCCTGGCATGCGTGCGGCCCGGGTTCGATCCTCAGCACCACATACAAACAAAGATGTTGTGCCCGCCGATAACTAAAAAATATTTTTAAAAAATTCTCTCTTTACTCTCTGTCTCTCACTCTCTCTTTAAAAAAAAAAAAAAAGTGATTAGGTCACAAGGGCTTGCTCTCAAGAATGGGCTCATGAAGTTACACACGGTAGCACATGCCTGTCATCCCAGAAACTCAGGAGGCTGATGCAGGAGGATTGCAAGTTCCAGGTCAGCCTGGGCAACTTAATGAGGACCTGTCTCAAAATAAAAATAAAAATAAAAAGCGCAGGGGTGTACTCAGTGGCAGGATGCCCCTGGGTTAAATCTCCAGTATTATGCACACAAAAATAATAATAATAATAATGGATTCATGCCATGTCACAGGTGTTGATTAGTTATCATGGGAGTGGGTTCCTAATAAAGGATGAGTCTGGCCCAATCTTTTCTCTCTGCCTCACACATGCTTGCTCTGGCAGATCTGTCATGGGATGGTCACTGCACAAAGGCCCTTACCAAATACTACGGTCATGCTCTTAGACTTCTCAGCCTCCAGAAACATAGCCAAATAAACTCTGTTGTAGGCTGTGGTATTCTATAATAGCAACAGAAAATGGACTAAGACAGAAATTTGCTATCAAGAAGGGGACCTGGGGACTGAGGTTGTGGCTCAGCCATAGAGCACTCCCCTAGCACATGCGAGGCACTGGGTTGGATCCTCAGCACCGCATAAAAATAAATAAATAAAATAAAGGTATTGTGTCCAACTACAACTAAAAAAAATATATTAAAAGAAGAAGAGGAGTAGGAGGAGGAGGAGGAAGAGGAAGGGGAAACAGGGGAAGAAGGGGAAGAAGAAGACCTGTAACAAATACCTGAAAATGTAGAAGTGGCTTTGGAAATGGATAATGGGAATTTGGAGTAGCAGAGTAGAAAAAGCCTAGATTTCCATGAAGAGAGCTTTAAGGGCAATTCTGGTAAGACTCAGAGGAATAGAAGAACTGTGCAGAAAATCTGAATCTTCTTCCAGATTACTGAAATGGTAGTGACCAGAATGCTGTTGGCGGAAACATGGATAGTAAAGGGCATTCTGATGAGGTCTCTGGTGTATAAAAGGAACATCTTACTGGAAAACGGAATAAAGACCTTCCTCGTTATATGGCTGCAGAGAACTGGTGGAATTATATCCATATCCTAGGACTTCATGGAATGCAGAACTTAAGAGTGATGAAACAGGACACCCAGTAGAAGAAATACCCAAGCAGCAAAGCACTCAGGCTGCTGCTCGGCTACTTTTAACTGCATACAGCAAGATGTGAGAATGAAGAAAAAGCTTGATGGAATTTATGATTTTTTAAGAGAAGCAGGGGGTTGGAGACGGAGCTCAGTGTTATAACAAGTCTCTGGTATGAACAAGGCCCTCCTTGGGTTCAAACCCCCAGTACCATAAAAAAAAACAAGAGACGGATGGAGGAGAAGTGGAAAATTTGCAGCTTGACCATGTAAATAGGAAAAAAAAAAAAAAAAGTTGTTCAGGAGAACAAGCCAAGGGTGTGGCTAAGCAATTGTTTGCTAAGAGAGTGATATGGCTAGAGGAAGCCAGGACCTATTCAACGAGACAATGGGAGAATGTCCCCAATATCATTTCAGAGAACTTCCGAGGCTGCTCCTCCCATTCAGAGAGTTAGGAAGGCAGAATGGTTGCCAGGGTAGGGCCCAGGACATCCTCCTTGAGCTGGGGACACCATTCATGAGCTTACTGCTCAGGACCGCCCTAGGTCTCTGCTCCAAGTAGTCTGGTGACATACTCACAGCCACCCAGCCATAGATGAAGGAGGCCAGGGCAACTTGAACTGCTGCTCTGGAAGTCATAAGCTGTGAACCGTGGTGACATCCACATGGTGCTAATTCTGCAGGCACAGAATACAAGTGCTGTGGGGGCATGGCTTCCTCCACTCAGATTTTAAAGGAGGTCACAGTCAGTTTGAGGGGCCAGAAAGAAACTTGTCTTGGGGCAGAGCCATTGCACAGCCCTACTAGGGCAATACCCAGTGGAGCTGCGGCAGCGGAGCCACTACCCAGGTCTCAGAAACGTACAGCCACCAGTGTGTGAGACTAGCCTGGGAGAACCAAAGGCACAACATTCCAGCCTGTGACAACTGCTGCTAGGGCTGAGCCCAGTAAAAGCAGCAGGAGCAGAGCTGCCCAAGACTTTGGAGCTTAAACCTAACAGTAGGTCCAGGTAGCATCACATGGTATGAAAGATTAAGTTAGAGCCTTAAGGTTGAATGCTGTTTTCCCTGTTAGATTTGGAATTATGGTTATAGTTAATGGGTAGAGTTAATTAATGGGCATAGTTACTACTCTCCCCCACACCCCGCTCTTTCCCCCTTTAGGAATGGGAACATTTATCTTACACCTATACCACCATCATATCCTGTAAGTAGAGAACTTTTTTGATTGCACAGGCTCATAGCTGGAGGGAAATTTCCTTTAGGATGAATCATCCCTTGACTTGCACTCACATCTAATTTAGGTGAGACTTTCGATTTTTTAGTTGATGCTGAAATTAATTAAAAGTTTGGGCCTGGTGTTGTGGCACATGCGTGTAATTCTAGTGGCTTGATTTAAGAGCGGGTGGGGGGGATCAAGTACTGGTGAGGATATGGATAAACTGGACTCCGATACATTGCTGGTGGGAATGTAAAACAATGTAGCCATTTTGAAAAACAGTCTGGTGGGGCCTGGTCCCACACACCTGGTCCCAGTAATTTGGGAGGCTGCAACAGGAGGATCACAAGGTTGAGGTCAACCTCAGCAACTTAGTGAGACCCTATCTCAAAATAAAAAATAAAAAGGGATGTAACTCAGAGGTGAAGTGCCCCTGGGTTAAATCCCCAGTAACAACAACAAAAAGTCTGGCAATTACTTAAAAGGCTAAATATAGAGTTACCACAGGAACAAACAATTCTACTCCTAGGTATATGTCAAGAAAAAATAAAAACATGCTTATGCAAAAACTTGCACATAAATGTTCATATTAATTAGCATTATTCACAATAGTCCCAAAGCAGAAGCAACCTATATATCCATTAACTGACAAATAAAGTAACATACCTACAATGCAAAGTTATTGGACAATAAAAAGGAATAAAGTACAGATGCATGCATGCTAATGAGACAGAGGTGAAGGACAGGTAGTCAGCTTGAGTAAGAAAGATAAGGGCTTATCATCAAAGAAAAGGAAATGGGTTGCTAACATGGTGGGGGGGCGGGGGCGGTTCATACTTCTCAAAACAAGGAGTTGCTAATGACTACCCCCTGGGCCCGCTCCTTCCTGCCCTTAGGCACATACATGGAGAAGAAAAAGAAGATGAGGAGATTAAGATTGGGGATTCTGGCCAGTCAAGTGGCCCATGTCTGTAATCCCAGCGGGTAGGGAGGCTGAGGCAAGAGGATCACAAGTTCAAAGCCAGCCTCAGCAAAAGCAAGGCCCTAAGCAACTCAGTGAGACCTTGTCTCTAAATAAAATACAAAATAGGGCTGGGGATGTGGCTCAGTGATTGAGTGCCTCTGAGTTCAATTCTAGGTATCAAAAAAAAAAAAAAAAAGAGCCAGACTGGGGATTCTGAGGATCTATAAAAGGCAAGACATAAGCCCTCCTGAGGCCACCCAGCTCTGGATCCTGACTTCTCTCCAATAAAGTCTGCTAACTCTGTTCTGTCTCTTTTTTTTCTGTTTTAGATGGACACAATACCTTTATTTGATTTATTTATTTTTATGTGGTGCTGAGGATTGAACCCGGTACCTCACACATGCTAGACGAGTGATTTACCACTGAGCTACAACTCCAACTCCTGTTGTGTCTCTTTCTTAAATAAAACTTGCTTTCTATGCTTGCCTCAATGTTTCTTGGGTATTTAATCTTCAACACTGTGGGAGCGAGGACCAGATCCTGATTTCCAAGGCCGACATCACTAAAACATGACTAAACTTGGAAATACTATGCTGAAGTGAATTAAACAATAGTCACAAAGAACCACATATATAATTCCTTTTATAAGAAATAGGCAAATATATTTATACAGAAAGCATACTGGTAGTTGGCAAGAGCTAAAGGGGACTTGAGAGGGTATAGAGTTTCTTTTGGGGGTACTGAAAATGTTTTAAAATTGATGTGCTGATTATTACACAACTCTGTGAAGATACAAAAAAATGCACACTTCAAACAGATATGTGTGGTGAGTCATGCAACTGAACTACAGTCCATAAAGAACCACCAAAATAATCTATTCATCTATTGAACAAATTATTCACTGAGAACCTACTCTATACCAGGTTCTAGGGTAAACAAACAAGATACAATGATCAATAAAACGATTTCAGTCCCTGTTGATGGACAGAGGAAGATAAACATTAAACAAATTGCTATACAGAATCTAGGTGATTACAAGTGTGATAAATGGTACTTAGCTCCAGTTGACAGTTGTCACCTGGGAATATTAAAGAGTATAACAGAGAAAGCCTCAGGGCTGGAGCCAACTATGAATGAATCTCTGCTCCATTTTTCTTAGAATCAAAGGACCAGAAAAAGGCACGTCAGACCAATGGCCAGCAATGCCATCTAGTGCCAATAGAGGATGCTCAAGTCTTCAGATACTGAGCTAAGACATCCCTGGCTGTGGGGCCTAGTCACAGTTGAATAATAAAGGATAAACACATAATATAACCCCCAAGAACACACATATACTACTACATCAGCCCAAAACAATCTTTTCTTTCACATACACTAACCCATGCTCATCTCGTTATGTAAAACATACCACCACAACCATGACCCATACTCCCAGCCTCACACCTCCACAGGCATATACACACCTCACACAAATATATATACCCAGGCCACCATACCAGGCTGGCTGCTGCTCCAATCCTCACTTTCTGCAGTTCTGGTAGTGGGTGGAGCCTCTGGATCCTTTCTTTCTTGCTTCTCCTGTAGAAGGAAAGCCTGATTCCAGCTTCTTGTCCTCATGAGTTGAAGGCACCAGTCTCTGATCCTGGCCCCTGTCTGGTTCTGTGGCCACATGTGTTCTGCTCCAAAAAGGCAGAATTCATTCTAGGCCACCAACAGGAACAAAGAGTCAGCAGACAAACTGCTGCCACTTGGGTACAGAATCATGGGGACACATACACCCTTGCTGCACAGCCTGACTAGAGTTCTCATTCTTGGGTGGGGAAACTGAATACATGATCATGTGCCCCATGCTGATTTTACCTACTCAGTAGAATTTCCATGCTCTGCCTCTTTCCACTAATGCAGCTACGGCCTTGTTTCCTGATTTGGGCCTGGCTCATACCTCCAATGATGGAGTTTCCCACCTCCTATACATCTACCTTGGGTACCAGTTCACAAGAATGTGTCTCAATCCTAACAGCAGATGGAAATGGGCACTCCAGGAAATAGATTATTTATTACCCTTCCACCAGGTATTCAGAATGGGTCCCAAAATATGACAAATCGTCTCTGGCCTAGGCTTATGTCTTGGGTTGAAGAAGAGAAGATAACAGGAATTGAGGCATGGGCTCTAGCCTCCCTCTCCCCTCCCTCCTGCCCTCTTCCTACCATGGCCTCTGGCTCAGACTCCTCTGATAGGCTCTGATATTCCCTGCGCTTTCGTTTCTTCACGGGTTTGAGGAGCTCTGAAGCACTGGCAGAGCTTGAGGAATTCTCCACGATGACAGACCTGAGGGAAGAGCAGCCTTAGCGAAAGAACCATCAGCCCTGCACCACCCATCCCCCTCCTACGCTTGAAAAGAAACGGGGCTTTGGGAGAGGAAGACAGAGCAAGAAAGCTGCGAACCCCTCTCCCTTACCGCTCCTGGAACAGCTGAGAGGGGCCGGCATTCGAGCAAAGAAAATCTGGACCGGTGCCTTGAGAAGGCCCACAGGCCTGGCACCGACAGGCGCTATCCTCCTCTGGGGGATCCTGAGAGAGCTCTTCTGGAGAGTCCTCGGGGAGGTCCCCTGTGGGGCCAACTGGGCCTTAGGCCTCCCACCCTTTCAGTCATGCTCAGGCTCCGCCCACGGCCCTTAGACCCTGCCTCCCCTGGTCCCACTTCCACACTGGACAGCCTCCCAGCCTTCTCCACTCAGGAGCCACCCCTGGGCGCACCTGCAGGAACCGCGGGGCCACGCCCCCTGCTGATGCTCCTCAGGAGCTCAGGCCTCACCCCACACACCACGCAGTGCCCAAGCTCAGGGCCCGGGGAGCGGGCTCCTACCGGGCTGTTGGGTGCCCGCATCGCCACCTCCCTCCGGGGCCCCGCTGTCCTCCTGTTCAGCCACGTCTTCCTGCCGCAGCTCTGGACTCCGTGGTTGCTCCACTCCCACCATGTTTAGCGGCGCATACTCGCTTATCCGAAACTGGAGCACGGGAAAGTGTGAGGACAGCAAAGCCTGCACCAAGTCCTCGACCCACTTTGGGGTGGAGGGTTGTGCTCATCCTTCTCACGCCTCATGCTGGATAGGGCCCCACTAGGCCTCAAGGCTCCGCCCCCTGCCCCACTAGGCCACGCCCCCAGCACCTGCAGGACCAGTCCCAGGGTATCGCACTCCAAGCCACGCCCCCAGGGCCTCTAAGGCCTGACTGCTTCAACCCAAGGCATACCCTGAAAGCCCCACCCCGCAGAATCCATCATCTCAGCCCACCTCCCACTTTTCATCTGAAGCCCCACCTCCAGGTCCCCACAGGCACTGACCCGCAGGCCACTCCCAGGGGGCGAAGCCACCGCTTCTGTCCACTCCAGCAGCTGCACGGTGCTGGTACTAGAATTCGCTGCTGCCCCGGCGCTTAGCTGTGGCAGAACAGTGGCTGTGATTGGTTCACTGCCGACCACCCGCTCCAGGGCGCCTACATGGATGGACTCCCGGGGGAAGCAGGACACATCCAAGGCACTGCTGGGCAGGCCAAGGGTGGCGGAGCTGGCTGCGAACGGATACACAGATACACAGGTGGGCCTGATGGCCCTTCTTCAATTCTACTACTTGCAAGTGAAAGAAGGCAGGTGTAGGAAAGTGAAAAGTTAGGACCTCCCTGGGATCCACACCTGCTTCAGCAAATACGGCCATACTCCTTCTCCCCAGACCTGAGCTTGACCTACCTGGAATGATGAAGGCAGTTGCGGGCAGGTGAGGACCGGAACCTGAGCTCTCTCTGGCCACCAGATGCACGCTGACCTCCCCTGTGGAAGGCCCTTTCAGTGTCCTCAGCACCTCCATTTCAGTATGCCCTTCCATCCGGACAGGTCTACAAGCCAAACAGTCCCCAGCGTAATCAGGAGGGGACCTTTCTGAGAAAGCAAGGGAAATGAGAAGGCAAGTCAAGTCAGCCTTAGCCCTGGAAAAAGTAGAGTATTAGAGGCCCAGCATCAGGTCTGGCTTCTGGGTCTACTCAGGTCACTCTGGCCAGGCCCTGAACTTCCCTATTCTCTGTGAAGATGGGCACATTGGCATATGTGTGGGTACTATGCAAACTGTGTACAGAACTGACTTCAGGAAGCATGACTCAAATCAAGATTCCATTTGGCCAGAAATCTCATGACAGCCCAAGCCAAGCCCAAACTCTCCTTTTTTCTGACCACCTCCACTAGAAGCATTCCCTTCTCCTTCTGGGGATCCAGAGCCCATACATATTAGGTTCTCCACCTAACCAGGTTCATCTTCCTAGGAGAAGGGATCTTTTGTCATTTTATGCCCCCTACCTACCACTCTGTCTGTACCAAAGTACAGAGTGTGCACTGAATCATCTGTTAAACCAATGCATGTGTCAGAAGAACAAAGGGGTGGTATATGAAAACCCAGTCAGCATGAGATTCAGCTTTAATAAAGCACAGACAGTAGAGGCATTTAACAAAAAGTTGAACATGAAAAAAAGACATAAAGACATAATATATTTAATATCTAGCATTTATTCAACTTCTAAAATGTGTTGGCCACTATCTCAGACGTCTTACCACCACTGTCCAATAGAATTTTCTGTGATGATAAAAATTTTCTATATGTATGCCATCCAATACTACAGTCATTAACCACATGTGAAACTAAGCTTGTGTGACTGAGAAACTGAATTTTTTAAACTGAATTTTAATTAAATTTAAATAGCAAGAGTGGCCATGACTAATGTACTAGACAACATGGCTTTATGCGTAATTGGCCTGTTGATGCTTCCTCTGAAACATATTTCAGCGTCTGGCCACTTCTAATCCTTTATCACCATGCTAGTCCCAACCACAACCAGCTTTCCCTGGACTTCTGAAACTGCCTCCTAACTCACTCCCTGCTTCCTTTCCTGCCCCCACTACAGTCTGTTCTCCAGTAAGAGGGCTGGGGTGTAGCTCAGAGGTAAAGTGTATACCTAGTATGCATGAGGCCCTAGGTTCAATCCCCAGTGCTACCAAAAAAGAGAGATTTTCCAATAAGCTATGAAAATATAAATCAAATCACATAATTTCCCTATGTAAAATTCTTCAATGGCTCTCCGGAAAGTTTTAGAATAAAATAAGAGTGCTTTACCCTGTAGAATCTGACCTCCAGCTTCCCCTCTGACCTCATCCTCCACTACTCTTTCTCAATATATTCTTTGTCCTTGACAGACTTTGGTTTCTGTCTACTGCTTGTCCAATGTTCCCACCTCAGAGCCTTTGCCACTGCTCTGCCTCCCACCTGGAAGGCTCTTCCCCAAGCCCTCTGATTGGCTGGCTTGTTCCCACCTTGCAGACCTCCACTCAGCCCCACCTTGCAGACCTCCGCTCAGCAGTCAGCTCCTACAAGGAGGTCTTTCCTGACCACGAGTTTAAGCAGCACACCTCCCACCCCACCCTGCCACTGTCTCTTTACCGTGTTTCTTCCACTTTTGTTTGTTTGTTACAATCAACTGATTCTGATTTATTTATTTCTGTGTTTGATCAGTCATCCCCACATAAAGGCAAAGTCTTCATCTTTCTTGTTCGCTGCTGTATCCTGAGTAGTTAGAATAGCTCCTGACACATACTAGGTGCTCAAAAAGTATTTGTGTTGAGGGCTGGGGATGTAGTTCATTGGTGGAGCCTTGCACGCATGAGGCCCTTGGTTCAACCCTCAGCAGCACAAAACAAAAGCAAAACAAAAAGTATTTGTGTCAATCCCCAGCAGCACCCCACAAACACACAAGTATTTGTGTGGGATTTCAGTAATTTGAACTTATTAATAAAAAAAAAAAAAAAACAAAAAACCACGGCAGGTAGGTTGGCGGGTGCAGCTCAGTAGCAGACAGTGTTCTTAACACGCCCAAGGCCCTGAGTTCAATCCCCAATGCCAGAAAGAAAAGAAGAAAAAAAGGAACCCACCCCCCACCCCACCCCCACCCCTGCCACCACACACACACCCTGTAGAGTGTTGGATTCTTGGTTGTTTGTTTGCAGTGCTTAGCAATGGCTCCGGGTGAATGTTAATAGAAAAATCACAGACACAGGCCTAAGGCAGATTTTGAATCTCAGCTCCCTCAATTAATACCCGTGACTCCAAATAAGTAGCTTACTCCCTCTGAACCTCAGTTTCCTCATGTGTAAAATGAAAGTGGTAATGATACCTACCTCAAAGGGTTTTGGTGAAGCTTGGACATTAAAAAAAAAATTTTAAAGTGAAGTATTGATACCAGCAGGCCTTCAACAAATATTAATCAATTCCCTTTAAACAGAAATTCCAGGGAGCTTGGTAACTTCTGGCTAGTAGCTAGCAGTGATTGCTGTCTCTCTTGCCCTCCCTCTCACCCTCTTCCTGTTCCTGTGCACTCATTTATTTTCTACAGAATCCATACTTCACATTATGGAGGCATATGACAATAGAGGTTTAAACTAGACAAATACTCAGGTAGGCAAAGGTGAGCTATACAACCTGATTAAGACAACACCCAAATCAATCAAGATCGGTTTCCCATTTAAAAAAATTATAACACAGAAGCCCCTGAATTTCAATCCCGATTATTTTGCTTTGCACAGTTGAAGTACTTGTACAATTTTTAATTATTTTAAATAGAATTTAACTTTTTTATTCAAAATATTGGCAATCATTAAAATTGAATATGGTTACTTTTTTTTTTTTTTTTTTTTTTAGTATTGGGATTGAACTCAGAGGCACTCGACTGACCACTAAGCCACATCCCCAGCCCTATTTTGTATTTTATTTATAGACAGGGTCACACTGAGTTGCTTAGTGCCTCGTTTTTGCTGAGGCTGGCTTTGAACTCATGATCCTCCTGCCTCAGCCTCCCTAGCCGCCTCCAGATCTTTTTATTTTTTATTTTGATACAGGGTCTTGCTAAGTTGCTTAGGGCCTCGATAAATTTCTGAGGCTGGTTTCAAACTTGTGATCCCCTGTTTCAGCCTCACAAGTCACTGGGATTACAGGCATGAGCCACTGTACCTGACAAATATGGTTACTTCTTAATAAACTCCCCTCTGTTTTAAAACCCGTCACATATCAGGTCTATCAAGGAGAGGCTGACAGAATGCCTTTCTGTTTGGGTTTGGTGCCCTTTATGGCAAACACTGGAGAACCAAGGAGGCATCCGCCCCACTCTGTGCTCTGGGGATATGGCTGCAAACAAGACAAAAGGTTCTTGTGTAGTTTATACTCAAGAAGTAACAGATACTCTTGGGGATGGATGGATATATATATATATATATATATATATTTGAAAGTCATCATGTATACAAGGCATTTAAAAGAGAATGACTCAGGAGGTTGAAGCAGGAAGATCACAAGTTCAAGGCTAGCCTTAGCAATTTAGTGATGTACGGAGCCACTTAGCGAGACCATTTCAAAATTTAAAATATGAAGGGTTAAGGATGTAGCTCATTGGTAGAGCACCCTTGGGGTCAATCCCCAATACCAAAAATTAAGAATTTTAAAAATTAAAAAAAAATAAAACAGAACAGGAGAGTAGAGAAGAGCAGGAGACTTGGCGTCTTGGAGTTGAGAAGAGGAAGAGGATCCAGCGAAAGACTCAGAAGGGCCTGAAACCAGGTGAGAGGGGAATCTAGAAGAATCTGGGCTTCTGGAGGGTAATAGAGAAAGTTTTCTAGTCAGCTGTAAATTCTCTTGGAATTGCCCTTCACCAAGGCAGCTGTATCACCCCAGGGCTTTCTCATTGATATGGGGTATAAAGGCCTTAATTTGGGGCATCTGCAGGGCCATCTCAGTTGCAGAGTTTCCCTTGGGACAGATTGAGACCCCTGTTGAGACTACTTCAGCATTTCACTTGTCACTGTCCAACCCTGCTGTCTTCACAAGGGCACTAAACTGACACTCAAACTTCAACTTTCCCAATGGCTTGGGAGGCCGAGACAGGAGGATGGCAATTCAGCAATTTAGCGAGGCCCTAAGCAACTTAGAGACACCTTGTTAATATAACAAAAGGGCTGGGGATGTGGCTCTGTGGTTGACTGCCCCAGGGTTCAATCTCTGTTACAAAACAACAACAAACCCTCAACTCTCAGCCTGTTTACAGGGACCTGTTAAAAGGACTAATAAATCCCCAGACCAGAGCAGTGCACATAGCAGATGCTCAATAAACAATTATTGAATAAATGTGTCCATGTTGTCTCTTGGTGCCTGCCAGGGTTTCCCCATTTCTTGCCCATCACAGCCTTGTAAACCACAGACGCCCAATAAATGCCCTGGTTGGTACTGGGAGTGGTAAGCTGAGTGTCAGAGACAGAAACCGCGCACGCAACAAAGTGCTTGCAAACTTGGGGCCCCCGCCCCACTCCCTGGCCGAAGCGTCCGGGCGGACGCGGGACCGTATCTCTCTGCACGGTCCTGGGTTCCAGCATCCAGACCCGCCACCTGCCTCCCCGACCAAGCCAGCAGCGGGCCGGGCGGTCACTGATCCGTAGGTTACTTTTTTAGAGGCCAAAATGGCGGAAATCTTTTTATTATTTCCCTTTACATTGAAGGAAAAAAAACTAAAAAAAAAAAAAAAAAAAAAAAATTTAAATCCTATTTTCCATTATAAACATCAAAAATTAACAATAAGAAAGAGAAAGTTTGCCAAATGGCCCATTTCCTAAAGGAAGCCCACGCCTCGCCGTGTGCACCCTCCTTCCCATTAAAAAAAGCGGTCCCCGGTCCCCGCGGGCGTCGCTGCGACCCCCGCTCCGCCCGCCCCAGCCCTCCGGCCCCGCCCGGCCCGCCGGCTCCGCTAGCCCTCGGCCCGCGGCGCCCTGCCGCTCGGCCCCCGCCCAGCCCGCCTTGCGCTGCGCCCGGCCCCAGCCGCCGCCCCAGCCGCCTCCCCGCCGCAGGAGTCGGAAAGACCGCAGGGCCCAGCGCTCGCCGTGCGGGGACCGCGGCCCCCGGGACTGCCGGAGCCGACCCTCCAGCCCGCACGGTGCTCACCTGCAAGGCCCGCGGTGGCCGCCCCGCGCGGAGCTGCGGTGAGAGCGGGCGCGGCGGCGCCTGCGCGCTCAAGGGGGCGGACCCGCCTCGCTGCGGGACGCAGAGCGCGGAGCCCGAGCGCCCGCAGATCTGTCTGTCCAAGACCGCGGGGCTTCGGGCGACCGCGACCTCCTGCCTTTCTTCAAGGCCCGGGCGGCTTCGGCCCAGTTCCCCCTTATCCCTGGGACCGGTTTGCGCAGGCGGGTGGGGTCGAGATTCTTCCTGCCCCCCACCCCCCTGAATCCCAGCCAAGGGTGCCCAGGGTGGCTGGCCGGGGGCCACAGAGCCGGGAAGACAGAGAACACCTGCTGGACCCCCGAGCTGGATGGTGGGTGACAAAAAACAAGGCTGCACCCTGCATGTATCCCAGTCGGTTGGTTGCTCCGTCCAGCGCCTTCCCACCAAGCCAGTCCCTCATCTAGAGAAGAGAGTCAAGGGGTCCTTCTGGAAACTGACCCAGGAAAGGGAGCTTCGCACAGCTTAGCTTCTGACCTTGGCCTTGCTTGGCATTAAGACCGCTTTTGGATGACCCCATTACCACTGACTGATGGTGTGACCTGGGAAAATATCACTTTATCCCCCTAGTCTTGTTCTTTCCCCCCCCCGCCCCCTAATATTCCCCCGGATGTTGATGGACCTTTATTCTATTCATTTGATTTTCTGTGTGCTGAGAATCGAACCCAGGGCCTTACACATGCCAGGCAAGTGCTCTTACCACTGAGCCACAACTCTAGCTCCTCCCCTTAGCCTTCTGTTTCAACATTCGTAAACCCTATCACCTACTTCATGGCATATGGCTCTTTCAATATGGCATATGGCTCTTTCAATAATGGTTCACCTTGTGGAGTTGACTTGAACACCGTTCCCCTGTGCTTCAATTTCATCGACTGAGCTCTCTAGTCAAATCTTGTTATTGGTTCTTGTAATACAAAACACCTGTCTTACATATGACACAGCTATTACTTCATGTAGATTTGAGTAATTCAATAGTTTAAAAGACTGAAAGATCCAAGAGGAAGGAAAACACATTAGGTTTTCTGTGTATGTTTTTCTGGAAATGGAACCCAGGAATTGAACCCAGAGCCTCTCCACACACTGGGCTAACATTCCACCACTGAGCTACATCTCTCTGCCCATCGTTTATACATACATACATACACACACACACACACACACACACATATATATACATATATGTATACAACACATATGTATGTATGTATACATACACATTCATATATGTATATAAAATTTTTTTGATCACTGGTACCTAGCACAGAGTGTATGCTCAAGAAGTATCTTTTGATTAACTAGTTTATATACCCCAAGCAAATGAAACAAGGCAATTTCCAGGGCCCCATCTGTCTCACACACTGCTTTTTAAATTTAATTCCTTACTTTACAGAAGAGGAAACCAAGGTCTAATTTGACCCTGGGTCATGGTCACCAGTCAGACATCTAGGCTGCTGATGAAAAAAAAAAAAAAGTGTTTCTAATTAATTGTGGGCAAATCCCCCAAATTGCTCTGATCAACAGGTTTAAATTTATGCAGAATTTAACTATTCTGGTTACCACGCCAACACATTACATGTGTTCTGCCTTGCTGCAATGTCAATTTTTAATCACATCTCATATTATTGGGAACGGGATTGCATCAGTTAAGGATGCTGGTTGCCATAACAATGGAAGCCTCTTCATACGCACCAATACGCACACAACCATCACTTGGTTTTCTCTCATCTGTACCCAGACTGTGCTTGTTCTGGATTCCAAAAGGTTTATTTTAGGTATTCAAAGGATTAAAAAGAAAATCGTGAACCTACACAAACACATGGCTGCTCAATAACAAATGCATCTTTTAGACAGTGATTAAGACACACAAGTGAAATTTGAGCAAGTGGGATCCAGAAACAAACAACTAACATGAATTTGAGTTGCTGTAATATTTTTCTGCCCATTAGCAGTATTTTTTGGTCTTAAGTTCTGGCTTGTTTACTTCATTCAGCCCTTCATGGATGGAGTGTCCTTCACAAGTTGATGTAATTTGGGGAAGGGTCTGCCTCATGTGGCCTGAGTTTGCCCTGTTGGTGTCCATCGTCAAGAGCAAGTCCAGCCTTTCCTTCAAGTGACAACCTCCTCTGTTTTACAGGCTGACAACCCCCAGTGTCTTCTCCATGTTAACCCCCTACCCAAGAAAGGACCCCAAATTTGTTGGAATGTGGAAGCATTAAAAAATAGTTGTTTATAAGCAGTCTGTAGCTTTGCTTCTACAAGAAAGTATAATCCATTATTGGGGCAGTCCTGGAACTAGGAAAATCATCAGGATGTGCCCTTGATGTGAGAAAACACTTCTGGTTTCCTTGACATCAGACTGCACTAGTAGGGAATCCTTTTTAACACAGGATTTTAAAATCCTGCATAAAATATAAGAAAAGCACCAAGCAAGACACAAGGATAAGAAGTAAATTCACAGCTGAACTTGCAAGGGGAAATCCTGCAGGAGCCAGAAACAAAGAGGAAAACAGAAACAAGGGGATGGTCTGACCTCTCTTTTGTTGTGGGAGAAACAACCATCGCTGAGCGACAGGGATCTTGGGACCAAATGGTATTGGAATTAGAGTTGAATCTCCTTGTATAAAGACTGGACATTTCCCCCACCCCCGATATATAATTCAGTGAATAGAGTTCTAGAAAAACTCAGTATGCCAGTATGTGTGTGTGTGTGTTGTTGGGGGGCAGGATGGAAAGGAAGCTTGTCTCTACCTGGGATACTCAGGGCCAGGGGAGAGGACAAGGACAAGCCAACTTTTGGAAAATTAAGCCCCTAAGTCTACCCTACATAGACTGGGATTCTCAATTTGTACTACTACTCTCCTGGTATAGACATCTTCAAGCTAGGGAAACAATGCAAAATTGATCCTGGGCAAGTGATATACTTGCAGAAGTAAATATACAACTGCTCAGAAGGGACACTGCCACAATTCAGGCCAAGTGGAATGCTCAGGATAGGAAAAACCTCAAAATAGTCATGGAAACAATATGCCTTGTTTAACCATCGGCAGATCTAGTAAGTAGAAAGATTAGCACCCACAAGAACTTGAGATAACAGTACAATTTGAAGGAGACTATTAAATAAACATGTTGCTGGGTGCAGTGACACACACCCAGAATCACAGCGACTCAAGGCTGAAGCAAGAGGATAGAAAGTTTGAGGCCAGCCTGGGTAACTTAGTGAGAGACTCTCAAAATAAATTTGTAAATGAATAAAAAGGCAGATTAATTAACAGGTTACTTCTTTTTTTTTTTAAGTATTTTTTTTAGTTGTAGATGGACACAATACCTTTATTTATTTTTTTATGTGGTGCTGAGGATCGAACCCAGTGTCTCACCGTGCCACTGAGCCACAACTCTAGCCCTTAACAGGTTACTTCTGATGACTTCCTTGGAAGGGTTAAAGCAGAGAACACGTCCTTATTCCTTCCCATGCTGGCTAAAACTGACCTGTTTGGGAACTTGACTGTCATCTCTTGATTCCTTGGAAAGTTAGCTAAACAGCTTAGTTTTGGTTGGTGACATAAAACTTTAGCTTGAATAATTCCATTTTGGCGTGGTCAGTTCCACTAGGGCCTAGAGCAGGAGTTCAGTCCAAAACAATGACCTCCCATAAATTTCATTCAACAGATTAAGTTGAGGTAGAAAATAAAGCCCAGAATTTTAGCTCCGGAGCCCATCCTGACTGCCTTGTTTAAACCCACAGGCTGCTGAAGACTGGGGATCTGTGCTCTTTGTCTTGCCTAACGCAGGGCTGAATATAAGAGAAAGAACAGAGGAATCAAAGAAACAGGTGATGGCTGGTTGTGGTGGTGCACACCTGTCCTCCCAGCAACTCAAGAGGCTGAGGTAGTAAGATCCCAAGTTGGAGGCCAGCCTCAGCAAATTAGTGAGACCCTCCATTTCAAAATAATGAAAAAGACGGGCTGTAGCTCAGTGATAGAACACCCTTGGGTTCAATACCTGGCACACACAAAAAACAAACCAACCCTATACAATGGTGTAACAGCTATGACTTAGTATTAAAAATGCCTTTTATAATAAAATAGATCCTTTAAAATGTATCTGAATAGATGATCCAGCTGAGCAGACTCACAAATCAGACATGGGACAAGACAGAAGTTTATTCTGGCCAAGAGAATGTCTGGAATTCCTCTCCTTGTTACCTGACACAAGGGCATAATTCACTCATACTTTTTTTTTCTTTGAGATGCTGGGGATGGAATCCAGGGTCTGACACATGCTACACAAGTGCTCCCCCACTGAACTATATCCCAAGTCCACTTTTATTTATTTTTAATGGAGAGGGGAAGTGGCTGAGTGACAGAGGTAGGACCATCAAATGGGGACTTGGGTGGTGGCAGGGTATTGGGGAGGAAATACTGTGTGCTGCTGCTGGAGTCCTTCTCCATTTTGTCATTATTAAAATACTGTGTTCTTAAAAGAATCAGTGGTGAGCTGGGTGTGTGGTGCAAAGTAATCCCACAATCAGCTGTTCAAATGGGTTTCCTAGGAAGTTATCTTCTTATCTCCCTTCTTCCTACACTCAAAGAACACATTGGTTTTCAGCTACAAGCAAGGTTGATAGGTAGGTCAGACACTGTCAGAGGAAGGCATTAGGTAGTATCCTCTTGGTAAAGTTAAAGGGTGAGAATAAAATTGCTTGGCGCACTTGTTTATTCAGGAACCTCTTCTTGGTTTTTGATGGTTAATGAAAACTTCTGCTAACTTTGCTTAGTTTACACCATCAAGTGTAATGTTTTTCACTTTATTAAAATATAAAACACCACTTTAAAGATGTGGGCAGGGTATAGGAAAATCACAATTGTTAGCATTAAACCATGGAGCAAGGACATGGGGGTGGGGAGGAGCAGTTACCAGGACTTGGAACAAGAGAACTGTGTAGGTCTTATACTGAGGACTTTGGATAAGGGCCACAGCCAGCCTAAATTAAGCCTGCAGG